TGTACTCCAATGCATCAGATGACTGTTCCTGTGATTATGAGCACAAATTGCAGGTCATTATCGAACAAGATTAACTACTTGCATTCTCTATTATACTCAAATGTATATTGTAATACTGGTGTAATCACTCTTCAAGAGACTTGGCTCCATGATTCATATGACGACAATTTAGTCTCCTTAAGTGGGTTCACAATCTACAGACAAGACCGATGCAGCTCGAAGAAGAAGAGAGGTGGTGGTGTTGCCACTTTTATTAATTCTCAGTGGTCTACTGCCAACAACGTCTGCTTCAAATTCTCAAATGACAATATTGACTGTATAACTGTAAAATGTCGACCTAAACACTTACCTAAGTATAGCTTCATTTTTGTCACAAATATCTATATCACACCTTGTTGCAGTCCCTCAGAACTATCTATCTTCGCTGATGAATTCACTATTTTTGCTGCTGCTTCGTTTGGTAACTCCTTATCTATAGTGACCGGCGACTTCAACTCCAGCGACTGCAGTTTTATTACATTGCTGGGCCATGAAAATGTTGTTAATTTCCCAACTCGACAAAATACTTCACTTGATTTAGTATTTATAAATGATTCTGGAATATACGAAGCTCGTAAAAGAGCCCCGCTCTTCAATTCTGATCATTGTATTGTACGAGTCTTACCCAAAATTTACGGAAAGTTACACAGTAAAGCCCTCTCAAACTTGTCTAAGAAAGTTGTTCACAGATGCTACTCAAATGAGAACGTACATCATCTTAGAAACATGCTCAGTGACACAAGATGGGATTTGTTTAATGATGATTCACTTGATGACAATATCTCTAATATTACATCCTATCTGAAATTCTGTTTTGAAATCTGTTGTCCAAAAGAAACACTATTCGTCAAATTTGACCGTTTCTCCTCGCCTCAACTTAAAAAGCTTCGTAGAGAGAAGGAAAAACTGTATAAGATGAAAGATAAAAGTGGTGTAAAAAGAACTAACTTCTTAATTAAGTCTGAAATGCAGAGGTTGAATGTAATATATAACCAGAAATTCATATCCTGCAAAAATCCTTCTAATATGTGGAAACTATTTAAGGAAATCACTGGTGGTAAGCAGATAAACAATATTCCATATTCTTTTGATGTATGTACTCTTAACAAATCTTTTATTTACTCTCCCTCAAATGCCATGCTTCCCAGCATCACTTGTGTTAATAATAGCCCCTTTCCAGGTTTTAACACAAATGATGTTCAAAAGTGCCTCAAGTCTCTAAACCCTTCCCAGAGCTTAGGTCCCGATTATGTACCTAGTATTATTTTTAAAAAATGTTCTGATATTCTGTGTCACCCTCTTACTGATCTATTTAACAAATCTTTTTCCGATAATATTGTGCCTGCCGTTTGGAAGGACATTAAAGTTGTACCCATACCTAAATCATCCACTGGAGCATGTGTCAAATTTAGACCCATTGCTATTACCTCTCCTTTTTTGAAAACTATGGAGAAATTACTTTTACTTAGTCTTGTACCTTCGCTTAAATCCTTTAATGACCCTAAACAATTTGCCTATAAGCACAGTAGAAGCACTTTAGATGCAGCTGCCGTCTTATATCATAACATTGCTTCCAGTCTAGACAAGGGGGCTAAATTTGTTCGTTGCGCCTTCCTAGACTATACATCTGCTTTCGACTCGGTCCCTAGGGACATCTTATTAAATAAACTTGCTGCTAGTCAAACAGAATGTTGGGCTGTTAACTGGTTACATTCCTATTTCTCAGATAGAAAGCAGTACACCGTATATAAAGGGAAGTCTTCCACTTCATTGCCTACTGAAGCTGGTGTCCCTCAAGGTGCTGTTCTTTCTCCTTTTCTTTTTTCTTTCTTCTTGCATGACTTGCCTCACTCTGATGAAATAAACTTTGTGAAGTACGCTGATGATTTAACGGTTTCAATGGCTGTTAACTCCCAGCTAGATTGTACTAAAATAAATAGCTTTCTATCGGAAGTCAGCAAATGGTCTGAGTCTAACGGTCTTAAACTGAATCCTTCTAAGTGTCAAACTGTTGATTTCAGCTTAAGATGTAAACGACAGTTAAAAGAAGTCATCGATTCTCATGACACTTGTAAAATTGACGACAATGATATAGGAATCAAATCAGAAATTAAGTATCTTGGACTCATTCTCTCTTCTGATCTCTCCTGGTCTTCCCATGTCTTAGCAATCTCCAGTAAAATATTCCGCCTGACATTTTACATTAAGAAGTTAAGACACTCGGGTATAACTCAACCCTTCCTCTTACAGTTCATAAACTCTTGCATCCTACCTATTCTTCTTTATTGTTCACCCTTATTCTTTCCTGGTTTGCTTAAAAAGGACTATGTCACAATTCGTAGAATACTGAAGACTGTCAGTAGGGTGAGTGGTGTCCCAGTGGACCACATAGTTAACGTCGTTGTCGATAGGCACTTGACTTCGTGCAATAAATTTGCTAAAGGGATTTTGTCTGACTTGGAGCATCCGCTTTACCCTCAGCTTTCACCTTGCATCTCCTCAGGTAGAACAAGGAGTAACTTCAGAAAACTGTATGCTCGCACGTCTAAGTATAAGAATTCTATGATACCATGCTTGGCACGTATTTTATGTGGTGAAAATAGTGTCATAGAAAAGATTTGTAACTCAGGTGGATGATTTCTTCAGCTCCGCAATTAAACCAAGGAGCTCAGAGAACACTATCAATTGAAAATAGTGTCAGGCAAGAATTAACTAACCTTTTTTCATCCAGTAAATAAACAATTTCCTCCATTCATCCTTATATACCTTCAAGTTTTACTCTTATTACTTCTATTATATTTATGGTCTTGTTACTTCTCTGTTTTACTCTCATAATTGCAAACACCAACTTATCTCCATGACGGCTGTAATCTTAATTTTTCCCCTCACTATACCATGTAAAGAGTACGTTATATTCAATATTTTTAAACATGTTAGGATTTCTATACCACATTGCCAATACTGTGTGACACAAGCCAACGGCAATTTTCACTTGTATTCTTATTATTAATGCCCTAGCTGTTATCATTATTATCGCTCTTTTCCACTTTTATGCTGCATGTTTTTGACACTACCTCTATTGTAAATGTGGAAAATTTTCTGTGTGATTAATTTTATTTATAATTTGAGGAAATTAGATGCAATATTGTGATTAATACTGAAAATTCCATTCTGTATCACAAGTACTGTTTTTGGAATAAAGTAAATCATTATTATTATGAAATAGAGCGAAACGGGCTCACCAAATTAGAAACTGATTTTTCTACCGAAATATTTGCCCACATTGCTGTAGAAGACTGATTTTTGTCTTTAAACTTATTTTTTGATTACAGCTTGATTCCACACAGCATTTTTGGTATTTTCGGAATTTTCAGCATGTGATATCGGTAGCCCAAATTTCGGAGGCCGACCATAGATATAGCGTGTGCGTCGGCAGGAAATCGAACCTCAAACCATGTGCACGGTCGGCAAGAGTCCTAACGGCTGTGCCACTGATGCACATATTTATATTTTCTAAAGCACGACAGTAGGCAAGTGAAGCGGGTGGCTTAGTCAAACACACGGAAGGTTATTCATCACTCATTAGATGAAAATGCCTTACAAATGATATGGAAGACGTAGTTCCTACTAGGTCCTTCGTCTCATCCTTCTGGATTCCCTAGTAACTACCTGCATCTGAGTAGTAGTGGTATATTGTGTTTTACAGAGCCTACACTCTCCATGTTGCATCATCTCCAGCCGCGCCAGATGGGAACGGAATAGATTCAATCGACACTGACTAAAACTCCGTGTTCCATTCCCCAAACTAAACTGGAAGCAGGGGAATCAACACTCTCAAGTGACTTTCACTCAAGGCCTATGAAGGAACGAACTAACTGGCTACGATGTTTTTGCCGTCTCTCAAATGCAGCTCAACTGTACAACTGGGAAGACGCTACAGCAACCCCTATCCTTGCCTCTTTTGAAATCACAGCCCTATTAGTCTCACCATTACCTCGATCAAGGTATTGGAAAGGATTACCAAGGAGGTTATCATGGTTCCTGTGAAAACAACAACTTTTTGTCCGGCGCAGAGCACGATTCCGGGGAAACCACTGTTGCCTAAAAAACTGTCTGACAGCAAGGGTACGCTGGGTTAAGTCTATGGAAAGAAGAAACGAATTAATATTATTTTGATGGAGCACAACCAGCCTATCGATAAAATGTTCTCCCCTCACTAGTTGGGACGGTGCTAAGACAGCCTGGCAACCAGGGTAAGTGGGCCACTCTAAAGAGTCAGCTGGTGGTGTAGCGAAAGTTCAGGTCCAGTGGGAATGATGGCCACACAGCGAAAATCGGAGTTATCTGTAGCTGAAATGAACCAAAAGCAAGTTAGAAATCTTCCAAGCGGCTCAAATAATTTGCCTCCTGAAACATCACTAAGGACATACACAGATCTAGGTGTCACAGTGGGTCATGACGTAAAACATAGGACTCATCATCCATTGGTAATAGATGGAAGTTTTGAACCTTTGCGGGTAATACATCAGGCCATTAATAAACGCGCCACTGAAGCGCTCAGCACCTTATATGGATCCTCGCTTAGGCCAAAATTAGAAAACTGGAAACCAGACGCAAGCCCAGGTCTGTGGGTAGTGTAATCACAACTTTCGGAATTTCAGTAAATAATTAAATTATTTGTTTATCTTATTTCTGCCTTATTAATAATTCTAATAATCTCAAGGGGCATAGTAAGGGGGTTCCTCTTCATGTGGAGTGGTGGTTCGGCTACAGTGTCATAAGCCGAATGAACTTTATAAAGGGTGTGGTGTCTACTCATTCAGTCAGCTTGCTTTGTAAAGCGATGAACGAATACAAATAAATTTTAGTATATATAATGCAGATTTAGGCCTTCTATCATCAGATCAAAAATCTGGGTCTGAAATCAGGGTGAAGTATTGAATATTTAATGTATTGTTTCACTCAGCTGTTTACTTGGACATCTTTTTTGACATTGTTGCTATCAATGCCGTACTATCGGTACTCAAGATTTCGCTCACCTAGACGGAGGTAAATATACCACACTAGGTTTATTTTATCCTTCAGGGCTTTCTTAGGTGGGGGCAGGAGACTTCGATCAGTTGACTGGAGTGCTTACACCCTTGCCAAGTTTGAGAAAAAGTTTTATCACGAATGTTCGAGCGTTCGTGACCGCTCGCGCAGAGATGTAGAAGAATTCCGGTCAAAACACAAAGTTACCGTACTGGGTCACAATGTCCCGAGGCCTTTGTTCAAATTCAGCGAGGCTGGTTTCCCAAGCTATATAATGAGTGTAATTAAAAAGAACAAGTGGGAATCTCCAACTCCAATCCAGTGTCAGGGTTGGCCAGTTGCACTTAGTGGGCGCGATTTGGTAGGAATTGCCCAAACTGGATCAGGAAAGACAGCGAGCTTTCTTTTACCAGCGATTGTGCATGCCAAAGCCCAGCCATCTCTTAAACGCGGAGATGGACCTATTGTTTTGATTCTGGTGCCTACTAGAGAACTAGCACAACAAGTCGATAAGGTTGCTGAAGAGTTCTGTTGCTCAGCAGGCTTCAAGTCAGCATGTCTTTATGGAGGGAGTTCAAGAAGTGGGCAGGCAGAAGCTTTAAGTCAGTCTCCTGAAGTAGTAATTGCGACCCCTGGCCGTCTCCTGGATTTTCTTGAATCAAGACACACAAATCTTCGCCGTTGTACGTATTTGGTGCTTGATGAAGCAGATCGTATGTTGGATATGGGCTTCGAGCCTTCCATAAGAAGAGTCGCGTCTCAGGTTCGTCCAGACAGACAGACATTAATGTGGTCGGCAACTTGGCCTAGGGAGGTAAAAGCACTAGCTGAAGATTTTCTTTATGATTATATTCAAATCAATGTCGGTTCAACTAAACTAAGTGCAAATCACAATATTAGACAGCACATTGAAATACTTGGTGAGAGTGAGAAGTTCAAGCGTTTAATAAGTCTGCTTAATTCTTTTGATAATGCCCGTGTACTTATTTTCACGGAGACCAAGAAACGCACAGACGAGTTGTGTGAAAAGCTCCAAGACAAAGGTTTTGACGCTACGGCAATGCATGGTGACAAACACCAAAAGGAAAGAGATCGGGCTTTAGACAGTAAGTTAATGTTGGGCTTATTTCCTCAATCGTAGTGTTTCGCGAAGGCCGTATATCTGTCCTTGTTGCAACTGATGTCGCATCCAGAGGCTTAGGTAAGTATCTTGTTTTATAGCTTATGTGCATACTCCAAAGATCACTGAGTAACTTTCTTCTTGTTCAACTATCACATATCAGGGTGTGGTGAGTTTTGGCATCCTGGAGTCGTTGGAGCACTTCGCTCCATTACTGGCCTCTCGTTAAGCTGGTATAATTTGGTCTCGCCAGTCATTTGGTCGTGTCTTTCGCAAAGACTATTCTTGGTCGAAGATCCTAACAGTTGGATTGGTACATTGGCTATATGTGTGACAAAAATTTGCTGACTAAGACGAGTCACGCGAACATGCGTTACGTCAACGAACCCCAATGATTTTGGTCCTCTGGATATGCATACATCTTAAACTGGTTTTTGTAATCGGTTGCTGAAGGAGGTTTCTACTATTCGAATATCTGGATCGGTAAGATTGGAACTATGTACTACGTTGCAAAATATTGGGATTATGTTGGTCGTTATTGATTCACTCTGGACGCGTTTTAAGACCCAGAACTTTGGCATTCGTTCTGGACCCATGAAAACCACGCCACCTCGGCCTTTCGATGCGTGCCAGGTTGGTCTTTCTGATAAGGCTTTCTTTGTTGCGGAATTTAGTTAATATATATGTGAATTTATCAGCTAAAGTTAAACTCTTTGCTACGACTGACGCTTTAATATGTCTTTTTCAGATATTAATGACGTTAGGTATATAATTAACTACGACTATCCATCTCAAACCGAAGATTACATTCACAGAATTGGGCGAACCGGCAGAAGCGACAAGAAAGGAACTGCATATACGTTCTTTAGCGCTAAACAGCCAAGATTGGTAAGGTTCACTTTCTTGAATTCACTTTTTCTGTAGGCTCGTGAATTGATTGATGTATTAAAGGAAGCACGTCAAACAATCCCTGATGAGTTGTTTAAGATCGCTGAAGGTGATTACCTCGACAGTAATCGGTCCTCTGGACATTCTCGGCGGCGAAATAGATCAGGTTCAAGTCAAAGTTCGGGTAAAAGTGTATCTAAAAGAAGTCGGTCTAGTGTTAGCCATCGATCCCGATCGGCTTCAAGTCGCAGTGGAACTCCATATAGATCTAGAAGCTCTTCTCAAAGTAAAAACTACCGATCGCGTGCTAAGTCTAAAAGCTTGTCACGGAATGGGAATGGAGCTGCCAGCGATGAATCCAAAACTAGTTCACCAAGACAGCGGCGATCTTACGGTTCACACACTCCACCAAAGCGAAAAGGTCGGTCACAATCTACTAGATCTTCTAAAGATGAGTATCATGGGAAGTCTGACTCACGTCAATCTAGTTCGGATAGAAGTCCTCCCATACGCAATAAAGCCAGGACGGCGTCAAGCCAGAGTTCACGCTCGGGAAAACGTAGGTATTCGAAGCAGAGGGAAGATAAAGAAAAAGCACGTTCAGTATCCAGTGGTGACGTCTCTTTGTCTCGTCAACGGTCTCATTCTTCGACTCGCAGATCCCACTCACCATCTAGTAGCAACACGCGACACTCACGGCATAAGTCAAAGTCCATCAGGTCTTCTGGTAGTCATTCTCACCATAGCTCACCACGGTGTAGTGAAAGTCCAGAGCATTCACCTGTCAGAAGTGAGCCTGACGTTGCTGAACACTCTTCCCGTTCTGTTGTAGATGTGAGTCCGGCTGAAGAAGACGACAATGGGTCTATAGGACGTAATTCTTCAGTGTCTCGTAGGAATGACTCAGTTTCTCATTCAAACTCAAGAGATGTATCACCGCGATCGACAGTGAAAGATGAAAGTCCAAAAGCGAAGAGGCCGCGAAAGGATGATTCTAATCGTCATTCTAAAAGTAAGAGTCGATCCCGCTACAGGGATTCGTCTAGAGACGATCGTCCCAGTGATTACAAAAATTCAGGAGGCTCTCGTCATAGTAAGAAAGACCGCAAGGATGTTCAGAGTTCTCGTGACCGTCGTTCCCGTTCTTCCGATGAGTACTCTGACCGCAACCGTCGAGACAGATCTTGGACACCATATGGTGATGTGCCATCATACAATTATAACTACAAGTTCAATTACAATCCAAGATACAACCGCAACAGAAACTACTATCGTTCACGCTCCCGTTCATCTTCAGGTTGGCAACGACGAAATCGGAGTAAGAGCCGATCAGGTTATGAACGAAGTCCAAGGAAAACAAAAGACAGTCGCAGACGGTAGCTTACTGTAAATTTCAATAAATGTTTACTACTACTCAACTTCTGTTTATATCCAATTTGTGGTCGCGCGTCTTGGTGACTGCAGGTTTCTTGTACGTAATGGTGGTGACGCGCGGTTTACTTTATTCGAAGGCCAGTTAGATTTACGTATACACAAAGGTTCCATGGTCTCAGTGTTTTATACTTATTGGGTAAGGCAATTCGAGCAACTTGTGCTACCTTTTTGTCAATGTGAGTTGTCGCTACTTGTGACATTGTGGATTTTCAGAAATCGAGTGTTTCATAACAGCCTTTTAATATTTACATGAAATCGAGAGGTGTAGATGAGATTATGGTTAATCGACTATAAGTCGGAGGTAGGTGATGAGCATTGTTTCTGCCTCTTGTTTTGCTGGTAAATTATGACGCCTCCGATGTATGCCGAGACATAACGTCTTAATTTATTTTACCCTTTGTAATTCTTAATAGAATCAAAGAGCGTAGACGGCAGGGTCGAGTGCTAAATTAGGTGGGCACAGTTATTACATTTGTAGATATACGCGGACCGCTATGATTACTCGTACATAGTCTCATTCCAACTAGCTGGATAATCCGAAAATTTTGCAAATATGACGATTATCCAAGTGTGACTAGAAGTAAAAGCGAACTAGAGTAACAGTGGCAGACGGAAACGAGAGGATTAGTAATATCACCCACCCTAAGTAATGTGCATCAAGTTCTCAGTTTTATTAAGGGATATGCCGAGGAAAAGCTGTGGTAATTGGAGTGATCTTTGAGAAAAGTAGTACTTAGCTGAGGATTTCTCCCAAGTTTCTGGAGCAATGCAACTGGTATACAACAGAGCGGTAAGAAATTGCTGGATTAACTAAGGTACTATCTGATGTTAGGAGTCCGATATAGTGTCGTCATAATGCTTAAAGTCTTTGATCGTATGAATTTTGACGGGGGAATTTTTTTTTGACAATGGTAGGATGCATAGGACCTGCAATTTGTTACTATAAGCATACGAGTTGAAGTCCATGAGAAGCGGACAACAGACATGATCTTCGACTTTTAACACTTCACAGAAGTGCTGGAGTCTACTGCATTTGTTTACTTGAGCACGATTGTCAATTAGGTTTTGTGGTAATATCTGGCTGTTAAGGATGTTCCATGCAACCCTACTCATGCTTAAACAGTGTATGTGTTGTCATCTCAAGTGACAATTATCATCGGTGTTCGTCATTCATGATTCTTATTTGATTTTATCGTAGACGTATTGGTGAGTGGAAACAATCTGTCCGACTTTTGAGGCGCTTATACAAAGGGATGGCCTCGTTGATCTAGAGTTCGTTAGACAATGTAGTCCTTTAGAGTGAAAGCTCTGGGCAGAAACCTTGATAAGCTTGAAATCCAGACAGCCTCTTATTACGTTTCAGGACCTGCTACTAGAGTGATTGTCCATTTCACCTACTTGAGAAGTTGCATTAGCTTTAGTGAACTGGTTACCAACGAAATCTCAGCTCGGATACAAAAGTCTGGCTTGGCATTTGGCAGCTTGCATCATTTGACTTCTCATCAAGGTGCGTGTGTACTGTCTGTTAGGTTGGTGCATTTAACTTAGCTGCTGAAACATGACAACCTTAAGTGAAGACATGAAACTACCACAGTTTTCTGACTGCTGGTGTGTTCGTCCAGTTCCTCGGGCTAATCAGACGAGCATGAAGAAAAACATTAAGGCTATATAGTTTCATTGACTTGGTTCGAAATTGTTCGCAATGGTAAAGGTGCTATTCATTTCTTATCATCCAAACTCTGGAAATTCCTATCTGTCTTCATCTAAATATTCCTTACGCTGTATCTTTTGGCTTCACAACAGCTCATTTCTGTACTTCTGTGTACTTTCCTTATATGTGGCTACTTAAACTGCTATACTTCTGAGTCTGATTTGGCGGCTGCTCAGTCTACGACAGGATCTTTTTCTAGTTTCTATTAGAAGAAACTACGAAGTAATTAAAATCGGTATGTGAGAGAAATAATTGTATTTTTTGTCTGGCGAATGTATTTATTAAATTCCGGATATGTATGTTATTTATATTGTTATGGTTAGTTTCTAGACAATCAAAGCGGGCATATTAGATGTGCTTGCTGTTTCGTATTGGACAAATTGTATACTTTCTCTTCGATTACTTCTAAGGAAAGCAATAATCCGCTGATTAATACACACTATTATGCACGAACATAAATTAAATTATAGGATGAAAATCTCATTTTGCAGGGAATTTTGGAATAGTCAAAGAATTTCCTAATGTCATGTTACGTTATTAGCTTTGTCGACTACAATATACTTCACATACATTGAATGTTCATAAAAATTCCGCGGTTGTGCTTCCAGTCGTAAGGCTAAATGACCCTAAAGAGAACCAGTGAGTTGTATGATAGACCAAATACGCCAGCTGGAAACCATTACAAAAGCAGTAGAATCTTCAACTGTTTGTGGATTTCGTCAGTATTTATGTTAGTCTGTTCATCTGTAAAAACTCACTTGATTATAATTATTATTCTCTTGGCTTTCGAGTAGATCATAGACCACGTCCCCTCTTTGTCCAGCCGTGCAGTCCTCTTGAGCTGGCTCCAGGATTCCCCATAGACTGTCATCTCCTCCACGTCACCCTCAGACGCTCGACGCGCCATTTTCCACTCAATGGCCTCGGGTGTGATGTCACCCAACGGTCCCCTTAGCATGTGTCTAGTCCTTCTCCGTTACCTTCTACATATTTGTTGCGCAATAGGCATTTGGTTGGTTCGTTCCCATTGTATCTCGTTGCTAACTCTCCCTGGCCATCTGATACTTGACACCAGTTGATGAAAATAATTCCAATGATATCCAGGTTTTTTTTGCATTAAATTATAATAAGTTTTGTCACAAGCTGTTATCAGTTAGAGTCACTGGAAAACGAAAGAGTCCTGGACAGCTGTTTCGTTTGCTTCGTTTCAGACCCTTCATCGGTACTCACCCATCCAGTAATTTCCGATTATAGGACAAGCTTGTAGACAATTCAGCCTGTAGGACCCGATCCAATCGCCCATGAATTTCGACGTCTACCACTTCGTGATCGTAGCGCGACTGACCACTAGCTAATGTTATTGGCGAATATATTTCCTCACGCCCGACACGGCGGGCCTCACTGGTCACAACTTTTCACTAGAACCGCAGGCGACTTTGCCCACTAACCAGTCACTAGCAAGCATCAGATTAATTTATAAGAATTAGTTTGTAGGGATTTGATTTGTTTCAAGTTTGACCAAGAGCTGATATCAATGGGTCAGGTCCCAGTGTTTGAATGGTCCACGAGCTTTCCTTGTGGCCAGAGGGGCCTGGATTCGAAATCTAGTGCGCACGCGCTGGTGAAGAGCCCCGAACTAGGACGAAACGACTGTCTGGTACTCCTAGGTTTTTCATGTAGTTCTCTAACTGATATCAATCCTTGTTTGAACTTGAAACAAGTCAAATCCGTACAAACTAACTCTTGGAAATTAAACTACTACATAAATATTGGGGATTACTCACTGACTTGATATCATTAGTAGGTGCTTTTCTTTTAATTTAACAGCAGACCATGGGCATTGTATTTCTGTGTAATTGTATATTATGTAAATCTCTCATGAACAACAATAAAGCACTAATCACTGGACGATGTTTAGAGTACAATTCATAAATGTATAAAATTAGACATAGACCTTTCTGATTTTCATATAATTTGTCGTCTGTCTATTGTGTATGTATTTCTTCGTTGTCGATGACATAATTATGGTTAATAAATTACGCGTAAAACATCTATCCAATAAATCATATGTACTTTGTCTCATAAATTTATTATTATACATTGATTGTTTTCTCATTTGTTTCATTTCTTGAGGTGTGTTCTTAACTAACATCCAACACCTCCCTGAATGGGATATAGACACAGGTCCTCCGTCCCTAACTGAGGTTACTAAAGCTGTCACCAATCTGAAACTAGGCAAAGCAACAGGATCTGATGGAATGACTCCAGAGGTATTTAAGTACGGTGGAGACAGTTTACTGTCTGCATTAACTGAGGTTCTAAGCAGCGTCTGGGAATCAGAAGTCCCATCGGGTTGGTGTAAGTCACTGATTATCCCCATATACAAGAAGGGAGACAAGTCTTCCTGTGATAATCACAGAGGGATTAGCTTGACTAATATAGTATCTAAAGTCTTAGGCTCAATAATCATGCGTAGACTGAGTGATGCTCGGGAAGCACAAACACGAGAGAGCCAGGCAGGCTTTAGACCAGAAAGAGGGTGTATTGACCATATCTTCAACCTTCGACAGATTCTAGAACATAGTCATTCCTACCGGCGTCCAACAGTCATTATATTTCTTGACCTAAAGGCAGCATTCGACTCTGTCGATCGGCAAGTTCTCTGGAGATGCTTGGCTGTAAAGGGAATTCCAAGAAAATATATTGCACTGATTAAGGCACTCTACTCGTACTCATACAGCCAGGTGAGGGCTTACGGTGAGCTGTCATCTGAACTGATGACGACCAGTGGTGTCCGTCAAGGATGTCCATTATCTCCTTTTCTATTCAACTTCATCATAGATGTGTTAATGGACTTAAACCTAGGTGACTTCAGCGACTCAGGGATTGACTTGCTACCAGGGAATAATCTCGTTGACTTGGAATATGCAGACGATATAGTCCTACTAGGTGAGGACGCTGAAAAAGTGCAGAGTCTTCTGAACACCTTAAGCCGCAATCTCCGAATGTTTGGCATGCGATTCGCTCCCGCCAAATGCAAGATGATGTTACAGGACTGGATTACACCGACTCCCAGATTAGAAATAGGAAGTGAAGTGGTAGAGCGTGTTGGCCGCTTCACTTATTTGGGAAGTACCATCAGCCAGTGCCAACGGGTTGATCTCTGACAAAATCTCAGCACGGATACAGGGGGCTCATTTCGCATTTCCCAGTTTACGCCGTCTCTGGCGTAGACGAGATATTCGATTATCGACCAAAGGGCGGGTGTATTGCTCATCAGTCCGCTCCGTCCTCCTTTATGGCTGTGAGACCTGGCCACTGAGAGTGGAAGACATGAAAAGATTAGCTGTCTTTGATCATAGGTGCCTGCGTTCTATCTCCCGTGTGAAGTGGTATAATAAGGTGAGCACTATTGAGGTTAGGCGTGAGTCGAGTGCTAGGTAATTAGGGGAAATCAATCGACGAGGCTGTGAAGTTACATAGACTGAGGTGGTTAGGACATGTGTTACGTGTGCCTAGTCATCGTCTTCCTCGACGAGCAATGTTAGCTGATATAGGGTCAGGCTGGAAAAAAGCTAGCGGAGGTCAAACCAAAACATGGCCTCACCAGCCAATGAAATCTACAACAGTTAGTCTAAGCCAGTCACGTAGGAAGGTGTAGACTTCCTGACTGGTTGGGGTCCTCGGGACGGTAAAAACCAATGGTTGGAAACAATTGGTGATATGGTTTAAACTCATTGTTCTCAATGCCTGGCGCAGATGCATCCACTCCTTGTGACGTATGATTTCCTATGAAACTGTTTTGTTCTTCGTTATTACTATTCCTTTGTCTCACACCTCTGTTTACTGTCTCTATTATGCTTTTCTTGTACTTTGTTCTCTTGCTTTGTGTGCTACATGGAATGTGGCGACTTTAACTGCCGCACATATGTGCAAAGTTCTATGTCGAAAACAGACGGAGACAAACAGACAGACATTTTTTCAAATACATAATTATCAGCATTTAATTTTCTACTGTCAGTAATAATGTACATTGACTAAGAGTTATTTGAATTAATCATTCTGAACAGCTTGTCTGTAAACCTACTACATCTATCTTAATATAAATGTGAAGTGGGCAGTTGATGACTATTCACTAGAACTAGGTATTGACTCTAAAATCGTAACTGTACTAATAATTGGGAGAAAGAAAATTTATCAAGAGAACCAAATTTATGAAATTTTCATTATTATTTACATTTTATCTTGTGTGTTTTCATATATTTTCGAATAAATCTGGGTGGGTAGTTAATTACTAGTAATGTTTTCCTTAGGTGTTTGATTTCATTATTTGAATCCGACCTGCTAGTTAGGTTTATGGCTCCATTATATAAACATTTAACTAGACCTGCCTTTACCGATTCTGTATGGAATTAATCAAAGTCCAAGTATTTATTAGAATGTGTCGGTTCCCCATAGATGCTAGTATTTAACCCACGTAAATCTGTAAGAACGTTTAATGCTGCTGCTAAGTTGTGGTGAATATATCTCGATGACATCTCCGATGTGTTGAAATCTGAACATATCTTCAAGTTCGTAACACATATTAACTCATTAAGAAATGGATTCCAATTCACTTAAGTTAGAATTTCAACAGGGTGATTTAGTTATACTAAACTGTAAAATAAAACGACAACCGGATGGTTGGTTTACGAAATGCCATGTAATTAATGTGAAGTCAATTACATAGGTCAAGCTAGTAGATAGAGGGCAATTAAATCATTGGAAAATAGGAATTTAGCTGAAGCCAGGATGATTGACCCTGTTAATCTAAAAAACAACTCGGTAATTCACTTGAATGCCATGCTAATAGAGTGGGACTAGGGGGAAGTATTAAGAAGTAACATAATCAGGTGGGGAGACAGAGGTTAATCACTGAATCTGTGTTTATCGATTGAACATCATACACGTGGAATCTAAATGAAGCTACGCCTGTACTGGATAAATGGGAAATTGCAATAAAAACCAATGGGGACTTAGACTACATAAAACAGGTTTATTAATTTGTGTGAATAAATTGATATGACTGTAAGCAATTAAATTGTGTTGGGAATATTTTCCAGTAATTGATACTGTATCACTATGTGTTATATAAAATAACCTTATCTAATATGGAATTACATTCTATCACGGTGTCTAAATTGTACTGTTTCCTTATTTTGCTGTATTTTGAACATCAGCAGATGGTAACTGAGATTTGCTTATGGGTTAACCATCAGGTTGTGGTTATTCAATGAACCTCGTTTGAGGGGTTATTTCTCATGATAAGTTTCAATTGAATGGTTTACTACATTATCCATGAAGGGTTTTCTACTTGATGTACTACTATAATCAAGAAGTGTGAGAATGACTTATATGATCATAGTTGCCATATGACTTTAGACAGTGGTAGGGCTGTATATCTGTTAACCTTGAGTATCGTGAATATGCTTTTGATCATATACAGATGTTTTTTAATCATATCTCAGTTTATTTCTATAAAGACTTCGAAATTGAAAAGAAAGTTATTTCGTAAAATATTTTCTTTATTTCTGCTTTAAATGTTTATCAACAGCATTAACAGTTGGATCAGGTGAATGGCTAAAAGAAGTTTCCGGTGGTGGGATTGGATAAAAAGTTAATGAACACGTCCTGTAATGCTTTCTGGGATACTTTTTATCGTTACTGGATGTGGGTGACTTCAGTAAGCAGGGAAATTCAATGTTTTTGTCTATTATTTTTGTGGTTTGACCTAAGACATTTGATGTATTGAGATTGTACAATCTACTGTTAATAAGATTTAGATCTTTTTCACTTTGAACACGAGGTCCTACTTTAGGTAAGTGTGAAAATGTATTTGTCGGATTATCTAGAATATTTTCAGAATTCATTGTTTTGTACTCCTTGTATTTAATGTCACTCAGCTGAAATATATCATGAACAGATGCAGGTCTTTCCATGTGTATGTGATCCCGGTTGTATGCATCCTCGTAGACTGAGAGATTATCTTGAAGATAACCTAAATCAGAAATACGAAACTGTTCGTTCAAAGAATTGTCTTTTTCAATTTCATCATCTCTTACTGGAATACATCTGTGCAAATAATGTGGATCTGTCAAAAGTTGGTTTGGTGGATTCGTGCTAAATTTTCTGTAATGTATGTCACTTTCATCACCTACATCTCTTTTGTATTTATGCGGACTTGATGTACCAGTTCTATAATACCTTATGCTACGATTGCTTGATCGAGGACTCATATTAACTCGGTGAAATGAAATTGTATCCCAATCCACATCTTTGACACTTCGACCTAAAAGGTAGGAGAGACAAGTACCTTTATACAATCTCAGGTTCGAAGGTTATTTACACGTATAAATTTTTAGAATATTTTAGATTTAAAACTTACCTTATATGAATGATTCATTTTTGTAGTGTTTTGGAAAGCATTCTGTGTTAATTTGTTTATTAGATATATCACAGTGAGACGGTATTATTATTTAACTGGATGACGTTTCGAACACAATTTCTTGTTGATTATCATATCAATTATAATTAAACAACTTCAAAACTTTAGTTTTATAGTTTTCTTTATTCTTTCGTATTTATTGTAGGGGTAGTAGAATTTTCCAGATTTCTGGGACAGGTGTCGGATCATGCCTATTACACGTGTTTACAGCTGATTCGATAAACAAAGTTTCCGTTACCAATCTCTCCCTCCACCCTGTTACATTAGACCTTAAAACTGTCGTCTTACCCCATCCTATTGTATCGTTGTGTGTAATTGTATGTAGTGAGTGCTATAGCTGAACTATTCTCCGTCATCCAGTAAATAATTCTGTTTCACTGTGTGAATGCAATATTTCATTATGCAAAATGACATAGATTGTTTAAGTCAGTTTTTAAAGCCTCAGTAGGATTTACTATCTCCTTATCTGAGGATTGAAGCTGAATTTTATGACGGTGCAGTAGTTGGTGAGTAGAGCAATAAACAAAGCAAAGACGAAGGAAAGCACCAGCTGTATTTAAGTTAGTAGCTAGATGTAAGGCCATTTAGAGATTTTATGAAGCTTGATGAATTTTGATTAAAATTAAGGAATAGGGTTATCACATTATACCGAACAAAACAATCTTATTGCCGAAGACTTTATTTCTCTCACGGGTGGATTGCGTTACATCTAGGTCGCCTTTACTAGTTTCAGTTGCTGGTTCTATTCTTTATGTGCCAGTGAAGCGCGAAATCTTTTCACTTGCCTAACACTATGCATTAAAAACAACACAGAGATTACAGTTCTCCTTAGTTCTGTGTTTAGAAATTCTGTTGAAGAATTACAGGTGTGACAAATTTGGTATATATCTCAAATAAAAGTCTACAAAAAATCATTTAAAATTTTTCTGTACTGTAACAGGGTTCCTGATTAAATATGCCTTGATCTTTATTTCATAAATATATCCATGAAAATATTTGCTGTCATGAAAATTTTGTTTTCTCTCACTTGAACACACTTAGAAGAATCGACTACTACTGTAAAGCACTCAACTTTAAATCACCGAAAATAGCCACTGAGTCATGAAGAAAATAAAAAGACAAATTCGGCGAAGAAAATTTTCTTTATCGACGAAATCAACCTCGGAGGCTGTAGTCGTATTTGTATTCACTCAATAATAGAGTACTATACATTTTTATTAAATATAAATACGACTGTACCGCTCGCTGCTGAAGTTGATTTTGTCGATAACAAAAATTTTCTTCACTGAATTTGTCTTTTATTTTCTTCATTCTACTTTAGTGGCTTTCTGTTTAGTTATAAGAAGAATAGTGCACGACTGACTGGTGGTGGTCGTTAACACTCACAAGATTGAATTGATTGGTCTTCGAAGGTGTGTAATTAATGTCATACAGGTATTTCTAAAATACTATCACAGCATATAAAAGCAGGTATATTTTAACTCTGCAAGAATTTGTGAACTATGCTGCTGTTAGTATTCATAAGTGTGATGGTTAAATTTACCAGATGGAAGAATTACTTTAAATCCTCTCGAGAAATTTTTTCTCATTTTAACATATTCGGTTAATAAGTTCTCATCTAGTAGTTGTTTTACAGGTAAGTTTTGATCTGTGTAAAACTATAATTCTCATTGTCTTTTGTTATAATTTAAAGACGGCTGAAAACGGTGAAATTTTAATATAGGCTTTGTCACAACAGTTGATATGAAATTAAATCTCTTACTTTACATGTAGAATAATGACTGTGAAAGCAGTTCAATGAACATAATTTATACCTAACATCTTTACAAATGCTGCAGAGATATTTTCAAAATTCAGTATATAACCCTGAAAGCTGTGTTGACATCGATGCGATGTCCAGTATCGACCAAGTGTGACAGGATCGAGCTTTTTATGCACTTAATTTCCCCCCCTGCTGAACCAAGCATCGACATCGCATCTATTTCAACACAGCTTTCAGGGTTATATTTTCAAAAGACTTACAATTTGAAATTTTTACAAAAAGATGTGGACATCATTACAAATAATCATTTACCAGAGATTTATTGACAGATGTTGATCACTAATCAACTGCTTTATGCAATCTTGCATACGACAGTGCAAAATATATAGCTCAAAACCATCAGGTGAAGGAATCACTTTACGATTTGGCCCCAAGTTTGCGAATAAATGTTTCATAGTCTCAAACTTATGTTGATTTGCGATATATCGTGACTATCACTCTCGCTATACCCGAGTTACCCTCCTATCTTTGAAGAAATTCATCTTCAAATTAATTAAGTCTTCGCAACTTGACCAACTTGGGATCAGTTTATTTCTGATCATTAACTAATTTCGAAATAGTTCTAATGAGAATTCATGACTGCTGTTTGTTGCATCAACTAGAGGATGGCTACTCGCTGATAACACTGGCTGGTAGCCGCTTTGTCACCAACTAAGAGAAGTTGTAAACAATGGACCATCGGTTTCGGATTCAGTGGGTGAATGACGGTGTGGTCATCTCAAGTCATGACTGTCCTGATCTAGATTTTTCCGTGATTCCTAGAAATGACAAAGCAAGTATCTGATGATTTTCTATCTTCATTTGTTCACAGGCCGATCATCAGTACATTACTGGATGGAACTTAAAGAATATCAATTATAATTGTAGAAAGTTTATTATTTCTCTTTTGACTCGATAGTAGGAAGTTGACAACAGCTTGTAATTAGTTGTTTTTCATGTCTCTCAAAAATTCTCCTCGTTACATATAAAGGATTATGCTGTTAATATTGAAGTCTACATTAGTCTACATAACTTGTGCATGCGGAATTTATCCCCTTTTTATTTAATCTAAAAATGTCTGATAACCCGTTGCAGGATAAAATAAATGTTACAGACATTCAATGTGTTGGGGGGGGGGTATTGTGACAAATAATTTTGTCAAAATTTACAAGTCGTAAATACTAAGCGTAAGGTTTAATCAGTGGTGATCAACGACAAACATATACATCTACAGTTCTATTATAATCACTTATCTTCAAAACAAGGTTTCTAAATGTCTAGGAAAATCAAGCAACTGAGCCTATCTCCTGTGTGATTGTAGCTCAGTGGTTTAAGCACTAGATTTCCAACCATTTGGTCACAGATTGGAATCTTTCTTCGCCTACTGGTATATCATCGTCAAGCCTCAAACAATAGATATACTTCATTATCAGTTGTACGTTAAAGCAAGAGTTTGTTAAGCAATATTTCATTTCACGTTTTCTCCTCTAGAATTATGTTCTTCAGTAACTGTGTTTGAAATATACTTGAATGATAAGATTTGAATGAGGAATAGATTTCATGTGGTGATTTTTTTCTGTTTTTAGAGCTAGTATGGCGTCTTTGTTGAAAATTAATGAGTTTAAGCGTATATTTAACCTCCACATCCTTATTACAGAATCTATATCCTTGAAAGACATAAAAATTATAAATAATTTAAAGGCTGTGAAAATATTTTTACATGGAGGATTTCACCATGAGCTGACATCAGTTAGAGAACCACTGGAAAACCTGGGAATACTGGACAACTGTTTCGTCCTAGTTTGGAACTCCTTAGCAGTACGCAACCACCGGGATTCGAACCCAGGACCTTCTGGTTACTTTTTTTTTACTTTTTTACTTTTACCACTGATTAGATTTAATAAATTTCTGTTCTGAAACTTTTCGGATTAGTAAAATAAATCATAATGTTATGAAAAGAACAATATACAGTAGATGAGAATTAAGATTATTCTTACGCAAATATTTATTAATCCTGTTTCTTTTGGCCATAACGTTAGCTTGCGTAACCAATGTATGTACTGCTTCTGCGAAATCTAAATTTGACAGATTTGTATGTTGCTGGTGATAAGGATTGAGTTTATACTTTCCAAATGAATGGTCATATCCTCTTCTTTCTATTCCTTTACGTGAATAGTTCTCACTGAGTTTTCTAAGTTTCCTAAACATTGGATCTATCGTTGAATACTGATTATCTGTTTCAGGTGGATGAGGATAGAAGATTAACTTTTGATTACTACTTGGAATTAAATGCCTATTATTCTCGTCTGTATTCTCAGTATCAGTATTATTATTATTACGATAAACTGCTGTTCCATATGGCATATCTGTATAGACTTTAATCTTATTAACTTGAGGATTTCGATGGACCTGTGGTGTTGCAGTGGAATTTTGTAGTCTATATTGATGATATGAATCAGGATAGTATATGTAATCTGTACTTGTTGTAGTGGTCAAAGAATTGTCTGAATTTCTCAATATATAACTGTCTGTTAACTGCGCATCTCTCTCATTATCGCCTTCCACATCATCATTCCCACTGGTAACATTTACATCTTCATGCATATCACCTTGTTGAATATATGGTGTTTTATCATACTTCTCAGCTGGTGATATAACAATATTCGGATAGTTTTGTCTGGCATTATTATTATTGTTGTTGTTTGTGATCTCAGTGTTCCTATTGTTTTTAACTATTTTATCCAGACTATTTTCATCTTTCAGTTGCTGTTGTTTAGTCTGAATTAACTTTTCTCTTAGTTCATTTGCATGAGTTTTGTATTTTGTAGCAACATCCTTGTGATTATGCTCCGTAGCCATCTAAATATATGAAATTAACAAAAGGAGTTATCATCATTATTATATTTAGTGAACTACAGCATTTTAAAATAAAGATTATAATCTTTGATGAAATTTTGTAGATACTTGTGATACGAAAATACTAAGCTTTATTTACACTACTGTCAAGATTTATGTATCTATAGCGAGGAAAATCCCGAGTGCTAATGCGTATTACTAGGCTTTAAGTAATTAGAGTAAAGTTTTGAACAACGTTTTAGTGTCCTGCTTTATTCAAACCCGAAATCCAACTTTCGTGTGATAGAGGCGTAAAGGTAATATCGGTCTACTGTCGGAATCAGTGTGGTGTGAGTAACCACGCCCTCCACAGATGGCTAGATATATTCCTTGCTAACTCAGATGCAAGAACTTTGCATCCCTCTCTATCTTCCTGTGGTTTTGGGTCACTTTAGATAGGATTATGAATTACGAGTGAATCTATGTAAGTAGATTATAAAGAATCCCATATGACTCTGTGATTAAGTAAAACTAGTTCTTATTTTCAATGAGATAAGGTAAGAAGACTAGCTTCCTCGACATGGTCAGTCGGATGATGTTGACCACACACGTATTTTTTTGGTAGTAGAGTTGGATCTGATCACCAATCATTTCTGTCGTGATCATTTAGGTCATTTTGAGAATAAAAGAAAACCCGCGACAACGATAATTTTAAGACAGATTTCTTCACAATACAACATCAGGTAAGTAACTACTAAAACTCGTTCTCGTTTGATTGTCTTCACCAGTGTACAGTCACTATCAGACAAAGGATCAACCCCATGATCTTCAAGATACCAAATAAGCAAATTAGAATTGAATTATCGGGATGGAGTCTACTAATCATCTAATTCTAATTCCTATCAAATTGCTATGTAACACCTATGCTATTCGGTGCAACTGATGACTAGCTGTCTTTACACTCCACCTAGTGATTCCCAGCAGGTGTAGCATATCAGTTTTCAAGTTTATTTTATGATCAGTCAGTTACTGCTAATTATCCCTTTACTGTTGATTAGGATTTACCAACGAGAAGTTCATATTTGTAAAGCGGATATCTTTTCACTAATAATCAATATTATTAATTGTTTATAAGAATCTTACATGATCGATTTCCATATTGCTAACTGATCGAAGATCTATTCTGCTACCATAACGTGAATGTTCTGTACTAGGGTTCGGTAAACGACCGCTACTGTGAAATGGACTTCAAGTAAAATAAAGTGAAAAAAAATATTCATGTAAATATGTGTAAAATGGTTTGAAGTACAAAGTATAAACAAAATACTGAATCTTGTAAATTATAAAGTCACTGATGAAAATTCTTTCTAATGGCCAAACTTGGGGCATCAGTGAATGTATCTGAGCTACTCTATTTTTGAATTATTTACACATTGGTAAAACATTAACAGGCTAGGTAGATTATTTAATATTGAATAAATTTCATTGTTAAATTATTCCTGATAACTTTGTGGGAACCTTATAATTTGTATATTTAGATGATAGATTAGTGTCGAAGAGAAATCTTTGTTTAAAGCAGACCCAAACTGCGTACCTGTAGGTTACCGATTACTCTCTCTTCTCAAAGAACTTGAAAGATATTCAATTCAGTTTAACATTGCACCATTTGCTCAGTCAGTTGTTCTAGCCCCAATGTGAAGATTGTATATTTCATTCCCCAAAGTTATTTAAAGGGTAATTCATTAGACTTTCGAGCTATATAGATATGCTTAAAAATGTGTACACCAACCGTAATAACTGAATACCCCGGGTAATTTATTTTCTGAATCACTAAAGAAGCAGAACTTAAAACACTTCCTTGCAAAGAAGCTCAGTTATTATGTCTCACCCCTACGTCATCATTAAACTTAACAATATATAAATAGTAAAAAAGAATACACAGTACAATGATTCTAGTGTAATCTATTATTTTGAATGTGATCAGTTTATTGTTGCATGACATATCTGGAAAACGAGAGATACATGAATTTGTCAAAGTACCGCGCTTTACGTTATGACCAAGTGTAAGACATAGCTGCAATGAATATGTATGTCCATTTTATGTTACTTTTCAAATGCAAAATAGTCCACCGATTTGATAGGTTTACATAAATCATTCAGAATACAAATGCTGCGAGGTAATATCTCAAATGATATCCGTTGGGGTGATGCACATTGATAGGGTGTGACCGAAATTGAAATCGACACTTTAAGTCAATCGCCGCAGAGGTAGGAGTGTTTATTCCCCAAATCTGGATTTAGTTTATGTTGTCAACATTAAATGACTTCATTGGACGACTTGTTTAACCTTGGGCCAATCGCCAACCAATCACAATAATTTGTTCTCCTCTGAACTAGCAGAACTTTAATTTAGCTAATAATGTGTAAATATGTTGTTTTTTCCTTAATAAAAGCTCTTTATCAGTTCTGTTATCTTCTCCCGTTACAGGCTTACAAAGTACTTTTGGATGTCAGTTAATTAAGATTTTAAGATACTAAAGTTTATTTTAACCGAAATGAGAGGATGCATATCAATAAAATAGCAAGTACCGGCTAACAGCACAGAAGGAAGAAATAAAGTGCAGCTTTCCTGTCATATTCAGTCATTAATATCCGATTCCAAGGCATGATTTTTTAAACAGGAAACACTATTTTTCTTATTCTTAAGGATGAATTTTGAAGGTTAAGTGAATGTGCATTTTAGCAGCTTAAGAAGACTAATTCATTCACCAATTTGTTTCTAGCTGTCAAGTCAACAATTTAACTATAATTTTAAGAAAAAACATCAAGGGAAAGGAACGGTTATTTATTGGCTAAGTGTTTTGGCTCAATTGGTAACCCGCGTTTATTGTTATAGTTGATTTACTTCGCCCATTATCAATCAATAATCATTTTTGCACAGTTCTCCAGCTGGTTTTGTGACAAAATTTTTATATAGAACGAACTACAAAATTGTTGAGTAAATCTGTTCACCTTAATAGAAAACTTCAGATTTCGAACATTGAAGACAATCATACATGGAAACCTTCAGCTGAGGATGATAAATCTTTGCTGTTCTTCGAATTTCATATTTATGCTTATTAAAGAAGCTAGTTATGTGCAGGCTTACATCACAAACATAAAATTAAAAGAAGAACTAATTTCAAACATATTCACCTATTGTATAAACCAAATAACCTAGACGAACTATACGGAAATTGTGGTTTCTTAGTTTTAATCAATAAATATTATATAACATGTCAATAGATTATACAGATAACTAAACTTACTCATGTCCTAACATTTGAGTTAAACATGCTTCAAGTATAGGTTTCTGTAGAAAGAAAATGATTTGTTTGAATTATAATAATAAGTTTATAAGTGACTAGCGATCAAAACTCATTTTTCACTTCAATTTTCTGATCAAAGAATGCAGTACCATTGATAGTATTCTATATCACATAAATTGGATTATTTCAAAACAAGCTTTACCAGCATTGCATATTTCCTAATTAATTGAAAGACGTTCCGGAGATAATGTGGAAAGCTTTAGTTTTTGAAACTGTACTTAGCAGAAAATAACTTTTGACCAGGAAAGAACTAACGAAAATTCTCATGCTCCTTGTGTATTCATAAATATCATGCTGGAAAAATATACCTCTAGGAAATTTAATCAGTTTGAATCGTTAAATGCTTAGTGTATTATTTTAAACTGATTCAAAAGTTTGGCATTTAGCGCCTTATAAATGTCACAAATGCGTTCACCCAATAGTCTTAACTCTAGATGAATCATTCTCAGATAGGATCAGGGTATTAACTTGATTCTGTTCATCTCCGATAAATTCATCTTGTATTCAGACTACTGAATAAAGCTGCGTTGCTTTAAAAAATTTGTTCTGTCCCTGAATCTCACTAAGGATATGATCTATAATTGAATTACTCATACACACAGCTGATAAATACAAAAGGTTTTTCTTGGATTCTTTTGGTACACACCACCAAAAAAATATCAAACTGGAAACTTCAAAAATCCACGTATCCATTCTTAAAGCTAATAGAATCAAAGGTCAATCCTATTCAGACGAAATAATGAAGAAATACGATTACAGATAAATAACGTCACAGTCTGAAGGAAGTAGTTAGCTAACCTATGCTAAATGAAAAACATATCTTTACTGCTGACTTTATAAAAATAGTGTGGAAATGGTGCATCATGCGTGTGCATATTTTTTTATCACTGTATATTCTAAAAAGATGTGCCTTTTATACCTGCATAACTATGTATTCATGTAAGTGCAAAACTTGGGCACTGTGGTAGAATGTAGTTCTATATTAGATAAATGTGTTTTAAATATCACAAAGTGATGCAGTATAAACAACTAGATGACGTTTCGAGCATAAGCTATTACTCATAATCAGCTATTAATCTTATATTTTCTATGGGTCCTCATACATTTCTGAATAAATTCTGGTGGCTAGTTATGCACTAGTAATATTTCCTTTACTTGTTTGATTTCATTACATAAATCTTCTGGCTTATTGGTTAGGCTTCTGGCCTAATTATATAGATATTTAACCAAACCTATCTATGCCGATTCCGGATGGAATAAATGAAAGCCTAAGAAAACGAACAAGGTGAGTTGGTCATGCCAGACTGTAAAATAAAACGAAAACAAGATGGTGGGTTAGACACCAGCATTTAGAGGGAACCGAGACACTCTAATACTCAAGGGTGGCATTTAAACCAACCAACTCAGTCAGTTTGTAGGATTAATGGCCCGGTAAAAATGCCATATAATTAATCTGGGGTCAATTTGATTATCAGAAAATAGGAATTTAGCCGAAGCTAGAATGAGTGACCCTGCTAAGTTAAATAATATAGCAAAACACCCCGTCGTCACAATGTATTCACTTGCATGTAATCACACAATAGGGTAGGAAAGAGTGAACGTATTAAAGAGTAATATAGTTAGGTGGAGAGACAGAGGTTAATCACTGAATCTTTATTTATCGATTCAAAACCTCACACATGTAATCAAAATAACACAACGCCTATACAGGATATATGAAAAGTGGCAACAAACAACAAGGGGAACAGGAAGAGAGAAGAATACATGTATAAAACAAATCATGTAGTCATCTGACCAACTGATATGCTCAAAATGCCATCCAGTTGTTAATACTGCATCACTGTGTGATATTTAAAGTAAACTTATATAGGATTGAGTAACTGTGAATCCGGTTGCTTAATGTTGTAGTGAATGCTTTGTCATAAATTAATTGAAAACAACCATAAGGATTCAGCTGAATATGTCGATAGAGCGAAACTACCAAGATCTGTACTGAACATTAGAATATGTCATATTAACGTTATAATGTAACCAACGGATCATTTAAATTTTAATATTACTAGCTAATTGAAATTTTAGTAGGCAGTGGAAAATATATTTAGGTCTAAATTTAGGATAGTTGATTGGAAATTAAACTTATATTACTTCAAGTCTTTATTTGAATCAGTTATCAAGTAATTAACAGTTGATTGAAGCAAAACTTACAGTACTCAATTGGTGTAAACTGCCTTTATTTCCACTTGACTTATTCAACTGCCAATTCTCATAAATCAGTAGTCCCGCATATATTTTGCCAACAGTTAAACGAGTGAATGTATACTCTTTCGAAATAAGAAAAATATAAATTAAATACATTTCTCTATTTATTATTCGCTTTTTCATATATATATATATATATATATATCTTCAATGCATATCCTCGCAAATTGTAGCGTCGTATTCTCTTATTATGTTGGTTTAATGACAAATCGTAGTTTTTATATGGTTTTTAAATGAAATTTCGTACTAAAAAATTGTTTTCGGATCAGCATATCGTAGGTGACATTATATTCTTGAAGTGCATTACATTTGCTGCACCTGTATCAGAAAGTGTTGCCTGATATTGATATCTTAGCAATTAAATAGATTAATTCAAGCGTATATTTTTGGATTATCATGGTATCGTGAAGGTTTATTTGACCTATTTGTCGAAACGCGGCTCTACCCGCCGGAAAAAGGTTGCGCCACTTGGAATAGGGGATGTGCCATATAATCGCCTGATTATCTTAAGTATCTGCTTCGTTAATCAATTCTAAAAGCATATTTTTTTGTTTTTTATTTAAAAGCTTCTGTTTATCAGGTTATGACGTTAATTTACTTAGAGTACATAGCAGAATAAAAAACACTAATTCTAAAGGTGATAGAAATATATCATCAGCTACGTGAATACCACCTTCAACATTGTACAAAGTACTTACAAAGAATGATCTGAATGTACTTAATGATTCTCCAAATAACATCACTGGAATAAATTATGTTTATTTGCATGAAACTACATACTACTGACTTGTTGATATGAGTAGTTGAATAGCATTCACGTCAGCCAGTACTGTTTGCTAGCCTAGTCTAAGTGATCTAAACATCGGGCAGACGTTTGGGACTGAACTCATCAGCGGGCTACCCGACCTGAATTAGTTCGCACCACCCGATATCTGGCTACCTACTTGGACAAACTGGTAATTCTATGTATCAGTTTGCGAATTTAATTTATTGTAACGTTTACTTTACTAAAACGTAAACTGGTTATGAAAAAACTTTCTTCAGCATTATCAGTGAGTGAAGAAATTCCATTGATATCTGAGGTACTATTAAGACACAACAATGTAGTACTCCTGTAACATCCATATCCTGATGTAAAAATATCTTAAATATCATGGAGGTATTCTTCAGGTTGATGAGGTAACTGTTAGTCCTTTATTATTCGATACATTTTCGAAATTGTCTTCCAAATAAAGTTACGAACTTATTGATGACATTTAAGCGTATCAGTTCAGTCATGTGATGAAAATGGAGACGAAAAATGTCAGTCTTTAGAGTCTAGACGGTACGTGCATTTTGTCTTCATTTCTTACAACGTTTTAAAATCAAATGCCAATAAATTTACTAGGAGGAGACTCTTTACTCAACTACGTTTTTTTAAAAAAAGTATGTTTCCTATCACATTCATATGTGTTTGTTTCAGTTTTTTTCATCATCGTTTTCTATACTGTTTCAAAAACTGATGACTGAAAGTAATGCACATCTATGAATTTCAGTTAAACAGTCGATTCTTGCTGATGATGACCAACACTTTTATGAGATATGTCAGACTTATTTTACTCTGATAGTCAATCTAGCTTTGACATTTCACTATCCTAATTAAAGAATTATAACTAGCATGTTTACTACTTGTTAACACTAAAAATCAGTAATTACTCAAAATTAAAATTAGCAGACTTCCAAAACATTCTAATCAAGTTGTATTCTTTATGTATTCATCAGTATTTACTATTCACCAGTGGTAAGTAGTCACATATTTCAGTATAGTTGTGTTCTCTGAGGTCAGTAGTTTAAAAGCGAAGTTTTCATTGTCTTCCTAGACACCATCTTCAGTGCAGATTGTAATGTGAGACTGGCTTTCAAAATTCTCCACGAGTTTAATAGTTGTCTCCCGTGATAACCCTCAGCGTGACTGGCTGCTTCCAGGAATTTTCTCACCGTCTTCTCTACTTCTATTGGTACGTAGTATTTAGTCGAGAATTCTAAAACGTCATATCACACTGAAGATGTTGTCCAGAAAGAGACAATAACAGCTTCCCAATTAAATCATTCAGCTCAGTGAACACAACTACATCACTATCATCCACCTGAGCTATAATTCTTCTGCATTTTTTCTAGGAGTATATTAATTTAGTTTACTAGATACATTTGTAACAAAAGCTTACTTCAACAAAATTGAAAATGTAAAGTGTATCGACAGAATGGATGCGGTTGCTTTGACAATATCTGTCAGTTAGATAGCGTAATAGTTTTTTTCGTAATGTTTCCGCTTGAATAACCACAAAAGTCAAATCTTCAGATAAGCAGCTGAAGTCTTCTTTTTCAATGGTATACGTTGAAAGGTTGTAATAAATGATTGTAACTTCTAACTAGTCTCTCTTAACGATAGATTTCACGCCCTTAGTGTATGTGGAATTCTGTGATGTTATAGAATTGCAGTCAATCAAAAGCCGCTGGGTTTCATGCTTGTGTTCATCAAGACGATAGTTATAATTTGTTGTTTCATTAACCAAGTTTAAAGGAAACCTCAGAAAATGTATTAGAACAGTAATTGGTTTACTTCATCTACAGTGTCAGATCGAAATGCTGTATATCATGCAGAATATAATTAGTAACAAAAGCATTACAGTTACAGATCAGATGTTTGAAATACTCTGGTGGTCAAATAAATACATTAAAATTACAATAATTTTTGTTTTACCTGAATCTGGCGGTAATAGCAGGTCCAAAGATCTCTTTGCTTGTACTGGCCATAGAGTTTTAATAGTTTCACGTAATTCTGCATCTTTAGTATCCATAAATTCAGCTGGTGCCATTTTAATGCCTAATGATTCACGGACTAAAGCGAAAAGTGTAGTCGTAAAATGCACTGTTCCTGCACTATCTACAGGCATATTCATCCGAATTAGTTTCTAGATCAAAAAGGAAATATACATAGAATAATATTTATATGATTTGTAATTATGTTGTGATAAAGAGAAGCTTTTTTTCTGTACAAACTAATTACTCATTACACAATTGTGATAAGTGTTAGAAAATATTAGAAAGGAGGCCTATTTTGCCTACCTTCTATGCCAGTTGTAAAGCCCATGCAACTCACAATATTACTGAAAAGAAGCTGCCAAGCCATCTAGGCTAATTTGGTCTCAGCATCTCTACTACTTAGCATCTGACGCCCAATTCGTCTAATACATGGCATATTGGCCAACTGTGGACGAGTACGTGACACTGATAATTCTTTGGAATGCACACATTTTAAGAAGCTTTTTTATTCATTCATTATAGTACGTACAACTTTCAATCTTTTGGCAACGTCGGGGGACCATCTTCATCTAACAACTGATGTGTCAATAATAAGGCGCATATCAGTAGTAAAAATGCCTTAAGACGTATTCAGAAGCAATGTGTACCAAAAAATGTACTAATAATTTGATCAAGAGGTGTTTTAAACTGAGTCATTCACTTGTTTGATGCATTTCTTTGAAGTAGTGGTGAATATTTACGAATCAGCATGTGTATATTGGCTTAGCACAGGTGCTTTAACGTTCTCACGGGAATCTATGCGCAAAATGTCATTGAAAGCTCCTGCCTAATTAGGAATAGCTAAAAAACACTCCTGACTTGAGATAGGCGTTTATGAACGATGCTGAGGTATTCTTAGTTAAAAAAATATAAATAGGAGAAACTTCCCTATGATGGTATAGAAATTGAGCTAGGGATTACAACATTTCATGAGTTTCATTGTTGTTTATTTTTGTGACAGTTTTGATTGGACAGACTTTAATTACTTCATCTAAAACATGAACTTTGGATCAACCCTTTCTGTTTGATTGGTGCATCAAATGTGCAATTATTTCACGGAGTAAAACGTGCTATCTACTGCGACTCTAATTTTCTTTATCATTTACTCAAGTAACTATGGTAACAATTTTATTTGAATGAATATCTTGGTTAGAGGTTTACTCATATGTTAGTGGTATATATGCCTTATTACTTGTTTCACAAAGCTGATTTGTTTTACCACAAATATTTACTGAAATATACTTCATTCAGGTTACCGAAGGGTTTGCGGATCAATTTTTAGTTTGTGAATTAGAACTTCAATAGATCATTACTAGTTTCCTTGAGCCAAATACTATACCACATAGAATCAAAATAATATTAAGTTGACAAGAGCGCGAATGTTTGCTTGTTACACTAAAATATTCATGATATGGAGCTGTACAATTCAAGAATTGAAACGCTTAGGAAAAGATGCACATTTCATCGGATAAACCTATACAAAATTAAATTTAAATAAACTATAAGCTATCCAATTCCTTAAGAAATTTACTGAGAATCCCTATTTCAGTAAAACATATGTAGTAGGAATTTTTATTGACATTGGTTCTGCTGAAATAACTATAGCGCCATCTACGGTTAGAAAGGATATTGCATATTTGAATAATTAAAACATATTGAACATGCATTGCGTCAAATGCTCAATGTTTCTAATAAAAAAGGAAGAGGGTGAGACACCTAACAGATAAACGTGTTAATTTCTATTTTGCATAAATGCCTGATATAAAGTAGGCCATGTGACTATTAAATACATTGAATTCAAATGTCAGTTTTCTTGTAGAACCGTATAACTCTTACTGAAGTCATTTATTAGCAGAGTGATGTGTGATAAATTTAGAAAACGACCACGTGCCTATAAAAAGCTATCCGTACTGCTAGGAAATATCTTACAACTATAGGCACTACAAACTGTTTTCCCACAACCCCGTCCTCCTTCTCCTGCTTAATTCTACTTCAGAATTTACAATTAACACACATTTCTTATTTTATAAAATAGTTCATCAGTTCACTGGCTTTTATTTTCTGTTTTGTAATACAAATATTTGCACTTCTCATACATTTTGCACCCAGATTGCAATTGCTGACTTTCTGCTGTGGTACAATTACCCTTCATAATAGTAATATAATGACAAGAATGATTATCTTGAATATCATACTAATTATGGTAGTAGTAATAATAATTAGAATTTAGACTTACCTTGTATGCAAGTCTGTATGGGCAGTTTTGACCAAATCCCACAGGTGGTTCTAATTTTCTCAACATTTCATACATTTCTGTATAATGTATCCTCCCTCTAAACATAAAAAAATACTAAGTGACAGAAAACATATCGTCAGAAGAGATTTTGAATATTCGCAAAGTAAACAAAAATATCATGTGCTGAACATCTTTTATTTTGAAAACTACTTTTCTTGAGATAATACTTTTTACGAGTTGATCACGGATTGATATCAGTTCGAGAACCATTGAAAACCAGCTGAGAGTACTGAACGGCTGTTTCATCGTAGCTTGGGAATCATCGACAGCACGCATCCACTGGAGTTTGAACCCAGGACCTTCCGGTTGAATTGGGTCCCAGTGGCTGAATGGTATACGAGCTTGCCTTGTAAGCGGAAGGTCCTGGGTTCGAACTCTAGTGGGTGCGTACTGCCGATGATTCCCAAACTAGGATGAAACAGCTGTCCAGTACTCCCAGCTGGTTTTCAATGGTTTTCTAGCTGATATCAATCCGTGATCAACTCGTAAAAACAAAACTAACCCTTACAAACCAAACTACAGGAGATAATACTTATTAAGTTTAACTGATTACACAACAATGATAGTGATCGTAACTTTTACTCATGTCATAACCATTCATCAGTTTCATCATTCTTTTCCCACACAATAAGCTTCATTTGAAATTGATTATTAAATTGATATTTCTTTTAAACAGTATTAAAAGTAAACTCCTTAAATACATATGATGTGTATTTGAAATACCTTGTGTGTTTGTCAGTACTCAGTTGTCTCTGTTACACGTATAATGCTTCTTCTAAAAGGAAGCTTGAATCGAAAATGAAGAATGCGGCCAACTCTTTTCAAGATGTGGCTTTTTTTCTTATCTGTTTGAATTTTCAGCCGCAGTTTTTTTACTATTGTGATGTGACTGCAGTAAGTAAACCCTCAAGCTTTCGCATTTTGTTGTTGATGGTTAATTCAGGCGACTATGGAAATGAGTATTCTTGCTTTTTTCAGCAAACCTACCATCTCACCAACCAGTCTGAAAATCGATTTTAAGGCATTTCAGCTTAAGCAATAGTAGAGGAAAGTAAAAACTAAACAGTTACACTAGGAGCAGTTTGAATGAAATGTGTTAAAAAGGGATTTCACGGGATTTTTTTCTTCGAGATTCAGGTAAATAAAAACTTCAAACTTTAATTTTAGTTGGGAAAAAAATAATCAATTAATGAGATTTGAAAGACAGGTAAGTAGAAGACAAATTGATGTTAAAGAGATTGGAATTTTCATAAATTGTTTAGTATGAATAAATTAATGTAAACTCAACTGTTTTGTCTTTTGGATCCTGCAAATCTATTAAATACAAGAAGGTAGAAAAGTTGTGAAGATCTATATCTTTCAGTTGGTTTATTCCGTGTAGGACTATAAAACGGCTTAAATGTTTTATTGAATTTCGAAATCCTAACCTTTGGTACCTTTGCAATTCAGTGACAACAGACAGAATACTATACACTGCCATTCAGCAGACAACAGATTGAGAAAACCCCATATTCACATGACTTAAAGTTTCCTAGGGTTTAAGATGGTCAGTGGGCTAACCCTGTCACCTGAAGGATGTGAGCTAGATCGCTAGTGTGGTCACAGGTACGGACTACCGAAGATTTCTAAACTAGAACAAAGTAACTGTCCAGTGGTCCTTGGTTTTCAATGGTTCTGTAACTGATATTAATTCTTTACGCAGGCTAAATTTATGCTATATTTTTGTTGATAAGCCAATTTGTTTGCTACTTGTGGTGAATGTAGACAGCTTCAAGTAAAAATATCTATTGTTATCAATATTACCATCTAAGTATAAGGATTTATATAGTTTGTTTTTCACCAGTCCTAGTATACAGTGGTATTATACATGCTGATAAATCTAAATTATCTTACTACCCAAAATTATTAACTGGGGAAAAACATAAATATTAGTTACTCTACTATCTATATTAAGTGATATTGGTTAGGGATTCTTAACATTTCGTTGTAGTATTTGTTCAGTTGACTCAGGCATTTCCCTCCAGTACAATAATTCACGCTTCAAAATCCCACTTCGACTAAATCATCCTGGTCAGCTTGATAAAACCTTAAGGTCAATACATTAAAAAAGGTTTACTGCATAAACTATCATTGAACAAGTAGAATTATAAATAGTCCTTCAATAAAGTATAATTATATTTCAGTGGTTTGTGCACTGGGTTTGAACCCTAGTGGGTGTGTACTGCCGATGATTCCCAAACTAGGATGAAACAGCTGTCCAGTACTCCCTGGTTTTCAATGGTTCCCTAACTGATATCAATCCGTGGTCAACTTGTAAAAATTACCAGTAACAAAACTTATCATTGTGTGTAAACCATTGGAATATAATTATACTTTATTTGATTTTTTCCACAATGCTTAAACTTTCTACTGGCGTTAGGTCCTTCAATAGTTCTTATCTTTGTAAACTAAGAGCTAGACAGGTTTCGGAAAGAGAGTTGTTGGATGTCTATTAAAAATTGAACTCTTTAATTTTTATTTTCAGTGGATGTATTTATAGTTTAAATTTATTACAGTGTAATTTATTTAGTGAGTAAATACAACCTGTTTAACAGATCTAGCAAGATAGAAGTCAACCAACAATAACTGTGTGATTGATAGAATAAATAATCACAGAGAAAATAAACACCAGATAGCTTGTTATACTGCACAGTTTTCATTGTACTTAATAGTCATCTGAAGCTTTAAATTGAATACAGAAAATTGCAGAATATATGAAACAATGACTAATATTTTGTCTCTGAGAGTAATTGATTTCATAATTTTTGGAAACAGTAAATTTCCCTAGGCATTTACATTGCAGACATATCACGTTTACGAATACAAGTGATACTAAATGATTCATAATAAATTTCTGTGGTAATGGTAACAAATATGGTATATATGACATCGTCTAAACCATTGGTAGTTAGAAATATATAACTGGAATCTGTTCTCAAGAATGGTGAGAAAGTAGTTATATTCTGTGTCATTTTAAAAACAAGAGCTTATTGATGATACTGAACAACGACTGCGTTACGGCACTAGTTAACTGAAGTTGGAATTCATTGAATAATAATGTACTCCAGTCTTAAATTGAACGCTCAAGGTTTGGACTTTGGTGAGGCCATGAGTGTATCAAGATCTGTAAGATCTTTCAGTGAGCTAAACACCCTCCTGATAGTGACTTGCACTCCAGTGTCCTCAGTATCTTGACTTCTTACAATTAGCTACATAATACAGTCGTTATCCAATGTCGATACTAAGTGATCGTTTTAATAACGAATCTAATAGTGTTTTTATTATGAGTCTTACCTCACCCAAGGTTGTGGATCCACATTTCTAAACAACCTCAAAGTAGGAGAAGATGTATGTTCACGGATTTCAGCTCGTTAAGTTGGAAAATTTCATTTGATTACTAAAACATGAATAACTACCAGGATTCACCCCTAAATGCGCACGCCTAATAGTTAAGACATAAGACTTAGTGAGTGAATGTATGAAGATTTTTGTAAGTGATAGATAGTACTTCCACTGAGCTTTAAACTCCAACGGCTGGGCTACAGTAGCAGCGTGTGGGATAATCATTATCCTAAATTAATTGAACCGAACATCTGGCATTCTACTTCGAGGAACAACCAGTTGTATAATCACGATAATTTTACCCTATTCTCCCTTTTATTGTATTCTCCTAATCTCTTGGAAGGTCTATCCATTACAGCATTATTTGAAGGTTAACAACGTTAGGAATAAAACAGTATTAGGAATTCTGTAAACTCCATACTAAGTAAACGTTATTTTAGAATTTCGGAAAAATTAAATTATTTTGCCTTTTATTTATTTCCATTGACTTTTTTTCGACAATTCGACTTTGTAAGTCATACATTTTTTTCATGGGATATTAAAATATTTACATCATATTTAACTTTTATTCAGGAAGAAAACACGTAATAATAATTATGAAAACAAAAAAAGAACAAATGTTCAACTTATTCCAAGAATAAGTTGACTGATAATTACTTTGAATGGTATGTGATTTAACTAAGAAGCAGACTGCCAGTCTGGATTTACGCATTAAAAAAATACGCATAAAATTAGCATATTTAGGAGTATATACACGCATATAAACAATGAATATTGTTGCCTGATTGGTTTAATTAATCAAGAAACAACTGTGAAGGAACTTAAAAAATTGTCTATGAAAAGTACTCTATTAGTTCGGATTAAAGTTGCAAGAGTATGTGGGTTAATTGATTGCTCAAAGTGCAGAATAGTGTATCTGTCTACTAATCTAACTACTATAAACTTTTTAAGCGATGACTAACAAAAATGCTTTCAAAAGAATGGTTACTGAACAAGGAATATTCTTTTTGATAAAATCATTATCAGGTTATGTATTGAATCGCCACCCTAAATATTCTCCTTACAAGAAATCCAGATGGTAATATAAAGAGAAATTTGCATAGAAAAGGCACATGGACAGGACAATATACACATTTTCATAGCTTCTTTCCTCTCTAGTACAAAAGAAATTTAGGAAGGAAGGGCTAGAGCTATGTGCTCAGAAGAGGTAATTCAGGACGAACTAAGGATTGTATATGACACCCTAATTGAAAATAGCTATCAAGACAAATTCATCAGAAAACGTATAATCAAGAAAGGGGAAAAGGACTGTTCACCATTTGTAAACAGGAAGCTTTTTATACACACTTCTGCAATTCAAGGGCGATATACCTAGCGAAATAATCACGAAGAAGTTAAGAAAATCAATTCAAAGAGCTTTTAATGCTGATAAACCACAAGTCTTATTTTCTAAACGACCGATGGCGATTCCTCAATTGAACGATGAAGTACCTCTTCTTGTATCTACCAGTTGAACTGTGCTTATGGTGGAGCGAGTTATGTTGGCCATTGCTCTAGAAATTTGATTTTCTGTGCTCACTCAGGAACATCTACCAATGTTGCTGAATAATGGTGTAGTTAGAAGCTTCAATAGCTCTATATTAGGACATCCGGTCCAAACTGGCTACAAAGCCAATATTGAAGAACCCTTCTCTATCAAATAAAGGGTACCAAATAAATTGCTAAAACCATTCAGGGAGAAAGATCTTTTGAAAAAACTCAAAGTATAGGTCATTTAAAATGTTAAACAGGATTGAGGATTTTGAAGCAATACAAATTTCATGTATACTTTAGAGAGTTTTATTAGCCTAAAGTTTGGTAATGAGTACTTTAGAGAAATATTGTCTCACTGGATTTCATAAAAACGAGCCGTCGCTATTTATTAGTTATTCTAGCATTTTTGAAAACTATTGCTGACATTTCTTTAATCCAAATTTACACATATCTTGTAATATATGCCTCTACGTTTCCTATATTTGGTATCCTTAGGTTTGCCTGCAACTTTGAAATAACTCTATGATTTCTGAGTAGAAATATAGTTTAACTATGTGGTTGTTTTCTGAATAATATTCGTCTAATTATCCTCTAAATAGTCAATCCTTTTAACTTTTAATAGTCTAACAGTGTACATGATTTCGGATCTATGTTACTTACATTTCCTATGAATCACTCTTGTTCATCACATAAAATATGTGTTCAAATCAAAGTACAAGTACTTTGATAAAGCTATTAGCATTAAATAGCGAAACGTCAGTAAAAACAATACCGTTTTGATTTTCATTCATTGGGAAATACAAAAACCTTTATTATAATGTACAACCACTTTGATTGAAGATTATGAAAACTTATGTAACACAGCTTTGTGAAGATTTTAGAGATGCATTAATTAACTATTATTTTATTCCTTCTCGGTTCAAGTGGAACATAGGGTTTTAAGCTAGTGCTTTGAAGTTCCTGTAGCAGTTGTTTTATTTTAACCTTTATTCAAGCAATAAACCTTCAGAGTAATAGAAATAGAAAGCAAATTTCACAATGTTTTCCACACGTTTATTGACATAGTGTGGAAGTAAAATTAAAGAAAATGAGTCATTATTCAGATCACTTTATCGGTAGATTTTCCATATGAGTGCTTTATTTTCGTTAGAAAACATTAAAACGAATACCTCTGGAATATTTTAAATTGGAGGCAGTAAATTAGTCATCAGATAAAACAAACAGCCCAAGTGATGATACTGTTGCAAAACATGCAGATGGGCAACTTATGTAAAATTAGTTATAGAGTGTCTCGCATCATTGGACTGATGAACTTAATATATATATATAACCCAAGTTACTTGAAATCTCCTCGTGTACATAAATATTGCATAAATACTAACTTTGACTTTGGTCTCAGTAATATCAGAGAGAAAACTACCTATTTAGGTCATTTTCTTTTGACTTACTTTGCACCTGGATCGTATTCAGCCCATACACGAATGAATTCATCTAAATGATGAGATCCCAGTATAGATGAATCTCTTGTTAAATAATCAAAATTATCCATAATTACAGCGACGAATAAATTGAGCATTAAAAATGAACAGAAAAAATTAAAAGATACAAAATATGCATAAGATGCGTTGCTTCCACAATTGTTTGCTGAACGATTTACACATTCTTGTCCATAAGTACAAGCAAGCATTATCTCCTGCCATGATTCACCTGTAGCACAACTACAAACAAAAATTAATGAAAAACAAATGTTGACACAAAGTATGAACAACTTAATAACGATATGGAAGATTTCTTCGTGAGCTGAACCATTGGAAAACCTGCAGGGGAGTACTGGACAGTTGTTTCGTCCCAGTTTGGGACTCTTCGAACCCCGGTGGGTGCGTACTAATGAGGAATCCCGAACTCGGACGAAACAGCTGTCCAGTACTCTTAGGTTTTCCAGTGGTTCTCTAGCTGATGTCAGCCCATGATGAAATCTTCCATGTAATGAAACAAATTCCCTACAAAACCAATACTTGAAAGTTAATAATGATATATTTACCCTCAAATTCATAGCTTATAAGTCTCGTATCAAATGGAAAGAGGATAAGAGGATAATCAATAAGTTAAATTCTTTAAATCAGGTAACTACATTATGAAAGAACTCAACTGTAAAGGGCTACATAGTGGGCAACTTGTCAGTTGACTAAATGAGCTGCATTTAAGACGTAAATATTTTAAACCTTAATTAGTTATCATGTTATTCAGCGTTTTTAAGTATTATACAAGCAGTATCACAGTATAACAGATTAGAAAACTGACATTAAGAAGAAAATTCGTTTTGGAAACTAAAACATCTGTCCTTGAACTAACTTATATTCTTCAGAAGTACAGTTTCATTGATGGGAAATATACATTCAAAGCTTTAATAAATTATCTCTGTTTTGTAGTTGTAGCAACCAGAAATTGTGTTTGACCTAAATATATGTATTTACTTAATTTTCATTAAAGAAGCATATCAACTTAGGAATAAATAAATAAATGTTAAATAAATTTTTATGAGAAGTAAATCGGAGCTTAACGTAATAAATATTAATTATTATTATTCCCTTGGGTTCTGGGTGGAACATAGGGCTTCAGTAACACATCTTCACATTGCTCTACGTTCTGCTGTCCTCTTCAGATGGGTCCATAATTGCTCATAATCTCTCACCTTTTCTTCTCAAGATCTCCATGCGACCCTAGGATGATTCACTCATCGCTTCACATTTGGATTCTACCTGAGCAATGGCCTGGTGCGTGATGTCATTCGATGGCCTCCTGAATGTATGCCCGACCCATTTTCTCTTACACATATGCTAGTATAATATAGTTATCTATCGATGCATTCAAGTTAATGCCATTGATTTAGATGGATTCACAATAGAAACTGTTTCACGCTAATGCTATTAACTAAAGTGATGACAAATTTAGAAGAAATGCCGGTCAGTTATCCTTTAATTGGGAAGCTTAGGAATAGTTACGAAATTCTTATGTGCAAGCTTGCATAATATGCATATCTGTCTGGTATATGCTAGTCACAGTATTCTCTTCTATATTTTAAACTACCAAGAGGATGCCATCGCTTTACTGTCGCTTTTTACAGTTAGGTATGTCTTCCGAATAGGCACTTTTTCAAAATACAGACAAACAGTTCCTCAAAATAATTACAATGATGTTAGAACCACCAGCTAGATGCATTTGTTTTTCATAACTGTTCACTTACAAGATTTAGATAATCGAACCTAGATAGTAAAGAATATGTCTCTTTAATTTTAATTAACATTTAGGTCTCATTACTGATCCGATAATCTAGGGAGTAGCATTGAGTGAATAAGGTACTAGAGAGAATTAGATTGATTCTTTAAAATTAATTCCACTCAAAATTCACATGCCATAAATTTAATGCATTCGTCAGTATGGTAGTTTAGTTCATTCACTGTTTTTACTTAATGTACAATCTGACATGGTCATTTTTGGAAGTAATTATACGCCTCAAATTTACTTGTTGTGAATCTTTATCAAGAATGTAATAATCAAAATATTTCTAAGGTCTACAACGTACCAATCAAGCTTGCGATAAATGTAAATGATATGCATAGAAGTATGCATGTTATTTGCCAACATAAGCCGATCTGTGTAGTTTAGAAGTTCACAAACACAGATTATTAAAATTCGCGGCTTTAGTATGATTAAGTCAGTTAAAAGATTAGTAAGGTTAAATAAATTAATGAGCAGTTATTCTGTCTTAAATTTTGAGATTTTGAAAAGGTAATCATGGAAGAAGTAAACACTATTTTCAATATATTCGAACTCTTATGGCTATTTTGAATTTTCTTATTTCTTCTTCTGATGGAAGGTAGTCTAACATTTATTTGATGAGGACTGGTAGTTGAACATTGGGCGTGTGTTTTGTCCTCTTTAGAACTCCACAACCGGACATATGAAAAAAAGCAAAATCAAAATATTACAGTGTTATAAACTTACCGAAATAACAAAAGGACTGCATAAGGAAAACTGTGAAAGTTATTATAACTTGTAATTTGTCCTTCAGCTTCATTTATAGCGATCGTACCAAATATCTAAACATAAATGAAGAAAAGAAAGACTTGTGAGGTATTTGTTGGCAGAAATGCAGACTATATTAGACTCATTATCTGGTAAAATGAAAATGAAAAACCATGAGGCGTTAAATCACTAAGGTGGTAGTAATTGCAAGGAGTTTTTGTTTTCAGAGGACTGTAAATATTACATATCAGCGATTATTTCATTTCTACATTTCAGTACCGCCTTTGTCTTGTCGGAAAAGAGAAAACAGCTAAATTACATAAGACTAGTAGCTTCAGGAGCTATGGAATTAAATAGCCTGTAAGGAGGAAGAGCATCTGTAGCCGTCTTGAGGAACTAACATTAAATTTGTTTAGGATTCACAATACAGTAAAAATAACTCCAAATATAAAGTACGGTAAGGATATAGACTTTCCGAGAGAAAACAAACAACGGATGTTTGAAATAAAAAGAGATTTACTCTAAAATCGCAAAAGCATATTTTCGAAATTATTGGTGGATGGCGACTAGCAGTGGAATCGAGGATGCACATTTCGTCCTATTTTGGACTCTTCATATGAATGTGAGTGACGACGTTCCCATCGGGGCTTGAACCCAGTGCCCACAGTTTCAAACGCCAAAGCGTTACTCACTAGACCATGAGTGCCAACTCTTGTGCAACGGGTCACATTAATTATTTAATTTAATTTAGATTTTCCCGTCGATTGATTGGACCGAAGTGCTCAGTCTCAGGGAGACACGTTGGCTTCTTGTAGAGATGTTTCGACTATGTTTCAAATAGGACAAAATGCGCATCCTGGATTCCGCTGCGAGTCATCATCCACCAATTAACTTCTAATTACTTGCCCAGACACCCTAGACCGTTAAACCATTGGGACCCGATACAATGGTCCATGAATTCTAACTTCTGACAATTCATGACATAGCGCAGCCACTCCGCAATGTCTTCTTCGATGAGTTACTGCCTCATCTTCAACCTGCTCTACCCTACTTGTCATGGCTTCCCGCTAGAACCCCTGGTAACTGCCTGAAGATGGCCAGTCGCTAGTGAGTATCAGATCAGAATTGTTTTTTTGTACAGTGTGCAAAATATCTTTTCATCCTTACAAAACTTTTATATCGGAAAAGCTGTAATCAAAAAACAGTCATTTGGAGAACCTTGAAATACCCATAAGCGGATCATATATATGAAAACAAGAATACGCGACCAATTCAACCATGTTTATTATAAATGTTGGAAGGCTCAGGTAAATATATATATATATATATATATATATATATTTACGTACTATCCTCATTAACATTGAAACCATTCTTGTAATCGCGATCGAAGTTCTATAAATTTCGGGAAACTAGTAAATATAACTTTTCAGCTTTATAGCTATGTGCTTTGTATCTTTTATACGGAATTAAATACCTTCCATTTTTTTAACCGGGTTCATTTTGGTGTAACTATTAATCTCTGTTTGCCTTCTGAAAAGTATGTAAACTAAAGTAATACAGACCAGTAAACTGCAACACAGGATTTTACTTGTATCCAAGCTGCGAGTACGGTGGTAACACCTAACATCGCAACTCTGAATTTAAGTAAGTACTGTTAACTTATATTATATTCTCAACGGAATTAACCTGTACCAAGATTTTATCTTTGGGAATCATTTACGTATCTCCATCACCCTCATATTATACTTTTTCTTCATATCATGCCTCCGTCTAACTTACAGATGTAGTATTTTGCTATTGAACTGCTCTTTCTACTTTTAAGTACATTAATAAATTTAAGAACTGGTTTATGTTTTCATTTTGATAAATCATTATTTATTTATTACTAAATCGATTAATTTCTTTTGAATGTCGTGATCTTCCACCAAAACTCTTGCCATTTAAATGAAATGCTGTTCACGACAGTACAGTTTTAGGATTCAAGTAAAAAACTCACTATTAACTGAATGTCTTTTTTTGTTAATCTTTGATTTAACTGAGATTTCTGAAACAATGTGTAAGCACTTTTTCGGTTAAATCAGTCTAACTTTAATATTTCGATCCACATATTCACAAGTTAAACAATCTACTAAATGCCAGATTGACAAAAGCAAAAGATACCTCGTGTCCAGGAAATAACGAAACTTATTCAAAATTATCTTGTGTTAATAAATAATAATGGGATTCACTTAGCCGAACACTGTGAAGAGAGTTCTGAGGCAAAGTAAACCCTATATCAGTGCATTCTATGCAATCGAAGTTCTTCTGTTCTAAGTTACCTAAAATATTTTTAGTGTTACTTCATAAATGTTTGTTTTTTTAATTATTGAATAGCCAACCACTTGGAAAAAATGTACTAATTCCAAGTAGTAAGTGATACAACTTTATGATTGTTGGAAACAGAAACGTTTCCGTGTGTGCTAGGTCATTCACATAACCTAGTAAACTTGCTTTTGTACAGAGATTCCAACAAACAGTTAATTGAAATAAACCAGTGAAACAAAACTTTTTATTATATAAGATATTTCCACCGAAAGTGGAAACAAAAATAATACTACTGTATCTTATAGCATATACACTGACATTTACTGTCACTTTCTCACATTTACAAAAGAACCTTTTATTGATAATGTTACCAAAAGTCAGTTCAATTCAATAACACATTCTTCTTTAGTAAACGAAAATTACCGACCACCAAGTGGCTATGTAATTCTAGGGCGTAATTAACTAACTATTTATATTTATAAACACTTATTTTTGATTGCACACTAGTCAGTAACTAGTGTAATGTGTCCAGTCCTATCTTCACTGCAGACTGAATTCGATCAGTCAAGCTCGCAATTTGGCCACCATGCTAGGTGGCTCGCCATCTAATACCAACATTTCACAGTGCACCGTAATGGCGAGCCACCTAGCATGGTGGCCAAATTGCGAGCTTGACTGATCGAATTCAGTCTGCAGTGAAGATAGGACTGGACACATTACACTAGTTACTGACTAGTGTGCAATCAAAAATATCTAATACAGTTCTACAGGAGGTCGATCGCGAGCCTGAATAGCTCAGTGGTAATGTCTCTGACTGCAGGCGGCACTGGGTGACGCGGGTTTGAATCTCAGAAGGGACAAGAGTTCCTTCAAAGCTGCAGGTACGCCTTGCTGATGAGTGCCAACTAGCACGAAACCTAGGTTCAAGGCTTCCTGCCGATTGCCTCCAACCATCTAATTATAACCACTTGGAATGGAACTCATATTTAAAACCTTACTGGTATATAACCTTTTAAATTCACTTAATACTGTCGGTGAAAAGTGCTTGAAGTGACCCAAGGTTTGCAAACAAGTCTTATATAATAGGGTAAAACAGAAACCTGGTTGACCACAGGATCGCAAACTTCAAACTGACAATTCTGATGGTAAATTAAGTTTTCACTCAAGATAAGTCACCATTCAGTTCTGCTGTACGGTGTGTTGATCTGTCTACTATAAACTGCTGAAATTTAAAGGTAACAATGATTTGTTTTGTGTGTATTTGTTTTCCGATTATCGGTCTTACAGTTATTATCAACAGAATAATTTATCAAACTCACTTGCATTCCTACTACAGCATAAATGAAGAAGAGCATTGTGATCAAGAGGCATACATAAGGTAGTGCTTTAAATGATTGAATAAATGTCCATAAAAGTATTCGAATAGTATAACCTTGTCTGATTAACTTGATTAGACGAGCTGCACGAAAAAGTCTTAAAAAACCTAGATTAAGAAATGAAGAATCCTGAGAACAGAGAGAACAAATGGGAAAATTGGATTAGAATAGATCCTTCAGAAACAAACATATCTGAATAAACTATATATATAAGTAGGATATAAAAACTGTACTGAAAACACGGATACATTAGCGTTGCATTTTTCCAAACCAGTTATTCGAAGTAGTACTCATAATATCCTTATTGATTAACATTTAGAAAAATGCATAGGAGTTTTTGGTACAAACACTGACCATTATGGACTGATTAGTTCATAAATTATTACCTGAAACTGAGTGGTGAGCATATTGTTCATTATGCTTCAGATATACAGCACTTTAACGTCTAACCAGGTGTTAAACATAATGCTTGAGTCATTACCTGTAGACTTAGTCACCAACTGAGTGACTAATGCCATTTCATCAGCTGTTAAAATACAAGTGGTATAAATTTAAAAGAATCATTTGATGAGATATTTCACTACATTTACTATAAACACTTCCAACAACTTATTCAAGACAATATTAATAAAACTTTATTTCAGACTATATGCGGACACATGGTACAAAAGTTTCAGCATATTTAGTTCGAAAATACTTTTTTCTTCATACAGGATATACGTGTAAATTAATAATTTGAAGGATATCTTCATTTTGTTGGAGGATTACACAGCGTTTATTTGGAGGCAAGTTTTATTAGTGCGCAAGTTCTTTTGAAATAACTGGACAATTAAAACGATGATAAATCCAGATGAAATTAATCATTTTGGTGGAAAACAATTTCGGTAGCCAGTAATTCAAGCAGGCTGCCTTGTTTTATCGCGGTGTAATTGATACACTAATGGATTCTGTATTCAGAGATTTTATTATTTTAATCATCGGTTAATCACAGTAGCATGATACAAAATGTATCAGCTTACAAGGATATTATTTATTCTACAACAAGGACAAATTTGTCTTTTAGGTTATAATTGGGAAATTGTTAACATGATTCTGAGTTTCCGGGTGAAACAAAACTACTTCTCCCTGAACAATAGTTTAATTGGAAAAATGAGCTTAGTGGCTAAAAATAACGAAAGCTTTTCCACTATACAGCTCAGCTCTGTACATTTTTATCCTAATTTTTTCTTGCATAACTATTCAGTGCACTGTTAAAAAAACTGTTCCTTAATGGCGTCTACTGAAAAAGACAATTAAAATTAATTCTATTCTATGGTTGTTACTGGTAATATGAAAATTAATTTTTATAGAGCTGTCAATAAAGGAGAATAGACTTAAAGTCCTTTTGATTAAATGCTGTTATTTTTAAAATAGAAATTTCAAAACGCTAAAGATTAGTGCATTTTTTTATAGTCTTCGAATTCCTTTAACAGACTAAAGTGCTAATAAGTGTGATTACTGATCATGTTTATGTAGGATCAATTAAATAATCAAAAAGATTTACGAACAACTATTCACTTTTAAAATTATAAGCAGTAGAATTCACATTACAGAAGTTTTCTCATCAAATATTTTGAAGTGATAGTGCATTACATGTAAAGCCATCAGTTTGTTTCAAGGTGTATCACAAACCAGTTCCATACGACTGAAAAACGGCCTTCAAATATTTCTTGATATGAAATGAATCAACTGCCGATATTCGTTTTTGGCAATGAGCTACAGAAGAAGTTAAAGGTTTGGGTGTTAAACCGAAATTTTATAACCAAAATATCTCTGTGTTTTACAGCTTATGATAAAGCCGGAACTAGTAAGCTTAGTTGAATGTTGTCATATGAAAAAATTTCACTGAGTTTTAGAAGAGTCCATCCTTCAAACAAGCTTGAAACATCTTTATCAAAGCAGATACTATAGAGATTCAGAAAGATTAATGTATCTATTATCACATAACATACAAAGGACAGTATGTAGTCTTTTACGCATTTACATAACCACAGTTGTCAACAGTTTCACACCCTTGAAAGTATGAGTCAAATCTCAGAGATAAGTTAACATTTCCGTTTTACCTTTGTCTTAATTTTGATATTATATTTTTCCATTTGGGCACGGCATAGTACTACCCTCGACTAATATAGTTTCCGTTTCTTCACTTTTCTTTTTAAAATTTTCTAGATGACATGCAGATATGACGCCTGAGTATTTGAAGCACCGCGTAGTAATGGTGAGTCTGTTGTTCTCCTGCTAACCGACTCAACTTCTTCGTTAATATGAATTCGCAATTGTCAAAAGTTACAAATATATTAGGGACTATATATATATATATATATATATATATATATATATATATATATATATATATATATATATAGAAAGCCTAACATTCAGTAAGTTCTCTATGGTCATTTAGTCGTGAAAGAAACTACCTACTGATTTATCAGGATGACCCACCTAGTAAATTTACCATTTACACAATATCAGAAACTTTACTTCGTTTGGTCTCACTTTTGGAGCTATTCCGAAATATTTAAGTTTGATTTATTTTAACTTTCGTTGGTGAAAATAAAAACGATCAAATAGGATTTTATTGTTTATTCCCAACATCTAGTAAAAGTCACTCGCAAGAACCGGGGGTTTTGAGCTGCTATATTCTATCTTACCAAAAAGTGTCAGCATAAGACTTTCAAAAATGTTTGAGCCAATAAATTAAAAGTGATGGTGAAGGATGATGTATCATGTGTATTAGATTTACTCAAAATTTCATCTGCAGGAGGATAAAAGTTATGAAATTTATCTAATAAATGTTTTATGTGTCTATCAAAATGTATTAATGTGTTAAATATTTTCCGTGTTATACATATATATATATATTTCTGCGAAAATTAAAAAAATACAACTTACGTGCAGTTCAGAAACAAGTACATCTGTTATACTACCAACTACAGTAATAAAATCAAATGTATTCCAAGAATCCCGAAAGTAACTCTGAAAAACATACAGTGTGTCAATATTAATTATTTTACGTTTGATACCTATATAGTTAGACACATTACAATTGTAAAACAAATATAAATACTATTTTTGAAAGATATCTGTCTGTTTTCGACATAGAACTTTGCACATATGTGCGGCAGTTAAAGTCGCCACATTCCATGTAGCACACAAAGCAAGAGAACAAAGTACAAGAAAAGCATAATAGAGACAGTAAACAGAGGTGTGAGACAAAGGAATAGTAATAACGAAGAACAAAACAGTTTCATAGGAAATCATACGTCACAAGGAGTGGATGCATCTGCGCCAGGCATTGAGAACAATGAGTTTGAACCATATCACCAATTGTTTCCAACCATTGGTTTTTACCGTCCCGAGGACCCCAACCAGTCAGGAAGTCTACACCTTCCTACGTGACTGGCTTAGACTAACTGTTGTAGATTTCATTGACTGGTGAAGCCATGTTTTGGTTTGACCTCCGCTGGCTTTTTTCCAGCCTGACCCTATATCAGCTAACATTGCCCATTGTCGAGGAAGACGATGACTAGGCATACGTAACACATGTCCTAACCACCTCAGTCTATGTAACTTCACAACCTCTTCGACTGACTTCCTCTCCTTACCTAGAACTCGACCGGTGCCTAACCTCAATATTGCTCACCTTATTATACCACTTCACCCGGGAGATAGAGTGCAGGCACCTATGATCGAAGACAGCTAATGTTTTTATGTCATTTTTGAAAGATATATTAGTTAAAATTTGAATAACAGTATCAAATCTTTGAAAATTGACATGGAGAATATTGAAGCATATGTAAAAGTTTATGCAGATCTATCACAACAAAAGCAGCATTATATTATTCAGTAAATGTCCTCGATACTTGAAATACAGACAAATAATGCTTATAGGTAAATTTAACTTTTGACAGCCTCCTAATGTTCTGCCTGAAAACTACTATGTAATTCAGGTAAACAGTTAGAGATAGTGTCATCACTTTTTTTAGATCATGAATGTCATTCAAGTAGTCCAGTATTCATACATTCGGCTGACTATTGAAAAATTAGTTACCGTTATCATCTGTAACACAGCTTGATTTTTAACTGCAAAAAATCAAACTTTAATCTCCCTTACTTTGTGTTTATAACAGTAATAGTAATAATAATAGTTTCATTACTTAAAGATTATGAAAGTGATTCCTTTTAGTGGAAAACTGTTTATTAAGTAAAGAATTAAAGGCATTTTGCTTTTCCATTATTTTTCTATTATTAATTTTCATTATTAAATGATTTCTTCAACCGAAAACATTTTGTACTGGTAATTTTCTACTGATTGCAATCGATTATATTTTTATTTGTGTTCAAGAATTTTCGTTTTGATAAGGGAAAAATATAATTCTTGGTTCTTTAAATTTTTATATGTATTGGATAATGGATAATATAACTAAACGGTTCACAGTGGTATAACATCTTTCAATTGAATTTTAGATTTTCCCGTCGATTGATTGAGCCGAAGCGCTCGGTCTCAGGTTGGGAACATTATCACTCACTGCGGAATGCAGGTACATCCAGCTGACGATTCTCAAATAGGACGAAATGAGCATCCTGGATTCCCCTGCTAGTCACCATCCACCAGTAAATCTCTGGGTATAACATCTTCTTTATACACTCATCTTTGGTTCGAAAAACTACGTGTTTTAATTTACCCATATTATGTTAGATATCGTGCGTCGGTGGCACAGCGGTTAGGACGCTCGCCGACTATGCACATGGTCCGGGGTTCGATCCCCGGCCGACAAACTCCTTTACCTCGTTGAGCCAGAAATAATGCTGGTACAGAGAAAAGGTTGGGCACGTGGCTAGCAGCCCTATTCTGTAAAATAAACACTGCTACACAAAACTTCAAGCCACTAGCTTGAGGCCCTATGTTCCACTGGGAATGTGAAGGAAAAAAATAATAAAAAAATATAAGTGGTTTTGTGCATGGAAAAAACTGTAAATAATATTCTGTTCTCACCTTTGGTCCAAATGCAATTAATTTAAGCAAACATTCCATTGTAAACATTGCTGTGAATGCTGTATTCAAATACACTAATGTACTACAATAATTTTGATATTTTTGTGTTTCCCAGTCAGGAATACCCATATTAGCATCTGTATAGTCTGGTCGATAATACTGTTACATAGAAATAAAATTGTGTGAATAAAATAGATTATTAAGTGAATAATTCAAATGACTATTAAAGATATAGGAAATAGTGATTACCCAAGAGAATACAAAAAACCTCTAAAAATCACGTTTATTTTCTGTTTATACGTCAGCAGTTAAAAACTATGAATATAACTGATAGACATATTTTATAATCAGATAGTTTAACAGGTGAAAACTAGCATCAATATACGTCATAATCACTGTCGAAGAGACGTTTTTGAAGCTGTTGCTTCACTGCTAATGAACACTGACACATGACTTTATAGATGAATATTTCTCAGTTTCGTCCTTATAAAATTATCCCCTAGTTTAAAGTCTGGACGTAAAAGAAGTTCTCAATAAACTTTATACCGGTTTTTACAGTTAAAAAATAAAACTTATATTTATAATAACAACAGGGTGCATACATTAAATATAAAATATGGTGTTGACGTAAAAGCACATGACTTTCAGTTTGTAAGGTAACAGAGTAAACAGCCTTTTATCATTATTACTTTATTCCTTTACGTTCCCAGTGGAACATATAGCTTCAAGCTACAGTTTTGAAGTTCCGGTAGCAGTGGTATATATTTTAACGGAGTGGGGTTGCTAGTTTCATACCCAACCTTCCCTCTTTACCTGTATTAATACGTGTTTAGGAGTGTGTCGGCTGGGGGTCGAACCATGGACCACATGCATGATTGGCGGACATTCTACAGTATTTGTATTAAAAATGTGGTGGGCTGAATCCAATCCTAAAGCAGTGTGAAGTGGATATGATGATTAGTCATACTAAATTCATGAAATGCTGGAAATGAAAATAGATAAAAGTTCAAGGTTGTTGAATGTTGCCTTGGTTGCTAGTACAAATATTGTGTGCGTCGTTCAGAAGATAGTAAGACTATGGTAAATAATTCTTCTTGATATAATCAATACGTGGAATAAATACAATAAAGGCGAAATATCAACATAATAAATTAATGTAGTTAGTTAGGGTATACATGCATAGAGAATTCGACAGAATGTTTGAAGCTTATTTATCAGAAGAATACAAATTATAAAACATTGTAACTTTAACTGTTTAAACAAAAAGACTAGAGAAAGAGGAGGTTACGGGAAGAACAGTGCCTGAAACTGTTCTTTCTAAATTCAGAGTACTGACTTATCCGACCATATCATCACATCTTCAGCTATAAATAGAAATAAACCGAGTGTAGTGACAATGTCTTAGGTATGTGGTATATAACTCTAAAGCTTAGATAGAATTCTACTCAGGTCTTGTGTTTACTAATGTGACCCAAACAGGCTATCAAGGGATCTCGGTCCCACAGGTGAAGTTGCCCATTTGTATTGTAACAGCAGAAGGCAACACGCGGAATCTGAGGTATATATATATATATATATATATATATATATATATATATATATATATATATATATATATATATAATATAGTTTATATTCTCTAACCAATCACAGCGTGTGATTTGGGTTTACATTAGACGACACGATATAGAATGTTCAAGTATACATTGTATTCTGTTGCTATTGCTGTATTGAACTGTTGGAATATGTGAGAATAATATTCCGTTGGAACACGTCCGTATCACACCACCACAGTGTACTCTACATAACTTGAACGATAGGAAGTGAATGAAGAAGAGTTAGGATCAGATAAACTATCTTTGAGTCCAGGAGTGAACTCAAAGTCTGTGTCGATTTTTATCATCATTAATAACTGGACATTAATTAACTGCCTCAACTGTCTCAGAAACATGTCATTAGAATAGACTTACCGGATTACTAAAGCCTGATTGATTCATAAACATTTGTTTAAGAAGGGCAACTTAACATATTTTTTATTGTATTAAACTGTATGTAAGTATGATATCATTGGCTATATATTTCTTTTATAAATTTGCACATTTTTCTTATGAATCAGGATAAACTGAATAGTGAATCTCATAGGCACCAATTAAACAGAGGTATGTAAGGCAAATGAAGTTAAGAGGGAGCGAAAGGATAATAGTGTATGCGCGTTCTACAGAAATAAACATCAAATCTGGAGGTCTACATTCGTTTTGTAAAAGATCTCTAGATAATATAGTTACTGATTGAAAAGGTAACAGTTCATTTGATACACTGAAAGTTACTAAAAATCATAACTTAATAAAACCACACCTTAAACTAACTTCCGTTAATGGATTTTATTCATTCCTCTGTGATACGAGTAGAAAATGGGACTTCAAGCCCTAAAGTTTCATTACCACCTATCCTTATTTTACGGAATGGGACTGGACGAGTTTCAGGAGTACGTCTGTCAGGAATCAAATTCCTATCGTATGCGTGGCTTGCAGGCATTCTATCCCTTAATCAACAATTCACAAGAGATCCTGCACCTGGAGTCAAATCCAAGCAGCCTGATTGAAAGCAAGGAATTCTAACCACCAGATGACTCGAAACTAAGAGGACCGTTGTTAACGGTAAAATCATAATATTCCAGTGTGGAATCTTCCTAATTTTAAACTGGCTGGCTGGCTGGATTCAACATAGAACTTGGCACCGAAGTGCAGCAGTTCGAGTTGCCACGTTCCAAATAGCACACAGAGGTAGACAAGAAGATGAGTGGAGAGAATTAATAGAGTTTGACAAATATAGGAGTGAAACAGAATGGGTAATGGTAGAAAGGAATATGAAAGATTACAGAGATTGAATACATCTGCGCCATTGACAACGATTTTGAGCCATGTCACCTATTGTCTCCAGCCATTGATTCCTAGAGTCCCGAGGGCCCCAACCCGGGAGTCTGCATCTCCCTACCTGACTCAGTTTAACTGTCAAGGATTTCATGGATTGATGCCATGTTTTTGTTTGGCCACCACTGGCTCTTTTCCAACCTGAACCTATATCAGCTAACAATGCCCGTCGGGGGAGGCGGTGGTTAGGCATGCGCAGCACGTGACCTAGCCATCTTAGTCTATGTAACTTTATAACCTCGTCGATTGATTTTCCCTCTTTGCCCAACACTCTACGCCTAACGTCAACATTACTTATCTTGTGAAACCACCTAACGTGAGACAGAGATCGCAGACATCTATGATCGAAAGCAGTCAACCTTTTCATGTCTTCAACGCGTATTGGCCATGTTTCAGAGCCATAGAGAAGGACGGAGCGAACTGATGAGCAGTACACACGTCCCTTGGTTGATAACCGGATGTCACGCCTACGCCAGAGATGGTGTAAGTCAGCGAAAGCAGCTCGAGCTTTTCGGATCCGTGCTGAGATTTCATCGCCAATCAGTCCGTTGGTGCTAATACAACTTCCCAAGTAGGTGAAGTGGTCAACATGTTCTATCACTTCACTCCCTATCACTAAGTTAGGGGTTGACGTCGTCCAGTCCTGTAGCAGCATCTTACATTTTGCAGGGGCGAATCGCATGCCAAACATACGAAGATTGCTGCTCAAGGTGTTCAGAAGACTCTGCATTTTGTCAGCATCCTCCCCTAACAGGACTATGTCATCTGCATATTCTAAGTCCATTAGATTATTCCCTGGTAACAAGTCGATTCCTAAGTCACTACGTTCAGTTAAGGATACTTCCATTAGCATATCTATGATGAAGTTAAACAGAAATGGGGAAAGTGGACATCCCTGTCGGACACCACTGGTTGTTACTAATTCAGATGACAATTCCCCATAAGCCCTTACACGACTACGTGAGTTTGAATAGAGTGCCTTGATTAGTGCAATGTACTTTCTTGGCACTCCCTTCACAGTCAGACATTGCCATAGTACTTTTCGGTCCACGGAGTCGAAGGCCGCCTTCAAGTCAAGAAATATGACAATTGTTGGACGCCGAAAAGTGTGTCTATGTTCTAGAATCTGTCGAAGAGTGAAGATATGATCTATGCACCCTCTACCTGGTCTAAAGCCTGCTTGATTTTCCCTTGTCTGTTCCTCCCGAGTTCTGCTTAGTCTATGCATGATTACTGAGCCTAGGATTTTAAACTAGTATCTATTAGCCTGTATTCTTAATGATTTTAGCCTGTATACAATAAATTAATAAAAAATTTCCAGTACTAATCATTTATAAATAAGAAGAGTAATATGCCACTAACCTTCATCATAAGTATTAAAGTGTTCAGTGCGATCATTGTCATAATGTAATATTCAAATGGACTTGAGACAACCAGTCTCCATATTCTGTATTTTGTTGATGCAATGTTACTGGGCATATATCTACACAAGGGTTTTGCATTGATTGCAAATTCAATGCACTGTTTCTATAGGTTAATGTTATAAAAACAAATAAAAATCATTTAGATTAAGTTTTATTAACAAAAGGTTTATAAGTCAGGCACAGTATGTACAAGTATCTGTAATAATGGTGTCATTATGAATTCTCATCACTATGCTGTTAAATGCTTACTATTAAGCTACATAGAACTGTAGGTCAAACAGCTTTTTATCTCTTACTGATTAGTCAGGTAACCTGTTCGGCTCATAAGTTACACCTTGCAAATCACTTTTAACTATAAATTAAGTTGATGCACTATTACCTAGCAAAATAAAATTTATTTAATAAGATGCATAAAGCTGTCATGACTGTTTATAAGCCACGGGTATTTCGAGGTGTTTTGATTAAATTTTAATGGTATATTTGTTGATACTACCACTTCATACCATTTTTACTTCAGTTGACTACACAGTAGTTGCTGCCATAGGTTTCAGTTTTCGTTCAGTAAGTCATTCTAACACGTAACCGAGTTATCACTAACCGAAGCTGAAATTTGTGAATGTGAGTCGTCACAGGTTTCGCATTAACAACTTATTCCTTACCTGATTGGTGGTTTGTGTTCGAAAGCCTACCGGATGGATCCTCAGTTCAATTCTAAATGAAACACAGTTAAATCATGTTTGATAAGTCAATGTTTGTACGCATGTTTAGAGTGTAAGACAGCGTATTTATCTTGCGGACGTTTGTATCAGCATTCGTGTGTCATGAACAATATTATTCCCTCAAACTTCAAAGGATTTCAGTGCAACTGATACTTTCGAATTAGAAAATTCGTCGAGAACACTTTGCTGAAGACTCTCCTTTGATTGCACGACAGTATCACATCACTGAATTCAGGTTGTCTGTCGTAGGTGTAAAGTATCGATAATTTTAACATTCTGTTAACAATTTTCATAAAATGGTTAGGTTACAAACTGAGTACAAACCTTACTACTCTTAACAATCCATTAGTCCTTAATTATAATGAATGCATAACTATAAAACCTGAGGGAGAAAGTAGGAAGCATGGTTTTTGTTTAATGATTGTTGTTAACCAACTGCTTCATAAATATTCCTTACACTGATTCATTTTCACCAGTCATGTTTATTTTCTGGTTAGATGTATAACCACTATAAAATTATTAGTCAAAGCAAGCAAAAAAAATCACAAAGTGGTCTTTATATGTGAAAATGTGAAAAGTAGAACTGGTATATTACAAAACATGAGTGATTATATTAAATCAGTTCAGTTAAGCGGAAGATCACTTTTTCATACATTCATTCAGTAAAGGCTAATAAGTATGATGAGTCAGTATTCAAGGCATCACTAATTGTTTTGATTTTTGTTTCCATATATCAATTAATTATTAATTAACTTGCTTGGCTGATAACTTTATTCACTGTCAGAACCAGTGAGTGGAGAATAAACGTTTAATTAATGCTATTATTTCCAATTATTGAAACGAAACTTTATCAAGTGGTGGTTTGTAGGGATTTGATTGGTTACAGGATTTCTTCATGAGCTGACATCAGTTAGAGAACCATTGGAAAACCTGATGAAGAGTCCCAAACGAGGACGAAACAGCTCTCAGGTACTCCCAGGTTTTTCAATGGTTCTCCAACTAATGTCAGCCTATGATGAAAGACTTTATCAGTTTGAGATTTTCCAACCGATTGATTGGACCGAAATGCCCGGTCTTAGGTTGATATCTCAGCTTTTTGTTGGGATGATTTAACGATTTCTGGACGTGTAACTTACAGTCACTTGGTGGGTGGTGACTGGTAGTGGGATCCATGATGCGCAGTTCGTCCTATTTGGGACTGGTCATCTGGATGTACCTGCATTCTCCAGTGAGTGATGGTATTTCCACATCCAGGTGACGAGTCCCAAATAGGACGAACTGGACATCCTGGATGCCACTGCCAGTCACCAACCACCAAGTGACTTCAAATCTTTGTTACCTTTATTCGGCAATATGCTTACTAGTTCGGTCATCATTAGGTATCTATTTCAGCGGCCACAATTCCTCTAAACTTTTGCTTTCAAATAAAATAGCTAATATTAATGCCTTTATGGGAGATTTTTATTCTGACTCAGGTCTATTAAACAATGCTATCCGTCAATTTTCAAAGCATAGTGTGTCGCTTTATTACTACAGAGTAATATATACCTACTAATAAGTAATAAAATGTAAATGCCAAAAATATTTACTCACTTGGTTTTTATCTAGTTCGTGATCTACTAATTCATTTTCACCCTGTTCTTGAAAAGTAATGATAATTAAGGCCACAAAGATATTTACAAAGAAAAACGGAAAAACGATAAAAAATATAATATAGAAAATTGCCATCTGTTGACTATGATCTTCTACCGGTCCATGGTTTACTTCTGTAGCATCCATTGAATTCTTTAGAATGCTAAATAAAAGTAGAATTAAAGAAAAATAAACAACAAGAATGCAATCACATTAAAGCATTTATTAGTTAATTAGCATTATTAAAACATTGCTTTCCAGTGTAGTCAGAGAGAATTATGTATTCAGAACAAATATACAGCAATTTGATCGAGAAAATTTCTTACTTCTCAAAAGATTTCCAGGTTTTCCTAGGTCGAAATTTTACTACTGACAGGATAGGATTTCCGAATTCACCAAGGGCATCATGAATGAGTTTTAAAGGAGGCATGTGGCTTATCTTTCATAGATTATGCAACGATAAATTTCCCAGAGAACAATACTGTAGCTGATATGTATTTATAGGTGAAGACATAAGATAAAAAAATGACTCTGGCTCATTCTTGGCAGTATGATTAAACATGGTACAGAATACCAAAAGTGGTTTATCAAAAAAAATTTAACCCTTGTACAGAATCTCAGTATATCATCTGACATGACATTAATCAAACTGAAGCATGGTACAATCTCATAAGATACCTTCTTCGTAAAGTGCACAGTGATAATTTGAAAGGTATTTAGAAAGGCATCTGAGTAAAGTTTATCACTGAAGGACGTAATTAAATGATTTATAGTTATTATTCCCTTGCATTCCTAGTGGAACATAGGGCTTCAGCAACACATTTCCACTTCGTCCTATCTTCTGCCATCTTCTTCATCTGGGTCCACAATTGATCAAACTCTCTCATCTCTTCCTCACACGATCTCCTCCATGTCACCCTCGCACCAACGACACACTAGTCGCTTCCTATTTAGATTCCACTCGAGTGCTTTGCATGCGGTGTCGTTCGGCGGCCTCCTCAATGTATGCCTAATACATCTGCACTTTCTCCTACATATTTGTTGAGCGATCGGCTCTTGGTTGATTATTCCACTGCAGAATTTTTTGTTGCTAATTCTTTCTGGCCGGTCATTTTATCTTCAGTATGTAGCCAGCGAAGGCAGATGTTGATGAAAGTCTGCAACCTGTTGGAAATGCTTTACGTGACACACCAAGTTTCTGAATCGTATAGAAGAACCAAATAGGGTAGACGTGATGTATTATGTTGTACAGAAAGTTAGGTGGTCTAGTGATTCAAGTAGGTCACCTGGATGGGATACTCAGAAATTACCAGTTCAAATTATTTCACTTTTCTATGTGTAAGTTTCAATCATCATCCTAATTAAGCACACTGATAATGGTGAAGATGCACTAGCAAGCCATCTGAATATACTGTTCAACAGCAGAATGACTTTTTCTACATAGAATCTGTTTCACCCAATGCTGTTTTTTTTATTCACTTCACAAAATATAAATAATGATTTTTATTCTATTTTAATTATTTTTCCCGGTTGCATTTTATTTAATTAACCTGGAAATATGTATCCAACGTGGAGTAAACTTAATTATCCAGAAGTTAATAATTAAATAGATGCTTAAACACCGTAGTCAACAATCTGTTCAGTTTTTTACATTTATAATCAATAAACTTATTTAATTAATTTTAACCACTAGAGAAGCGGGATAATGTACTTTGATAAACTTGTACAACTAAGACTGAACTACTGTTCGTAATAGTAGTAATAACAGTAGTAAGAGTGGACGAGTCAGAGATATGTAGAAATATACAAGATTTAAGAGGAAAATAACATAAGAAACGAATAACTTGAAACATGATAAAAGCTATTTACGTAAGAAAGATTAAATAAAGTATTGGTCAGAGGTTATATATAACTTCCTGTTTTCTTCTCTATTTGTAAAATTATATTAGGTTAAGAGGATGAACATGTTTGTGAGATAGAATATGGTTTGTTTTAAAATTCCTACAAGCAACCATTTAGTTTATCTAATTTGCATGTGCATGAACTGCAACAGTGAAAAAGACAAATAGAGAGTAGGCTGACCCTTTCTAATTAGGTTTCATTTTGTAGAAGACATAAGATATGCTGACTGACTCATCAACATAGAACTATGCACACAAATATATCATTTCAAGATATTAAAATTCGAAGAAGCTCACTTACAAAAAGAGAAAAGAAATGTTATGAAACTAGACAAAACGAAGATATTTGTAAAAGAGAATAATTAAGTGAAGATCAGTAAGGAATTTCCTAATCCAAGTGATTGAAAGAAGTGGATACATCTGGGTCGTCGTGTGAGATTACTAACCCTGTCACCATGAATATATATTTATCTACATTTATCGAGTAACGAACACACTAGTCCGGTAATCTACATCCAGGCATGTGGCTTTTACCAAAGCTCAGTCGCATGATAGATTCGTGTCTGGTGTTTCTTTTACCTTCCCTATTTTTTTCTAACCTAATCCTAAAATTGCTCGTCCAGCCAAGCAAAGGCTCTACATCTTTAATACATTTCCTGTCTCAGTTAATGGATTTACACAACTTCATTGGTCGATCTTGCCTCTTTATGTGACACTCCATGCCTAATTTCATTATTAATGATATTATCGCTCCATGTAACACAGGCGACTTGAAGCAAACACCTACGGTCGTTAATCACTAACTTTTTCATACTATTCTCTTTTAACGGTTGTGTCTGACACCTCTAAAGTAGAAGTGAGCACATTAAACATTCGCAACATTAGAATGTATTATATTTTGAAGCAGGATGATCTATAGGTGTGCTGATGATCACTAGTTTAAGTAAGTACCTGACGTATGGTACATAACATGATGTACTGCAGTTTTGCATCATTTGACCTAGCTATCCATGTTATACATATAGTCAATAGGCTACTGTTAAGAATCATTAAGCACTAAGCTCCACATCTGTTAATATCCGAAAATCATTCACTACGTATTAGGTTTATGAAATAAGAGGGAAACTTTTAGGTGCATCAATGGTATTATTTTCTTATTTGTTGCTTTTTTTTTTTGAGCGAAGTTTGAGCCAACAGCTGATGAATCGCTAATTTTTGTAGAGGAATACTGCACATCTCACATAACAGATCAAGAAAACAGCCCTTACTTGATTTCTACATACTTTTGCGAGGATAAAATCCCTCGCCTAACGGCTGTGCAAACAGAACGTAAATATTCAGTGCTTACGGTCTTCGTCAGCCTGATAAAGTTATTTAGAAGACCCATCTGTGTTAATTAAGTTACCTACCTAGCCTAGATAAATGACTAATTTATGTGATAATCATACATTGTACTTTGTAGCTATGTTAAAACAAAATAAATTAAATTCGTAAATGTTACAATTCATATATCCTTCTATATGGGTTCAAACAAAACTAATTATCAATAAATATTTACCCAGGCCATCCTTCCCCCGTTGTTACGGTGAAAAGTGTAAGCATAGCTGTTATTACATTATCGTAATGGAAATCTCTTGAACTCCATACCCGAGCTTTTACAACAGGCACAAGACTGTCATCATAGGAAAAAAAGTAACCTCTGTCAGAGACAAAGAAAAACACAAACAAGTTGTAAGAGTCAATTAATTTGCATGCATTATCATTTAAAATGTTTTGTTGACCTAAGTAAACAAAAACCCCGTCATATGTTTCTTTTGAGAGTCTTAGAGTTTGTCGGTAAACTTTAAATAACCTCACGCGAGAAAGATTGTGCAGTAGTATTAAATTATTCATATCTATTCTAGTTTTAAGTAACTCGTGGCATCACGATAATAATTAGAACAAAATATGTCGGCTTACTCTAATTGTGACAGAGGAAGAGATGCTAGACAGCTAATAGCTACATCGATAGTAGTTTTCTTATAAGTGTTATTTCCCCTATTTTTGAAATTTTATTTGTGCAATGTAGCCTATAAAAGATTTTAACATGAAGTAATATACTGTTCCAGTATTCTTGAGGAGTAAGCCGAATATGTAAATAACAGTCTACTAATCATTAAGCACTAACTAGTAGTCGCGAATAACTTGCTTACCTGGTCTTCTGATAGTTCTGAGATCCATTTATGATAGCAATATTCTTCTTTAGAGTCTCAAAACCGAATGGTTTTAAGTAGTTCTCTTACTGATGTGGTTAGACATTAAGTCTCCAGTACCACTGAGAAATAGGTCTCGAAGACTTTACAATTTAGCAGTCTTAAAATTCCCCAGGTTTTAACAGGATCTCGATATACTTTCTCCGAATATCATCTGACTCATTTTAGGCTGGTTCCAACTGCTGGAGAGTGGGATGTACTTCTGTAAACTTTGTCAGTTCTGCAGAATGCCTTGCGTTTATAGTACACTGAGGTATTTGCATATAACACAGAGGTTGATATTTCGGATAACTATTAAGTGGCTAAAAATGCTTGAACGCCAGCAGATCGATTTGAAAGCTTTATTGTATATAAAATTATATTTGTAAAATCCCAGCGAAATTGAAATGATTAATTCCAACGTTTCGTTAGGCAATCTGGTCCGAACTTCTTCAGGGAAATTAATCGAAATTAACATAACAGAGGCTTATATATATATAAAGGGAACATCTCTTGTTTTTGAAACTTTGTCCAATCATGGGCCATGAAACAGGCATCAACATGTATAATAAACAAAATTGTATATTTATATATAAAAGGATATCTTTATAAATTATTTAAATTAATCCCAGCGTGTTAAGAAAATCAAAACAGGATTTTTCTGAACGTTTCGCTGTGTAAGCCACAGCTTCTTCAGCAGATTTGTTCGGATTGTTATTAATCACCAAATTAATTAATTAATTAAAATAATTTATAATGAATCAATCTGACTCGGCGCTCAAATTATTCCAGGAAGTTCGTAACACCTACGGTCTGGAAACCTATAAAAGGATATCTCCTGTTTCATATGGGTGAATCCCAACAGTTTGAACAGACGTGAAGGTGTGATGTTAGCTGAAAAACCTATGATGTTAGCTGGAAACCTATAATCTTAGTGTACTTTTATTAATATATATGTGTATATGCAGTATACAATGGTGTGTGTATGTGTGTGTGGGTGAACAGTCATAAAACATTTGTGTTTCTCTCCATAAGAAGACGTAGACAAGCGGGAATTTGACCAAGTGTGCCTAGTTGTTGACACACATCCAATTTTATTTATTTATTTGTCAGGATTTGCCATGCATCAGCTAACATCACACCTTCACGTCTGTTCAAACTGTTGGGATTCACCCATATGAAACAGGAGATATCCTTTTATAGGTTTCCAGACCGTAGGTGTTACGAACTTCCTGGAATAATTTGAGCGCCGAGTCAGATTGATTCATTATAAATTATTTTAATTAATTAATTAATTTGGTGATTAATAACAATCCGAACAAATCTGCTGAAGAAGCTGTGGCTTACACAGCGAAACGTTCAGAAAAATCCTGTTTTGATTTTCTTAACACGCTGGGATTAATTTAAATAATTTATAAAGATATCCTTTTATATATAAATATACAATTTTGTTTATTATACATGTTGATGCCTGTTTCATGGCCCATGATTGGACAAAGTTTCAAAAACAAGAGATGTTCCCTTTATATATATATAAGCCTCTGTTATGTTAATTTCGATTAATTTCCCTGAAGAAGTTCGGACCAGATTGCCTAACGAAACGTTGGAATTAATCATTTCAATTTCGCTGAGATTTTACAAATATAATTTTTTTTACAAATGTCTACTTCTCATTCGGCGCCCAAATATTTTGCAACTTAATTTTATATCATTGATAAAAATGCTTAAGTTTATTTCTACTGTTAAGATTTTTTTTAGATTGAGTGACTTTGTACGTTCTATCTTCCAGTAAATAAATAAAAGTTTTTTGCAAGATATAATTGTTTTTGTTTAAAATAAGACATTTGAACATTGAGTTTACTCTATGTTCGCGCTAAGTTTCCACTTGTCATTCACTCTTAAAATATAAATGTGGTTTTCTAATCAATAGACTCCTTACAACGGACTGAGTTGACATGATGTCTGCTACCCATTTGCGTTCTACTGTTTTAAAGGTATCATACAAAATTCCCGTTAGTGTAGTTATTTGAGCAGATTTGTTCAGATGATAAATATGGCATTCAGTAAATAAGTGTAGTTTCAGATACAGGCTAAATACCATCAGAAACCAAACGACCGTTTTTAGAAACCACTGAGAGGAATTACTATTCAAATATGTTTCTTTAATTATTTGGAGGATTACTGTTGTTGCTGCTAGCATTATAGTGTGATAAAAATTTGATGATATTGATTCCAGAAAAATTTCACTATCGATCTTTACCCTTGATATTTCAGGACGATGGTAATCTCTGGGGATATAGAGTTAGACGGATAAGGGATACTAAGTATAACCTATAGTGTATTGGCAAAGCCAGTATTAGATAGATAATTTTTGCTTCTTTAAATGTTCTATCAACTCTATTTGATCTCTTAGAAAGTATACGATAAGTAAGTTCAGATTTCGTCAACTGTTGACTAGGTAGAAAATAACACCCAGGTCAAGACAATGTTAACCCTACCTAGTTAACTAGCTTTCTAGTTTTCTAGCCGGTCCCGAGCCCGGTTACAGAGGGAAGGTTAGGCGTGGGGCTAGAAACCCTACACCTCAAAATCTATCAAACTGCTGGAGAAACTTTAACGTACAAAAATATATTAAAAATACAAGGCAATGTGCTACGAATTCATGCTTTATTTAGTAAGACTATACAGTTGATATGTGATGAACGCAAAGTATAGTCATTCAGTCCTAGGGCATAGGAATAAAATCAACACGGTAGTCAGTCAATATTTTAATTGCTGGAAAGCATGTAGAAGTATACCAGTTGCCTAATTTATTTCACTTGCTTATATATATATTTTTATTGAATGTTGATAACATACATAATATTGAAGAACTTACTGACAGTCATCTTTTGTTAGCTTTGACAAATCATTGCAATAAAAAAATTTCCCCTGAAATAACTGAACTGCAACGATAGAGAATATAAATTGGAATAATATGTACACAACTAGAATTATGCAAACGTTCTTCAGAGAACTAACCACACAGTCGAAGACTGCCTGAAATACAAATTTTTGAAAATAAAAACAAAATTTGTAATATTAACAGTGTTTTTATGTGTGTTAACGGATTGCATAGGTGAATATACTTTGTAATGAGGAAAGTTTTGTGTACCAGTGCAAATCGTTTTCACTATATTACCTAAAGTTAGTTGATAATGCGACAACTGAGGTTTGTTTCCATATAGCTTATTTTACTAAGATCTATCAGACTACATTTGGCGAGATTCCGAAGATTTGTGGCTAGACAGAGCGAAATTTTGTTGAATCTAAGATATTCAGGTGGAGGGAGGACTGATTACTGAATCTTCGTTTGTCGAATCAACAGCAAACACATGCCTCTAGAATGCCTCAACACTTATTTCAGGGATTCTGTAAAATTCCGTTGCCGATAAACAAAGAAAGAACAAAGTACTAAGAAAGACCGAAAATAAAAGTAATGTGATTACTTCTATATGGTTATCAGAAATGAATGTTTGAGATATCGTCCTTTATCTAATATTCAGGCACTATTAGCTTTATTAAATAAGCAAACTAACATGGAGCCAAAGTTTTAAAACTGATTCAGCATCCTGAGTTAATAGTTATTTGGCAGCATAATTAGTTCGATTTAAACAAGTGTTTATGAACCTCAAAATAGTCTAAAATATCTATAAGCCAAGATGAAGATTATCCTTCGAACCTTTATTCTTTGGAGTAGCCGTTTCAAGGGTGTTTCAGTGCTTCTTAGACACTGATGAAATTTGCACAGGCCATTATCTGAGCTCATGTGAATGTACCAGTCTTCGTTAATTGCTAAACTGACACTGTTCTTGAAATTAGTTGGCATAAATAATTCCAGGGAAAATAAAACTCTTGTAAATCCAAAAATCAGATGAAAGGCAACTGTGAATGTCCCAGAAAATTTGTCCAAAAGGACATCATCTCACAGAACATTTATGTAAAATCATCTTTAGAGTAGAGCAAATATACATTCAATAAGTGACTTTACTGCTCTTGAGAAGACTTCGCCCTGTTAGGTCCATCAAACCACGGAAACTGCTATTTATTATCAGATGATTTCAATAAATAGTTTTTTTTTTATATTCGGCATCTTCAAGCTACCCAGTGAACAAATATGTGGAGGAATAATACTTTGCCGAATAATAATAATTTGCTTTATTCCAAAACAGTACTTGCGATACAGAAAGGAATTCTCAGCATTTTATTACAGTATTGCATCCAGTTAGGACATTATCAATAAATAAAATTCTACATAGAATAAGCTAGTCTCAGTTTATTATGACAACAACATATTGGCATGTCGGTAGCAAGGCCGAAATTGAACAAAGTGTTTGAAGGTGCTAGAAAAGTAGATGCTAGCATATTTACTGGCGTAAGCAGAATAAAGAAACAAAGCTGCACATAACAGAGGAAAAAGAGACAGAGAAAAGGAAAAGAAAGAAAGAAAACGCTGTACCTATAAATGATATGAGTTGGAAAGACGAGATCCAGTTGTTCTACTGACTATTTAATAAGTTATAGGTATCACGCCTAATGCTTTCTTTATCGCACAGAACACGAGCTAAGTAGGGTATGGTTGAGTTTTTGTACTTGCTGGTGCGAGCATATAGTTTGCTATATAGGCTTCTGGTTTTGCCTAATGAGATACAAGGGGAGAGTTGTGAATGAAGAGGGTGGTGTGAGTTAGATAGAATGGATTTAGCCCATTTTTCACATGAGTCCAAGTGCCTGTAAACCAGAATATTAACAAGCTGGTTAAGTGGCACCCTGTGACTTACCCTGCTGACAACCTTTAACATTCTGCGTAATAAGGTATAGTCCTTCTTCAGTAGCCCAGGAAAAACTAAGGGGGAACAATAGAGAATAATAGGCAGAATGCGAGAGTTAACGAATTGTAGGAGTAAGGGTCGGGCTATGCCAGAATGTCTTAACTTCTTGATGTAGAAGGTAAGATGGAATATTTTCTTAGAAATCATCAAGATATGAGACGACCAGGAAAGATCAGCAGATAGAATGACACCTAGGTATTTAATTTCCGACTTGGTTTTTATTTCAGTGCCATCTATGTTGCACACCTCGTGAGTGCTAACCAGTTTGTTTAGGTCAGATTTGTGCCTTAAAGTGAAATTGACTGTTTGGCATTTGAAGGGGTTTAAGGTAAGACCGTTTTCCTTGGACCATTGGCTGATTTCTTATAGAAAGCCATTTAGTTCAGAGCAGTCACTTTAACATTTGATGGGCAAAGATACAGTCAGGTCGTCAACATATGCAGGCCTTTTTCCAATGTGGTTAGTACTGACTTCGAAATTAAAGTATATCATCTTATTTATCTCATGTTAAGTTTAAAAATACTGCTGTAAATGAATAAAAACATATAAACTCAACTATGAATATATGGAAGAACCTGTATTTACAAACCGCTAAAATGGACTAAGCATCAGTTCTATTTTATTTGTTACCTATCATCTTATGAAGAAGCAAACAAAAGGGATGTTACTAGAAACATTAGAAATACAATTATAATGTATCACCTAGAAGGCTACATTTATTTTAACGTGTATCTATTTTGGTAAATTCACTACTTCTATAGGCATTTTGAGGTATATATGATATATAACGCCTTAGTTTAGAGAATCAATACTATTTTATGAAATCAATAAGGACTGTCTAGTAAGAGGCGTGACCAGATGATGCATCAAAACAAGATTATTTCTTATGTAATTTTAAGATAAATGGTATGATGTTTATAGTCAAAAAGAAATAAATAACTATACCCTTTATATTGGATGATAAGCATGGCCTAAGGAAATGGAAACTTGACTCTATTTTTCAACAATAATAAATTTCATGTATGATTATTCTGTCTATACCTAGTAAAACTAAGTGAGTGCTTCAACAATCTGGGAAAGACCAGTTGCCAATCCTTGACACTTCAAACTGAGTGTATCAATTTGAGTGTGTTTGTGGAAGCAAATACGTAGGTCGTACAGAAAGGCGATTGTCTACTCTCATGATGGAGCATTTGCCAAAATGGTTGAAAACAGCTGAGCGCAAAGTGACAAAATCCTCAATAACAAAACATCTTGTGGACTACGGACATGATACTGATGATGTGAAGTCATTCGCCATTGTCAGCAGACAAAGAAACGAGAAGATGCTTGCAGAGGCTTGTGCAGTTCAAGTTTATTAACCAGGTCTCTGTGTACAAAAGGAGATGGTCGTGACTCTGAATGTACCATGGTAATACATTTAACTTATTATTCTACCTCATTATTATTATTTTTGATTCATTTAAAAGTATCCTTTATCAGAAGCATTATCTTAACTGACTTCAACACTATTATTATTGTTATTATAACTATTACTATTGACATTACTCTGTTTGCAATTCTTGTTATATTCTCTAATGACTAATTGTTTATCTAAGTTATATAATTGAAGCGTAATGCAATTTATCTTGATTTTGATTTCTCATACTCTCTCTCCCCTTATCTATTTGAACATGACCCTAAGACATTCGCATGTGTCTTTCTGCATGACTAATTCAATGTAGTTTATTTATCAGTCTTATATCTTCCAATGTAATTTCAAAAGTATATATATCCGTGTATGTAGGGTATTCAGCTGACGAGTTCTACCGAAATTTGATGAATTCATTAAATCCTGCTTTATTAACCTTTATTGCTTGTTTTAAAAACTAATTATGTTCTATTGCTAAAGTATTAACTTTCAGGGGAGATATCTGTTATTCAAATAACTACATTTCATTTCCGTTTCCATTCAGTCAACGAATCTTGTGTTTTTATTCTATATTTTGAACAAATCAGCTGGCTAACTTGAGGGTTTACACTAAAAAAATCACTAGCTCTAGTTTAATACTGTTTACATCGCTTAAATTACACGGTCATTACCAAAAGAGAATCTGTATAATACAACGTATTACTTAAGTCTGAGTCATTATATACAATAAAAAGGTAAATTAGTTGCTTTTGTTGAACGGAATTTGACTAGAGACATTTATAAACTTACTTTCAACTTAGGTACTCTCCGAATAGTCTTTAAAGGTCTCAGCACTCGAAGAACGCGTAGTGATTTTATTGTACTCAAATTTTTACTTGGTAATATAAAAGAAAATATAAAAAACACTATTTTTAATACAGCTCGCGTAGTTTTTGAAATGAGATATAGTATTTCATTTAAAAACGTAGAAAAACTAACCTGTAATTACTTTAGTTTTAGCGTGTATGATTAAATGCTTAATTACTCTATGGGCTGAGAAACTTTTGATTTCATTGACTTGAAACATCCATCGGAACAGTCAGTTTATAAACTACTCATTATTAAGATAGATAGTCCTAGAGTGACAGTCTGATAAATAGGTAGAGATTTGGTGACTGAAGTCACCGTAAAATATGTGGGTAGATGTAAAACAGAAACCTGAGTTTTCTGTGTCATCAACTCCCACCATCTATGATAAAACTGTACAGAAAACAGGCACTTTTTGATTCTTCAGCTGTTTACTTCAGTAGTTATAACGTTATTTTTGAAGTGAACATTATTTGTTGAAGTAGGCTACGAAATTTTAAGTATTTCTACTGAAGTAAATAATTAACCAAGAGTCAGATACCATAAAACATGTTGTTCTATCTTAAATTTGACTAGTGGTACGTGTGTCAGTAAATGTAATAAATTAACCTTTGTGATGATCACAGAAGAAAGGCTAAGAAGCTAGGCTCCAGTGTAAAATTTTACGCATCCATGTGTATTTCTAAGTTATGTACGTTATATTCACTATAGGATAAATTTCTGTCTTACTTCAGGCATACTTTTAGTTAAAAGTCTATCTGAACGAGGAATATTCTTTTTAGTAATTTCTCTTCAGGTTCTTACAACTATAAAATAGAATATTTTTGTCGTTACAATAAAGGCCAGTTATGCGGCGGATACATTTTTAACGTAGAATAACGGATTAGTTGTTGGGCGTCAAAATAAATAGTCGTATTTGTGTGACAAACGTACTAGGCTGAAATCGACTACAAAATATTGTAAAACGGGAGACAGTGGTGGTGATTAATCATAATAGATTTGTAGAGTGTGATTATTATGATTAATCACCACCACTGTCTCCCGTTTTACAGTATTTTGTAATCGATTTCAGTCTAGCACGTTTGTCACACAAATACGACTATTTATTTTGATGCCCAACAACTAATCTGTTATTCTGCGTTAAAAATGTATCCGCCGCATAACTGGCCTTTATTGTAACGACAAAAATATTCTATTTTATAATTGTAAGAAACTGAAGAGAAATTATTGAAAAGAATATTCTTCGTCTAGATTGACTTTTAATCCATAATATGGGAATATTTCACACTATCAAATCTTATCCTTTTAGTTGTCGCAGAATTTTGAAGTATAAATGTCATTCCAAACTAGTAATAATAGGTGGAAGTTTACTTGCCTGATTAAGGACCAGTTGAGAGTAACTCATTTGATTCATGTAGTGAAGATGGTTTCTGTTCATACTTCGAATTTATATAGACTCCTATCAAGAATGTACATGTGCTGCTTGGTGTCTACTACCGTGTGAAAACTGTCCTCTAGAAATTGTTGGAGTACATGACTATTCTCGTGGAAATATATGTCATTGTGAAATCTTAGCTTATTAGAAAACGTGTTTACTATACTGTACTGACAGAAAAACACGATTCTTTTTATACTGATAGTCATTTTTCACCTTACCAAGGGGGAAAGTATAAAATCAGACTAAAATGCAGTCTCAATTGGTAGACTATCGCCATCTGTTAACACTAAAATATTATCTTTTATCATCCTTCTAAATGAGTTAATGGCGACAGTATATTTATCACAGTTGATCTGACTTTACAGGTTGTATATGTGTTAACGTTTACTTAAATTAATTTGTATCAGTATCTTGGCCGGTAACAAGATATCATCCCAGTACACTGTAAATTCATAGAAGACAATTCGTAAGCCTAGTTAAGAAATCGGCAAACTTTTCTGTGTCTGTAATTCAATTTCCTTTTCCTCTGTTGCTAAAGACTACGTCTGATATATCGAATTTCATTAACCATATAACTGTTTGAAGCCAAAATAACACCTAAATCAACAGTCATATATTTGATATCTTTAACATAATATTTTACTGTAATTTTAAGATCTTTTTAATTTAAACTAAGTTTTCATAACTTCCGCCAACTATTTTTACGTGAGTGAAGGTAGTAAATTATAGTGAACTTGTTACAGAAAGGTTTCAGTTTTTCCAGCGAGTACGGAAATATTTTAATTCTATGTTAACCACCTTAAGAACAGCGAATTTTTCGACAAATTGCTTCGGGACATGAGAGCGCTGAGATGTAACTCAGTTATCGCAATGTTTACCTTTTTCAATAACTAGAAATTAAAACAGGTGATTCAATGAAGAGACTTTTTGCAATGAATTTATTATAAGGCTGTACAATCATATGCATGTAATTCTTGAGAATTAATAATGTAAACTGTATTAAAATATTTATAATTATAACTACAGTTAAACATCAAGTAACAAAATATGTTTTGTAATTTGTTAATTAGTTCGTGAAAGTAGAATTAATCACCTTGTTACATAATGTTTTGTTTCACCATTAATCTTATACTCCTACTTCCCCTTCCATGATTTATACATTCTATGAACTGTTTTATAAATCACATAAAATATTTTATTGTTTGATGTATAACTATGCCCACAAATATTTTTTCGTGATTCATATTACAGCTTGATAAAACATTCAGTGATAAGAGTCCCTTCTCCAAACCGAGGAAAACATTCTTATTCCTCCAGGCACATTTAATTATATGAATAAACTGGGATGCTTCCATCTGGATAAGTAGTAATTTTTCAGATTCACAATTTGTAAATCAATCTGAGATATACACAGTTCAGGGTGAGACCCCACCGTAGATCCTTCAGTAACCGAAATTATTAAAACCAGAATATTTGAACTGCTTGATACCATAAAGGGTAACCAAGAAAGCTATAATACTTGCATGAAAGTATATACTACTGACTGTTTGAGGTGAGTAGTACCAGTTACATCAACCAGTAGTGCTTGCTAACCAGATCGAAGTGGTTGAAACATCGGACATCAGTTTCATTTGTTCGGAGCCGGGCTTATCAGAGGCATAGTGTGTAGTTTAGTGTAATTATGCCGGCTTTACTGATCCCCATTTATGATACCGAGCAGATCACATATAGGGATTTGAATAATATCAATTTCCAAACGGAACTATATCAAGATAATCACCTCGAACTGTTTAAATTGTGTAGTAGTCTGTGAAATCACTAACTGATTTTAAAATCGCGAATCAAATTTATCACATTACCACTCTGCCTCAATAGCTGGCCAGAAATCAAGCAATTTGAATTGATTCGTCTCTCTGAACTGAGGCAAAACCGGGTGTACTGCTGATAAGCACTCCTTCAGACAAACGAAACGGGTGTCCAATATTTAGACCACCTCGATCGAGCTGGCGAGAACTACTGGTTGGTGTAAGTGGTATACGACTACTCATGTCAATCAGTTAACCAGTGGCATATAAGTAGCAATATGAATTTGGAAAAGTACATCATAAAACATGTTACGTTTAAATATAACTGAATGTGATTAAAAGGAGGAATATTGTAGTGTACTTACCTACTTCCATGCGCTGCCTTCCCCTTCAGTGTATAAGCTCTTCATTGGTGACACGAGTAATTAAGGATTATCATGTAAATAAATGAAAAAGAAATTAGTCATAAAGAAAAAAGTTCTGCTGGAATAAAAAGATGGTTATATTATTATTATATATTATTTTCAAGGAAAATATTCAAAAGCAGTTACCATTTTATATTTATATGCAAAATATCAGAAAATATTAGACAGTTGTTTCGTCCAAATTTCAGGTTTTATAACAGAAATAACACTTCATTTTTTGTTAGTTTTAAATGAGAAATACTTTCAGTTTTCGGTACTGGTTTTTCTTGGTTAACTTAACCAATAGATGAAATCCTATGGACTTTCAAAATTCTCGCTTGTTTTTTCTGTTGAAAAAACCGACTCTATATGAAATACCTGCGAAGTATAGTGAGGTTAAAGTCTAAAAGTTAAATGAGCATTAAGTTGCATTTTCTAAGACAAGCAGTGAGAATTTAATCTAGTATTTAAACAACTAGAATACTATGCATTTGCATTAACTATCTGTTAATGTTTTGAAGCAGAAAGAACACCTAAAGCGATTTTGAGTCCATCCAGTTAGTTACTTTTTTCAGTCATTCGATAAATTTTCACTTTAGGAGTTGTAAGTAATTTTTCGCTCATTAACACCTAATTTCTGATTTAGTCAAATGGTGTACGTCACATTATTACCTCGCTTAAAATGCCTTTTAATGTCCGGTGTTTTCGCAAAACGGGCTTAAGAAGTAAATAAATCAGGAACCAGTAGGTAGAAGTTTAGTTTTAGTTTTGTGACTTTGTAGCAGTGAAGATCATGAGCTCGACAGATACAGAACAAGTAACTATCAGCTTACAAGACGAACGCGTATCCATTCAACTGTCGACTTAGAATCCACTGACCCATGTTTTCTTAATTCTAGCATTTTACAATATAACATGAAGATCACTCGTAGATAAGCGTTTGTTTAACTTTATAAGCTACACTTGAAAAAACCTGTTTTGAATTTTCTACAAAATTGGTGTCCATTATCAGTCGAGTCTGTCTTGAAGTAATTCAGATTTTCTCATACTTGTGATCTAAACATTCAAAAAAATTATTAATAGTCTGTTGATATTGAATTGAAGAAGCAAAATATTACTCGAGATTTCCTTTGGGAATGACTGCAATTAATCATCTCAATTGTGAACCTCGATATGGAATTATTATGAATCAAGGTAGCCACAAATCAGTAATGTGAATAATTAAAATTTACTGACGTTCAACAGTGAATTTTGACCAGTTTGCTTGTATGATGTGCAAAGAAATACCGTTGGGATTGCAGCCGATTATTCCTAATTCAACTCAGTTTTATCCCAGAAAATCGTTAAGTGACCATTTAGGGGAAGAAAATTTTCCTTAACGACCAAGTCATCTTCAAAAGTTGTATGATCGTACTTATATTTATCAGAAGCCTATATCAGTCTGTTATTGAGTACAAGGAGAGTGTGACATAACTGATTCAGTTACTCAGAAGTGGTATGTAAAGATAAAAGGTAATTAGGTGGAAGTCAAAAACGCAGTGGAAGTAAGGGTTTGAAATTCGATTAGGTGAAGACTTTTATTAAATGAGTAGCATGGTCGTCGGGTGTCCATTTGGATAAGGTGAGAAAACCCTCAGTAAAATGCACAAAAAGAACATGTAAGAATAATAATATTGAATTGCTTATTAAAAAGATGACTTTTTTCGATAAAGAATATTTTCTTCCCTTAATTTTTTTGTTTTCTTCATGACTCAGTGGGTCTTTTGTAAAGTAATTACTTATTTTTTTAAATGCATGTAAGCTAACTGGACTGTGATTATCTTAACAATTTATCTGCTCTGTGAGGTGAATACACAGCTGACAGAGTAATTCCCAAGTGAGTGAAACAGCTGTTTTGTGTTTAGACAGCTCTCATCCGCAAAATCTGCGGGTAACCTCAACTGGTTTCCAACATTTCATATTCATTCAGCAGATTAATAAACTGAAAAACCAAATAACCATGCTTTAAACTAATGTTGAAAGTGTCTTGAAGCTATCATGCTGAGCAGCATAAAATAGGAGCTGATATATTACTTAAGCTTCTTCATGTACATCCAAGCGTCATCAGAGTAAACGGCTGATCACTGACACTAAATTTTGTCCGCTTATCGAGTGCGCTTTGAATATTCAAAGGTGGATACAGCTTCAAAGTCTTTCTGAGAATTATCGCCTGTGGTAAACAAGAAGACTTAATTGTTAATTCTGAAAAGAATATAAGCCTGAAATATAGAATTTTATCTTCAATGTAAGCATAAAATGTGAAATAAGCTTCAAAATCTGATAATAATAATAATAATAATAATGGTCATTCAGAATATCTGTGTTTACCAAATTTACGAAACAATTAAATAATGAACCTTTTATTCATAACTGCATTCACTGTACTATTCTTACTTCTAAATTATGGATACTTTCACCAGCATAACATACACAAACTGCATCTGAATCGGATTGTTATCAACGAATAATAGTTCCGAACTAAAATATTATACTTCTGTTTTCATATTCTTCCTAACATTAAACTATATTCAGACAGTGAAAAGGTTATTAATAGAAATAAAGATGCAAAAAATATTTAACTTTAAACAAGGTTTTACATTCCGAAGGAAAAGTGAATGCTTAATTTGTTAGACTAATTAAATTTGCAATCCACCTGAATTACAAATCTTTTCTATTATTTTAAGACTAATTAAATACAAAGTTTGCTTAACATACCGAAAAAATGATATTAGGGCACCAATCACTACAGCTGCATCCAATAAATTCCATGTATCCCGACAATACGAATATGGGTGAAGAAAAACACCAAGATCAATTAGCTGTAAATAAAAGACAAGGAGTTAAATGCTGAACAGAGGATATCGTGAATACATCATTCTGTCTAGCTATAAAATCTTCCCGATAAGTGTTTCACTACAACTAAGTATATGGGTGAAACAGTATAACTATTTTTATCTTCTTAATAAAACGAGAGATACAATACAGGTTTGAAGAGGTTCAAAATAATTTAGCAATTTCAAGCAAAAAAGAGTGAGAGTAACAACTTCCTAGGGGCATAATAAAAAAAGATAACATCAAATCAAAATCAGTTGCTTAATCACTGGAAAACGCAACCACAAAATAATAATAATATGTATGTGAGATAAATGACAGTGATAAATATAACTGAGAATAGCCAAAAGTAAATAGTTGACATTCCAACCAATGGCAAAGAGTGTTAAGTTGAAGAAATATATGGTAAAAGGAAATTGTAAAAAGCTAGGGAAATTTAAAGAAGTTTTGTCACGTAAACATGAATAAACATTGAAAACTTTGGTGAAAGTGAAATAATTTCACTTTATTGTCTTAAGTTATTATCAAATGTTCAAAACTCGATGTTTTATTATCAAAAGTAGATAATAAGTTAATGTAATCAAGTGGTCTTACAATCTCAATACGTGCAGACATAGCACGTGCTGCCCAACAAATCTGCCGAAGAAATGGATGTAGATAGAGTAAAGATTGACAAGCTGTAGAGTGAGATGGCGAACCAGGACCTCAAGTGAAACCCGAATGGGAAACGGTTAGCTAGACGTCTGTTGGTAACATGAAGGACATCGCTTGAGGACTAAATGAGAGCTTTTGGACAGTCGTGGAGCCAGCTAAAGGGGACTGTCGAGAAAGGGATGAAATGGAGATGTGCTGTTGAAGCTTTGTGCTGCACATGGAGCCCAAGAGAATAGTAATAATAGACATAGTATGCCTAAATGTTATATCACTGAAAACTTGACTGCTAAAGTGTAGTGAGAGATTACAGTTATGTTATTTATCACATTCGATTAATTGATGGGAATCTACAAACGTATAATGCAAAGAGCATTGAATACTGACGAGAACACATCCCTAAATGACATCAGACGGCGCTGCTTTATCAGCTGCTGTTCGATGATCTCATTGTCTACGTAGTTCAGATATAGAGAAAGTTACTCATGGTTTCAGTAGGTTAGCTGTAAAAGGCTATGAGCAACACAGATTCTGTAAGAAAACGTTTTGATGACTGTATAAAACTGAGATACCTAGATACACAGATTTCCGAGAATTCATGATATTTATTCGTACCACTGGCTAGGCTTTCTCATGGGAGGAAAGCTGACAACAGAAGCGGCAAGCATTGGAAATAAAGGCAACAAGAGTAGATTAGAAAAGTAAATCTTGAACATAAACCAATACAAGATTAGTAAAATACATTGTAAAGATTAAAATATTCATCAAACAAAATAAAACACTGCCTGTAATTTGTAAATAATTTATAATATATATGAAATGTTGGGAAATTCTTTGTTTACAACAAAAGAAAGTCTACAAAAGTTCGTTTCGTATTGACTGGTCATTGCTTTAAAAGACTTTTAGATATATATTTGACTTTTCTTGTTTATTAGATATTTTGCTCATAAACTACTGACACTGATACGTCCTCTTAATAACCTGCTTCTTCATACATTATCAGAACTTCTGAATTAGGCTATTTATTTTTGTTACTTCAATCTATACAAATAATTAAAGTTGAAAAAAGGAAATTCAGCTGACTTTTGATGACAGAAACCAATTTAGCTGCAGTGTTTACTTCTGCTAGTTTAATTAAAAATCATCTCATTACAGTCATTGGAAGATAGTTCTAAGTTTGAAATTAGGAAGAATGAACACTTATTTTTTGTTTACAGAATTTCATCATGAGCTGACATCGGTTAGAGAACTACTGTAAAACCTGCGAGTACTAAACAGCCGTTTCCTCCTAGTTTGGGACTCCTCAATAGTATGCGCCCACAGTCAGGGTTCGAATCCAGGACCTTCTGGTTAAAAGGCGCGCTCGTAGACCATTGAGCCACTGGGACCCGAAACAATGCCTCGTGAATTCTAACTTCTGCCAATTCTTGACATAGCGCGACCACTTCGCGACGTCTTCTTTAATGAATTACTGACTCACCTTCAATCTGCTTTATCTTACTGGTCACGACTCCCCCTTTGTTGTGTTGTATTTCCGCTATCTTGCACGTATGAACAATTTGTTTGCAGATATTCGTTTTTTATTAGATACTTACTGAGCTTACCTCTTCAGTTATCAACCAAACATTTTTATTCTAATGTTGGGAACAATACCACGATTGATATCTGCTGATAACTAATTGAACTTATGCTACTGATATTTTAAAAAGTGATCACTCTTATTATTCTTCTTTAGTAAAAGGTTTTTAATACATATTCCTTTCTATATATAAATAAACATAAGTTTAAAGTTATCATCTTGTGTTTCCCTCCTGAAGTTGACTTTTTTTGTCCGCATTAGTGAAAAGTCTTAGGTTCACTAAGAACATGGTGAAAATCATCTTAAAAGTCGTCTTGTTATTTCAAGATATAAAATTGCACCTTGTGCTGCGAATCACATTTTTCACCACTGCTCCATCAAATTTAGTTGTAGAGAAGAAAGCAGACAGATTTACAGAATGCCATTAGTTAACATGCATTCAATCAGAAATCATAAGGATTTTAATACAGTGACGACAACTACTTGAGTGGTTTTCATCAATATGGAGGAAGTAACACGATAGAATATAGTAAACTTTTGAGGAAAATTTCACGGATACAAGTTACTGAACAAAAAGGATAATCTGTGTTTAGTTTGTGCATAACACTTTTATTTCAACAATTCGACGAAAACGCATTCTAAAAACCGCCACTTCACTTTGTTAGCCTATGAATTTAATACCCGTATTCCAAGAAATACTGAACTAGTGGATTTTAATATTCCACTCAGTCAGTCTACTGATACAGTCCACTTAAACTTTTTCGGTAGAACACACCATCCTTCTCATTTATATTGAGTTTCCAAAAGCATGACACAATAGACTATATTAGATGGTTGGAGGCGATCGTCAGGAAGCCTTGAACCCAGGTTTCGTGCTAGCTGGCACTCACCAGTCAGCAAGGCGTATCTGCAACTTTGAGAAAACTCACATCTCTTCCGAGATTAGAACCCGCGTCACTTGCTGACGAATGCCAACTAGCATGAATTCTAAATCCAAGGCTTCCTGCCGATATCTACTATCAACAATTCAAAGGGGACCTTGATGGCGAGCCACCTAGAATGGTGGCCATATTGCCAACATGACTGATAGAGTTCAGTCTTCACCAAACAAAGGACTAGACATATTACGCTACTTACTATTTAATGTCCAATAAAAAATTCAGTAGACTATCCACTTCTTTGCTATACTAAAAGTTTTTCGTTATTATTTACGTCATCACCAAGAATAAGTTGCGCATGGTAAAATGACGAATTCTTCCTTCAAAATACTTTATAATTAAAACAACTGCACTGACATCTGAGACGCCCATTATTTTTTTTTTGAAGTTGTCTATTTAATCTTACATATATCATATAACAGATGTGTTCTAGTCCGGAAATATATCACTAGTCTTAGTCTATGCTAAATTTGTTCTATGAGTTTTTCACAATTAAGTTTGTTGATGCTTTTATTAAATTCTATTTTCACACCAATGAATACCGAAAATTAGTATTCAGTAGCTGAATTCTGTGGGAATATTTAATCACCATTATAAGAACCGATAATAATTCCAACAATGCTTCTACCACCGATTTCTTCCCTCCCTCCCTGGCCCCATTTACTTCCAGAAATATCGCTTACACAACAGTACATAACTCAACATAGATTACTTAACATCACTCAGAGAAAATAAGGACTAAGCTTTAGATTTTCATACAAGCATATTCAACTGAAGCATTAATCAGAATTAACTTTACAGACCTATCATTTAATTGTAGACTTTTAAAATAATAACAACTCACTTTCAACAGCATTTCGATAGCAAATACACAAGTGAAGGCATGATCGAAGTATTCGAGTAGACAATTTCTTATGCTATTTTCGCTAACTGGATCTTCGGCAGCCAATGCAACACTACTAGATACAATTACAATCATAATGAACAGGTCGAAAAAGCGTAGATTGACTACAAAGTGACAGAAGCGTCTAACACTAAATTTTAAAAGAAAAATGAAGAGCGGGGAAACAAATAGAAACACAAGTTTGTAACCAAAGAAATTATGACAAAAGTATATGTTTTTAATTTCTGCAGATGTAGTGAAATTATTATTAATTAACAGTTGATTACTTAAATAAAAATTAGCAAGTATTGCTTGCCTTCTTAGAACTTCTAAACTTCATACACTGAAAATATCAAAAAAAGGTAGAAAATATTCAGGATTTAAGGTAGACGCATTACATTTTGGGTAATTGAATACCAATTTATCATACGGTATCTTGAAACATAATTATTTATCCGAACAGAATCCAATTTGCTGCAAAAATACTGAGGAAATTAGGACGACAGTGTGACTATAGAGCTTGAATAGACTAACAGTTATTATTTTTTAATCGTAACCGTATGTACCACCTTGATGTTAAGCACAATACAAAAAAAGTCATATGAAATTGTGGATTTGACTTATTTCATGAATAATCCCCATCCATTATTGAAAAAAACACGCACTTCAGTGAAGGGTAGTCTTTCAGATGGAGAAAGCGGAGCGGACAAAAGGAAGTCATTCAACCACTTCCACGCCCATGGTAATAGCTCAATTCTGCTAACTTGATTTTTGTTTGTTTTCTAGCTCTTTATAACTCTTGTAATTCTATAGAACTCCTGCGAAATTCCATACTCACCCTCGTTTCTTTGTGCATCCTGGTTACAACTCATTCATTAAATTATCCACCTTATTGCGTAACTGGAACACACATATTCAACTATGATTATGACAACTCATCACTTTTATTACCACCCTCTTTCAAGAAGAAAATTCTATATATATGGGATCGTACAGCAAAGAAACTGAACCCGCCAAAAAGGCCTTTTCGATGAACTACGTGTTTTGTTATCATTACCTCCATTTAACACATTCAAATTCAGAGGGGAACGGAACTGAGCCACTATTTCGGAGTATATAACTGAGGTATTTCTAAGTATATTTTTAACAAATGACAGCCTGTGATTATAAGGTCTTTGTGGTTAGAAAAGGTCGTAACTTACGGATTTGTTGAAGAAAATATAAACATTGAACTGTAAGGAAGTATCGGCTTTCCGTATGACTGATGTTGTGTTGATGTTTCTTGATTTGCCTGTGGCTCCTGTTCTCTGCCTAATTCTATGTCTGTTTGAAACTTCTGCATTGTGCTATCTGTTAGGAAAAGAACAGTACCACAAAATATAATACTTGAAAATTCCAAGGTAAAGACTGCTGTTACAACTTTAAAATATACTTGGGCCTTTCATGATTGGAGATACAAACATGTATAAATTTAATTCAGAAATGATTGTTCATGGAAGTGAGTATTATCTTCTTTGGAATTCTTCAGGTAGTTGTAAATGTACTCCTGTAATGAATAATATTCCCAGTGAGAATCAGATGAAACACACACGAAATCAAATGAGCGTCATCCATCATGATACTGAGCCTTTCAGTACTCCGCATAATTAAATATTTTGCTTCTCACTTTAACATTCCGCATTTCTTTAATATTAGGTTGATCAATCTTCTCTTGATATACGGGCTTCCTGGACGGACAGCAGCATGATGACAGACTTTCAGTCTCATAAATAAACAAAAGACTGTATCATACTATAACACCTGCACAAATTATGTGTTGTGATGCGTTGGAATGTTAGATAACGATTTGTAGTTTGAAACCATGATTGCTGAGTTTCATCGTCATTGTGAACGCTGCTACTCAGACCTAGGTACATCTATCTGACGAGACATGTAACTGATTTCAGTGCTTATCATCATAGAACGGGAACCAAAACAGTTTGCTATCTTCTTTCTAGGGAGTCCATCACAGTGCCATCCAGACTGGCTATAAAACATTGAGGAGAAATGATAAGCATAAGAAAGTAATCACGAACGAGGTTTACTTCACATAAATCTACTGCTAGTGTTTGCGTCTGATCAGTAAAACCCTTGGTTTATTAGACTGAACTGTACTTTCTGTGTTGGATATCCTTACAATATCACTTAGAATACTATCTAGGTATCATGTATATATATGTATATATACTGTATATATTTAGTAGCTAGCAAAGGAGTCTAAGATACATGTTTCAGTTTAAGATTCTGCGGCTGAATTTAAACACTTGTTTCGCGTTTCAGGGACTCTTGGAGGATACAATCCATCAGCCACCACTTAAAAGCTCATAGAATTTTCTAGCAGGCCATTTCTTTGCTTTCTGTTCTAGTAAGCGTGGAGTATGAACATCATGGAAGCATTTAGAATGTCACTCAACATATTTTACCACAACTGATCTTTCCTGCGTATAGTATGAACTTACAGTTATCACAGAACTTGTTTTCCATTTGAGCTGTTAGATACTTCCCATATTCCACTACCCCTGAACTGTAATGGAAACAATGTAAAGAAAGTAAAAAGGTGGATAGGTAAATAAAGTAACTGTCAGATGAAAATTTCATATAGTAATGCGATTTTCTGAATACTCTTATTGCCTTATGTTGGCGGAGATCACAATCAATGTTTAGTAACTTTGTATGTTCTCTAAACGTACTTAGAGCACATAACTGTAACTTTTTAAGATATGCAGACTTAACTTTACAACTCATCAGGGACGTTTACGACGTAAGCACAGCTTTTTCAGATTGTATTCAGTCATCCAACATATAGAATTATGCGCAATAGATTAAAGTCATTTATGTGTACAGTCGCATTTACTTCATATCCATCCATTAGCGTCCAGATAGCCAAATCACTACTACTTCTACCTCAGTATATATATTGTGTTGCAGGTATGATATTTTTAACCTTCATGGATGAATTTAGCAATGCTGTGTAGTGAGGCTTTCACTTTTACCGAAGTTAAGATTATCAACATAAATATCCGGTATCCATTAGGGGGGAACCAGTAGCTAAAAGCTGATAACTGCTGATTCAAAAGAATTCGAGATTTGTGTTGATGAAACTGTTTTACATGTGTATGAACTTTTTCACAAGCAAGTTTCCAAACTCATAATATTCCTCTTATCCAGTAACTGAAATATGGATAAATGTGAAGCTTATTAGCGGTAGTATGTTTATGCAGTTCCTAAATAACTTCATTAATCATTTCGTAATGGTATTTCTCATTCTTTTTTCCATAAGCTTCACAAGGGATTGTCATATTTTAATTTATTAGTCTCATCGGCTAGTGCAGTTATAATAACTACATATTTTTCCGTTGCTTCAGCGGTATAGTGAACTTGTAACATGCATTAATTGTTATTATGTATTACAATATACAAAGGTTACCGTGAACAAAGCAATTAAATGACTTTGACTAAACTAAAATATGTCGTTATCGTTATTAGTGTTGGAAAAAATGTTTAGCTATGGAGACATCCTAAAACATATATATATATATATATATATATATATATATACTGTGATAAAACTACATTAGTCTGAGTTAAAACAATGAGACTTTTCATCTCTATAGATTTCAAATAACACTGACTGCCTCGTTATTAAAGTATTTATTTGCCGGAGTTTGTAAAGTGCATAGTTTCAAACACAGATTTTTACACATAAAAAAGTTTGTTGTCTACTGAATGTGAAACCTTAGGATAACTTCAAGTCTTTATCGTTCGCTTAGGACATGAACATTTATATTTGTGACTAAACACTAGAAAATAAACAATGTAATTTTATCTAGTCTTTGTACCAAACAGCATCTACCTTATAGTGTGACAAACAAGTCGTAATACTAACCGTCTTGTAGGTTTTGACTAATCTTAAGTAAATGGGGAATAATACTAAATGTTTTCCATCCCAATTTCATTTATATAAACTGATATATTACCATTCTTAATTAATTATTTAATATCGCAATAAAGGTTTTACGTCATGAAAGATGACGATTTCATTTTGTTGCTTTCACTGATCTCCTGTTTTGTTTTACCGGAGTAACTACATTCATGAGAATCAAAACCAGTCCAAGAGACAATTACTCAGAGTGAAATTTTAGGCCAGCAACCTTGGCGATGATTTACTGGGGGAAAGCCTTGATTACGCCCAATGATTTCGAATGAAAATAAAATAACTGAGGTTCAAACGATAGTCTTGATTACAAACTTCAAATTAATAGCTCAGCAGTCTTTTTTATGCAGCTCAGGTATTCCCTTTAGCTTCAGCTTTCGTTATGTTATATTTTATCGACTTTTTTTTAAAAAAATGCGTATCATTCAATCTCGTATATTTGATAATAAAAGTCACTGACTGACTAGATAAAAACCTGAATTGTTATTCATTAGTGAGTCACTAGCTAATCAAATAGAATTGTTTTTGTCATTTTAATCATGATTGGCGTACTGTTTTTCGGAATATTTTTTAATCTAAAATGTGTGTGATGTAATATTTAATTGCTTTTCCTATCAATCAACTCGTTAATTAATCTACAAGAGGTAAACAACTCACTATTTTCTTTCATTAACTTGATCCACTACAATTCTATGTGATTGGTTTGAATCACTGGTTGAAGTTTCTTTATTCTGTTCTTGCCTTTCGGCTAACTGAAATAAATAATTTAGCAAAATAAAAACAATGACATACTACTCATACTGAAATACAAAAGATATTTTATAGTCAAAGTTTGCTGTTTGTTGATATCACTTTAAACAGCTTTACTCTGATTGACTGGCGTTCTTTAAGTTGAATGATGCTTAACATTTAAGAGACAACCAGCAACCACCGGGTTGTGGACTGGTTGTTCTAGTGAGACAGTGGCATTCTTAAATGTCAGTTTGAATACAGTCGATCAACTGAAATCGTGTTACTATCTATGACTAATCTTTGTTATCAAGCTCATTAGAAACTGGAGAAAAACACCTGTCACTTGCAGATATTAATGCATACACAACAGTTTTGCAGGTTAGCCTGAGCTAATGAATCTTTGCAACTTACTGAATACAGTACAGTACTCAGCACAGAGTAGGATGGTCCACTTATGAATTCTTTTCAACTACAAAATCTTAAGGTTTGATTGAGAACACGTCATATCTTTCAACTGCTCTGCTGCTAGGCCTTCTGTACATAAGTGAGTTCACAGTATACTAAGCAACAAAACTGCAGATGTCAAAACTTAATGTTGTGAATCAGTCAGATATTTATCTTTATAAGTAAGATTCAAAATTCTGTGTTTCTACAGGTACAAAACTTGTATGTCTAGATACGGAAATTAATGGCATGATCCATTCTGACTTAGAGTTCAAATGTTTGCAGAATATTGAAAATATCTGTAAAATGCTTATATACTTGAAGTTCCTTATATGCATAATATGTTTCTTTATTTCATCCTGAATAAATTTCTTCATCCTTATATTAACTGGACAAGGTCTTAAAGTCATATAATAATAAGTAAATCTCCATAAAAATTTGCACTACATGAAGAAAACCCAGTACAAACGTACTCTTGAAAAATAATAAGTGTAAGTAATTTGCAGAAATTAACTGCAAAGTGAAGCCCGGAGTTTTCGCTGACAAACGAAGGGCGATGTGGTTTTACTCCCCATAAAGAATTTCCACTTCCTCTAAACCATAAAGAGACTAACTGCCTTTACACTAGCCTCAGAGATCTGTAAAGTAATTGCGTTAACTAATTTAATCTTTCTCTTCTTTTTCCTGGTAGTCTTTTGGTAATAACCGGAAGACGACTTCCACTATTTCAAAATTACCAACTTATACCTTAAATATATATATATATATATGTCTGGACACTATGTCTAGGGTATGGCCGTATTACGCATCAACCAAAAGACATTAGTTGTTAAGTTTTAAATCACTTACTACATGGTACCTGTTTGTGAAATCATTTCTGTTGCAGATGATGAATTTTAACTCCTGATGAATTTCACACACTAAAGTGAAACAGTAATTCAGTGGTTTTCTTTGTTATTTCACAAGAACTTTTGTGACAGAAACCTTTTGGTAACAATATTTGGTCTTATGCAGTAGACTAAAAATGAATACTTATTAATCAGTCTGTCTATCACACTAAGTGTTTACCTGCGACTTAGTACAGGTAATTGATATTAACATAATGAACAAAAACAGTCAGATAATAAAGCATTTACTAACATCGTATATAATTCCCCAAAAAATTAAGCAACCAGCCCATGGTTATGAAAAATTAATTGTATTTTACCAGAAAATAATGAGAACAGAAAAAAAGGCATGTTAAGTAAGCTGTAATCAGCCAATTAGACGTTATACTGAGGGTGGAGATACAGAGGAAGACTTTAGATGTGCTTTGTTTCTTATGCTAACAATTCTCATAAGATATTATTTCTAATCATCTCAATATTTTTTCTAAATCCACCTAGTACGTGTAATGAAGCAAGTATAATGTATTGCACATATACATTTTGATGTATTGAATGAATTAAAATCAAAAAATATTTAGTAAAATATAGTAAAATAAAAACTTTACTAAGGATTTATGGTCACTACAAAGTTTTCATATCTGTGTCTTAAAACAAAGATGAAATGCAAATCTCACTGTGCTAATGCAATGAGTTAACATCGTCGATCTAGATTATACCTTTCAATCTTACTGCTTTGATAAATGACGAACGCATGTGTTACATAACAATCTTAACATTAAATAACTACATCTGTTGCTAGTGTATGACCATTTTGATCTGAGTAGCTTAGTAGTAGTGAGATTGAAGAACAGCATAAAAACTAGGTTGAGCAAGGCTCTCTGCCCACCGAATCTTAAAGTTTGATGGAACTGTCTTTCATGATTGTTCTCTTCTTTTTCTCATCTGGAAGAAAGTAAGTGTTTACCAGAATCTATTCCTACCGCATTGTTTGGCGCGTACTGATGAAGAGTCCCAAGCTAGGACGAAACAGCTGTCCAGTACTGCCAGGTTTTCCAATCATTCTCTAACTGATGTCAGCTCATGATGAAATTCTCCAACCAATCAAACAAAATTCCCTACTTAAAATGAAATTATTCATGACACAGTGAGTTTGGAATATCTAAATAAAATATTCATAAACCCTTCACCGTTTAACCTACAGGCGGCATTTCTGCCGGAAAACGTTTAGAAAAATTCTTTTTTTTTGTGAAGACATCAGAATTGGATAAAATGATTTTGTTACATTAGAAGATAACTAATTATCAATATAAGAAATGATGGTCAGCTTAATTTCTAAATGTTTCTAAATGTTCTTTTTATTGTTTATATTTTCCTGTATAACCAGCTGTCAATAAATCTCTTTATGGCCTATCAATATATTTTTCATTCATAAATAATCATCTTTCTATCCGTTAAATAAACATTTGTTTGCTGAATTCGTTTATCCTACTTAATTGGTGTATGCATTTGTTTGTGTATAAGTGATACATGTACACAGAAACCTCTAGTCATCAGATCGTTTGCTTCAATTTACCTCTTCGATATACTGATAACATTGGATTATCTCATCGTTTGGCAAATGGTCTTTCTTATTTATATTTTTAACTTTTGTATTATTATGTTTATAAGACAGTTCGCAATGGTGATAGATCAGTTTTTTACATTTATGATCCGATACATTTCTGAGTGAAATAAGAAGACCTAGTTAGTCAGGTGTTTAGTATAGCTAGTTTTATTCCTTTACCTTCCCAGGGGAGCATAAAGCTTCAAACTAGAGTTTTGAAGTTTAGGTAGAAGTAGTGTTTATTTTCATGGGATATAGTTGCTAGCCTCATGCCTAATCTTCCCTCTTGATCAGTCTTATTACTGGCTTAGTAAAGGGAAGGGAGTGTGTCAGTCAGGGATCGCGCCTTGAACCACATGCGTGGTTGGCAAGCATTCTACCGCTATACCACCGATGCACATTTGGCAGGTGTAATGTGAACATTTTAAATGTTACACACCATCTGTTCATACAATAATATTAAGAGACCACTTATGAAAAAGTACAATATGAGTTACACTTAGAAGTTTGATCTTTTAATCCTATGAGATGAACTATGTAACCTGGATTTAGGTCTACCATCTTCTGCATTCATCATGCAAATATTGTCTTATTCCACTGAACTAATATTAAATAGCAGTTTTTATATCCGTTCAGAGAAAACCCATTTGTGTGAAGACGTATAAATACATAAGAATTCTTTACACTAGAAATTTCGATAGCGAAAGTATGACGAAAACGAAGTCTTTTAAAATAATAATTACCTCGTCCGCTAAACGTTGTTCCTCTTCTTCTGCAGCCGTTAACTCTTGAGCATTAGCTAAATTATCTACTGCAATAGCTAAGAATACATTTAACAGGGTATCTAATTTCACATTGTTAAGGCTTATACACTAATACTTTTGTTAAAAATAAAGGTTGTCATTATTAAAAGCTCCTTTATTTACCTGAAAATGAAATATCCTGTCATATATATATATATATATATATATATATATATATATATTACTAGATCGTAGTTTGAATCACAAATGTAGGCAGGGTAAAAAATTATTAAAAACTGAATACAAGACGTCTGTTTTATTTTCATGTGAAACTGTAAAAGGGTTTGCACGTACTGCCTCATAAAAGATCTAAACCAATGACATATTTATGGATATGGATTATGAAGTGTAGTAATTCATTCGGATATATATAGTATACACTTTTCAGTGGTTGTCAATGCATATCACGAATACTAAACGACCTCACTAAAGATTAACCAACTCCACACCCGAGTTGATGTATGTAACCTGTTAAGACGTTTCATGGTAATTACAGAAAATCACTCCCAGGACTAGCCAGTAATGGGCGTTAGATGATCAAAATGAACGTTAATACTGTGATGCTAATTGATATTACCTTGGTTTTTGTCCTAAAATGATATCTGTTATAAATCTATACACCTGTTCTAAATAAATGCAGACAAAATGATGCGAGGACAGTTTCCAGTATCATGAATGTACATTTATTCCAAAAACGCAAACCTCAAGATTCATACGCTTCAGTGAATGGTCTCAATAGTACAATGTCAAGTTAGTGGTGAAAACGGTGAAAATTTAATGAATCCTCCGCATACCTTCTCACTAAATATATGCTAAGATATAAACTTAGTGATTCATAAAAATTATGTGCATACGTACGTTTTTAATAACAACTTTCAAATCTCTGTTTTAATAACAGTTATACGTTTCACAATACCCCTTTGATTTTTCTTTCTCTATATCATCCAACAGTCCACTAAAAAAAGTTTTACAAATGTTTTATGAATTAATAAAAATAACAGTGTATGGCATAAAAAATACAGATTTTTCCGTTAGTTAACAATGATAAAAAGTGAACGTGTAGTGTAATCCAAATGTAACCGTTTGTGCATTGACCTATGAACCCTATGCATTTCCCACAGTACATTATGTCACACCAATTAATTTGACTCGAATTGAAGCTGTTTACACACAACCTATCCTTCGATATGGCCAGAGAATGTGAGATTCATTTATTTATTTGGTAAATGAGTCTGTGGTTTAATGGTGAGACACACTCCGATGATGTATATAACCTTGACTTGATTCCCAGTAGACGCACTCCTGAACCTCACTCAGTAGGCTGGAGAAAGGAGGCTATCACCTCGGCCCAGTAAAAACAACACAACCACTAATGAAACTTCGAAAATTGAGACTGAATGTTCTGTTTGGAACACAAGTAATAAAAAGTGGGGCAAGAGGGAGAAACTTTTGTTTGCTTCACTTAATTACAGATAAATCCATTTCGCTTCAGAAACTTCTGATCAAGAAAATAAAAAAAGTTATTCAGGGCTATTCGAATATGCTTCCAATTGTGTAGCAACTTTTTCAGTCAAATATCCGAAATATTTTCGTGTTTCACCGCCCACAACTCTTGAAATAAGACACTGAAAAGGATACAGTTTCCAAATAGTACTAAAAGGACAAAATAAATGCAGTAGACGAATCCCCCATTGTTAACACCACCTTGAGAACGAATTCCATCATACATAATCATATTCCAATCTTCTCCAGTCAATATCTGATAAAAACAAAACAAGTGAAAACAAGATAAGAATGATTTTTGGAAACAAAATTAAAACGCCCTGAATACATCAAATGTGTTATGCTCCTGGGGTACGATAGTTTGCATATTTTCCCTTGTTATTATGATTTTTACGTCGGCAATCACTTTATGACTGATTGCTTGTTGACGCTGTCTTGTCAATGGGAACTAATTAAGAGTGAGCCAAAATTGCAGGAATACATGTTTCTATTCTGGTTATTCAAACTGTTCAGCTGAATTAAAGCGCTACACTACTTCTATTTAAAGTGATATCTTCTGCATGTTTACAGTGCATTCAATAAACTGAAACATTTTCGATAACACTTTTTAAATAATTTCTAAATATTTTAGCATCTTTTGGTGTGGTGAGAGCAGGCTGCTAGCCGATTGGTTGACACTAAGCTACGTTAATATGGGCCGTGAGAAAATATGAACAAGGCTGAGTCAACAACCAATCACAGCAAAGTTAACGTGGCAAAATATGATTCGCAGATAGAGAACTCTATTTGTCAAGGAATCCCGAAACAACCAATCAGAAGCCTGCGTTTGTCTGCCTAACTTCTGATAAACAACCAATCAGATGACTGCGCTTGTCTATAATAATGTATGTGAAATATGTATAAATACGTGTTGATTTTCATAATAAAACGATCTGTTGCCAGCCCCTGTCTTCTGTTGTTACATTGGTAATTTGTTATCGTGAATAAAATAAACAACTGACACTTTCAGTAACATTTCTTAAATTGGTTTTAGCCTTTTATTGAGGTTGCGACAAAGCTGCAGTCAACTGGTGTTTCTATGATCTTTGTTATTTCATGAGAAAATCCATCCTGAAATCAATAAAAGCCCCTAGACTGAAACCTAAACATAAGTCCATTTCTCATTAGTAGCTTACTTCGACATGAGTTTCTGAAGCTCTAGTGAAACATTGTGACGGCAGATGTTCACCAAATAGCACATGAAAACAGTTTCTTGTTGATGAAATCAACTGACTGTTACTCTATGCCACTAATTAACAAAGATTAGAATGCATAAGTAAACAGATTTCAAAACATCAGTTGAATAATAACCTGCTTTCGCTGTAAGCAGACAGTTACGGATTTCATCCTTGGTAGGGTTGTATTTACACTCTGCTGAGGAGTACCGCGTTAAAACGTGATCGATTTTCATCATTTAGTAGTTTTTTGAGTTTGCGACGAAATTTATGTCAAAATATGGAAGGGAAAATTCATGGCTAGAGATTAATAAGACATTTTGAAAATAAGGTCAGGGAAATATAAAGGAATGACAATTTAGATAAACACAAACACGTTTTGACTGAAGAGAGAATACTAGCAAGGAGGAAATTTAAAATAATGGTTCAATAGATAAATGCCAGTGAATTTATGAATAATTTCCCATAGCGAATTTCATGTGTCATATTAGAGATAAACCCAGCTTAGTTGACACATTTCCTCGAAAGATATTTTGAGAGTGCAGGATAAACATGACTAACAATTTAACCAAAATGTGATACTTAGTTTTAATCCCCTTTTTCAAAATATGGGGCAAGACTTGAGTTTTCAACAAGTGAATTTAAATCGACTAATAAACAACTTCTGCTTGTGGAGAAATTCCAACTGCCTTAGTCATTTATAGTAGTGGAATGAGAAGATAAACTGTAGTCTTTCCTCTTAGTCTGATAAACTATGCTCTATAATTAAATAACCTGATAAACTGAAATTGTTTAAATGTAAAAGGCTCATTTCCGTACTGCTATAAATAATAATTAAATAGCAGTTAAATCAGTGCAGACGCCCTGTACGATAATAACCCTGTGATTATTTTTGCAGACATGCATAAATCCATGCAGTAAAACCTATTTAACATGGAGCATGCTTGAAATTCAATAAATCATGATTAATTCCTATCACTGATAACTTACAAGAACTATTTACAAGTTCTTAATATTGCCTCTAAGAAGAGTACTTGTTGGTTTGGCTAGATCACTTAACCGTAAAAACAGCCATGCCGTCAAACAAAACATTTAGTTTATTTTACAAGTGCGTGGGGTTGGTGATGTAATATGCTGAAAGCTGCTTAAAATAATATCTTGGAGAATCTTTACGTATTCACAAGTCATATCTTCGTAAACGGTAGTCTGTTTATCATCTGAGTTACTTCAGTTCATTTGCAATTTTTGAGGGAAAGTGCTTCTGAGGAGTTATCACACCCACTACTGATCAGGGCTAACATGTATGAAACTTGGGTCAGGCAGCGTTTCCTGTTAAAATGACTCAGTGTATCTAGTAGTGAATCATGATGTACAGCAGTAACTATATCTGTCAGCGTATTAACAGCATTGCAAATCTGATTGTTGGTATTTTATCGGCTTCAAAGCCCTATGAAATACAAAAATCATTAAATTGGGTATAACGTCATAAGTTTAAATTAAACTATTTTTTTGGTGCTTGTACCTTGACAATACTTATTAAATCTGATTCCACTAGATAAAATTGAAAATTCTACTACATAAAACTTTTATGTGTTTTAATTTACTTCTGTAGACACACTAGCAACTATTCAGGTTAATGGTATGATGTACTTTCTTAGTATTAATACTACCGAACAAAAGATGCCATTTAACAGATATCAGTTAAGTAATTCACTGAGGCAATTTTTATTTAATCGTGTTAATAGATATGAGATTTTCATAGAATAATTCTGTGTAACACTGTGTGACTTATCAAAATAAAATCTTTTCCACAATGGAATAATTCTGAAGCTACTAATTAGTATGTCGGCTAAACCTGTGCACATCAAAAGACTAACAGGTATGAGATGAAATGATATCAGACTAGCACCCTGGAAAATGATAACACTAAGAGTTCTTCAACAAACAAATCAGTTGTTATAACTTTATTGGTTATTATTGCCTACGCTAGGGCAACTAACTCTCAATGTGATTATCATGACGATCATACTACTGAAAACTCAAGCTCTAAACGTACTGGTTAGCTACTGAGGTTAACCATTGTTATTCTGTCTAGTTCTATTGACTAAATTCTGTCAGTCAGTTTTTTAATGCGGTTGTTAATCTAAGAGTCGTGCCGTCGGTGCAAAACTCTGAACTGATGTTAGACTTTCGGAGGTAATCAGCTGGAAACCCTGAAGCCTGGTTTCACACCAACTGGCACTCATCCGTAATATATATCTACAAACTTGAAGAAACTGACTCCTCTTTTGAGATGAAAGTGGTGAGAAACATAACTTTGGGATAGATATCTGAGAAGTGAATGTGAATGTGATAGAATTATAAGACGACATTTCACGAAACAATTAAAATAAGACAAAATGAAAATATGGGAGATATTGGAGGGTATGAAGAACAATATTATGAAAGATCGACATAAGAAGGCAATAACGCAAAGAGGACAAATGAGTGTTTAAGACAGTGTAAGGGAAACCACAGGTTCTTTCTGTAGAAATGCTTAGTTTAAAGAAAACATTATATCCCCGTAGATTAAAGCTAACATAAAACCAAATTAGAGATGAGCTTTTCAGGCATGCGGACTAATCGTTAACCATTAGCCAATTTTGAAGGAGATGTGTAATATAGAAAGATATCAATTGTTGTTGAACCGGAAACAAATGAGAACTAAGTATTTTTCAGCCTTGTTGTGGACACCCAGAAACGCATATCTGCATATGTGTATATATATATATATCAATGGGCTCTGCTGAAGTTCCCAAACCATGCACATGATCTGGGTTTGACTCCTGGATGAAGCACTCCTAAAACCTCACCTGGTTTACTGGCTGGTAGTAAGTCCAGAAGAGAATGAAAGCTAAGCGCGGGGATAGCAACCGCTATTGAATTTTCAAAGCTTGAAGCAAAGGAGTGAAAACAAACGGCTTATAACATGTGAATCTGAGCTTTTAGCCTTTGTTTTTAATCTAATAGAAGGTAGTACATGAAAGTCCTCATTTTTCGGCTTCACTCATTTAGTTAAAAGGAGTACATGATTACTAATGTATAGAATTTCAGATTATTTTAAAAATATATGACTTATTTCTAATTATTTTAAATAAGGAGATTCCTCAATTTACTAGCAGGTATATCATTTTCAAACCAGTATAAAAAATGCTTTTGACTGATGCAAGCATTTAAAGTCTGCACATCTTAATAAGAATTATTCATATTCTGAAGCTGAGGGTGAATAAATTCCACTACTACTCTCTAGACAAGTAACGTGAACCAATGAAATATATGAATGATATTGACCCATAGAATTCGCCTGGAGGTTAGTTGGCTCGTTATTCAGATGTATTCTTGTTTTCATTAGAGTCAGTCTGTATATGATTTCTCCCATTTAATAGGCAGTAAACAGCTACTCATGTCTCAGTGAGGATGAAAATCACCCACGATTGACCTTAATAAATCACTTACCTGAAACACGGTTAACAAAGCTTTCACAAATGTATCGAAATTCTGGCCTGGTTTACCATCATCAAAATTAAACCTGTGGATAAATTTAACGAAAAAGTGTTGATTTAAATAGGATGTATATATATATATCAAAACAAACAAATATTTCTATATACTATACTGAAATGCTTCTGTCTTCATTCTCCAAGTTCTGAGTGGGGCACAGGGGTTCAAGCTTTGAAGTTTTAGTTGTGGTGGTGTTTTTTACACAGAGTGAGACTGTTAGGCGAAGGCCTAATCTTCCCTCTTCTCCAGACTTACTACCGGCTACATGAGTTTTTAGAGCGTGTCATCAGAGAATGTAACCTGGAATGATAAAGTACTACAGTGGTCTAACTAAATCTGCATATTGCACCTTGATTCCAGTGTTAATCCAAGACCTCAAAAGGATTCAGTCTGATGTATATGACTGATATTCTACAAGTCTTCGCAGGACTCAAGAATATGTGAGTACACTTATTATAACAGAAAACTATAAAATTCAACTAAAACTGAAACGGTGACTCAAAATATAATTTTTTCGAATTGGTCATACAGGAATGTGGTTGCAGCACTATAATAAAATAATAATAGCTAGTATAAGGCAAAGTCGAGGGTGTCTATCCCTCCAAACAATGATTGTAGCCTATTTGAGAATGTCGTTACAGATAAAATATTAAATAAATTAGTAATGAAAGAAATATTTATCACACTAGTCTTGTCAGTTTGACAGCTGTTTTATTTTAATATTATGGTCAGGGAATGCATGTACTTAGTCCTAACAGATCGTAAAAAAATATGATATTATCCCATGGGTAACATTAATCTTGACTTGTTAATTACATTTTTCATACATAATGTAGATGTATTTGAGTAAAACATGAATTCATTTTAGGTTTTATTTTTATTCATAACATTTTGTTGCTCATTTTGGTGAATGATAAGTTGAAAATAAAAATTTGATGATATCGAGTGTACTGATAAAAATAATGCTGTGAAATGTAATGAGATAATGATGATGCTCACAACTATATTCCTTTTTGTACTCTTTATTTTAAAAAAGCTTGTGAATATTCGACACATATACACTGGCGACTTACTCACTGAATAGATGAGCACACTGACATACCTCAAAAGTTAGTTGACGCCTAGTCATCTTTAAAAGAAATTACATCCGTCAAACTTCTAATCGTTTTTTCTTCTTCTCGTCTTTCACCCTAGAAAGCATTTTATTCATAAGTATATATTTTATTATCTTTGAATGTGTTAATTTGGCGGCCTATGTGAATCACTGGGCTACCTGAATTTCCATCCAACATAGTGTATCATATTTTCTCTGATTTTTATTGTTTTAAGCAGTCAATTTCACCTTTTAGTCGCAAAATGAACTCATGCACATTTTTGATTGGCATGAATTTTTCGGAGATGAAGGAAACGTTTCATGAAGCATTATACCATGCTTGTAATCAAAAAAACAATTCGCCACATTATATGTTATCGACTGCTGGTTTTCTTGAAGATCATGGATGAAAATAAAATATTATGCAATAAACTGAGCTGAAAATTCTGTACATTGTATAGACATTTTGTCCAGAATATTATTATTATATCCTTTAATTCCTAGAGGAACATAGGGCTTCAGCTGCGCGTCTCCATTGCCTTCGGTTTTCTCTCAACTTTTTCACGCCGCTCCAAGTCTCCCCACATGCTTTCATTTCCTCTTCACATGACCTTCTCCAATACACCCTCGCACTGACGACCAACTCGTCACTTCCCTTTCGGATTCCACTTGAGAGCTTGTCAAGTGATGTCACTTGATGGTTTCCCCAGCGTATGACCAGTCCATCTCCATTTATTCCTGCCTATTTGTTTCACAGTCGGTTGCTGCTTTGTTGGTTCGCTCCCAGAGATCCCTGTTGTTGATCTTTTCTGGCCATCTTATCTTGAGTGGTATTGAGCGAAGACAACTGTTAATGAAGGCCTGAAGTTTGTTTAGTTATTAAGAATGGTTGTCATTGTAATTATTATCATCGCCTACCGTTAGCTGTCTAATATACTTATATTCTACTTATCCTATCTAATTACTGCATCTACAGTCTTTCATACTACAATTTATAAATTATCTCTTAATAACTAATTCTGTTTTTCTCTAAAATTTACAAGCAAACGCCTTCTAGTGGAACATACATTATATATTAGAATTTAAATGGTAAATGGCGACTAGCAGTGGAATCCAGGATGCGCATTTCGTCCTATTTAGGTTTCGTCAGCTGTATGTACCTGCATTTCTCAGTGAGTGATGATGTTCCCACCGAGGCTCGAAGCCAGTACCCATAGTTTCAAACGCCAAAGCGTTATCCACTAGACCAATTGGGCCGCGAGAGCCACCTCTTGTGCAACGGGTCATATTAATTTAATTGAATTTGAGATTTTCCCGTCGATTGATTGAACCGAAGTGCTAGGTCTCAGGTTGACATATCGGCTCCTTGGGCTGATGCTTCGACAATGTCCCAAATAGGATGAAATACACATCCTGGATTCCACTGCTAGTCGCCATCCACAAATTAAATTCTAATTAAATGCCCAGACCTCGTCAAAGCATCTGCACAAAAAGCCGACATGTCAACCTGAGACCGAGCACTTCGGTTCAATCAGTCAACGGTAAAATGTCAAATTCAATTAAAATACATTTAATATGTATATTTATTTATTCTTTTGCGTTCCGAGTGGAACATAGGACTTCAAACTAGAGCTTTGACGTTTCAATAGCAGTGGTGGTTTTTTGGGGACAGGTTTACTAGCTTTATACCCAACCTTCCCCCTTTGCCGATATTATTACCGACTTGATGAGGTTAAGGAGTATCTCAGCGGGAGATCGAACACAAGGCTTCATGTGTGGTTGTCGAACATTCTACCACTGAACCGCCGTTGCACCAGAATAGATATAGGTCACATATATATATATATATAAAACTGTAGCCAACTTTAACTGCCTGCTCTCAAGTCTTTTAACTTGACTGTGTTTTTTTAGTCAGTATACCTTAATCATTTTACAGTCATACTTTTACATATCCTTTATAATGACAATACATAATTATTGAAGTCATATAAATACTTTTTCTATCAAAAAGTTATTTAAAAAATGCGAGTAAGTTTTGTGAAAACTAGTGGTTAAACTTACTCTCCACCAAATAATTGCATACCCAATAGAGCAAATATAAGCATGAATAAGAAGAGTAGAAATAGAAGACTGAGTATACTTCTCATTGCATTTAACAGAGATAAGACCAAATTGCGTAATGATGCCCAATACCTGAATTTTAAAGCAAGAGAAATATGTTAGGCTTAACATTTATCTCAAAATATGATTTCAAAGTGTGTTTCTTATTTTAAAATAAGTAGATTTATCACACTGAAAGAAATTCAAACTAGTGATGATTAGCTTCCCTAGAAGAATCTGGAGGAATTGTAAGTTTGCTAACAATCTACTGTTTATTTCATCCTATTTGGGATTCTTTTATGCTTTTGCTGTGTGAATTTAGAAACAGAGCAGCATAAAAATTGATCACATTAGACTAGTATTTTTATCAAAATATAAATTCTTATTTGGTTTAAACAGCTATGCGATTCCAATTTTAAAATTTTAAGTGAGGCACTATTGTTTTAGGTACGAATAATGTTTTACAGGAGTGAATTTTATTCCCTGCAAACTTTTATTCCTAGCAAACCACTTTATGCACAGTTTTTATTCATTTCTTGATAGTGTCTGAAATAGATTCAAGTTGTCACGTGGCTGCTAAAGTGGTTTAAAGCATTAGGATTTATGTATATATATATATATAACCACCGTGATAAGCATTCAAGTTATTTTTTCTGTTCGGAAATTCACTGCGTGTATTTTCAAAATTAAAATTAAGCGGGTGTCCTTTTGAACCCTATACTTATTACGATGAAAGGTTTTCTGTATTATAATGTTAACGAATATAATAAATCAAATTTATGCAGAACATTTCATTGATTTAATTCTTTCCTTAAAAAGTTTCATTTGAAAAGGTTAAAGAATGGAATAGAAATTTCAAAAGTTAAAGAAAGATTAAACAGCCTAATCGATTTCATTATCTGCTTTCCAGCTTATCTTTTGAAAAATTGATATTAAATTCAGACTGACAAGTGTTTCCCGTTAGGTTAAAAAAGTGAAATAGGAGAGTTTAATGGTTGCAGCTTAGACAGGAATGATGACTTTTTTTACTCAGTTATGCAAAGCAACAATATTTTGCTTTCAGCTTGGCTTGTATTCAACTGTTTTACAAAAAGTGTCATCACCCGATGACGTCTAACCTAGGGAATGAATGCTTCATAGTATTAAGTTGACAACAAAAGTCTGAAATAGCACGACTAAAAAAGTATCCTAGCCTTATAATATTACCACAGTGAAGGTAATTTTGATGTATGAAAGGAAATTCTTGCCTGACAGCATAGTACAGTCAGACACACAGGTTAAGGAGCGAATTAGAATTGAGGTGCATTTATTCTAATATGTTTCAATAACCAAGTGACATGCCTAAAACAGACAGTGAAATTCCTTTTACATAAATAGTAATTCCAGCAAACAAAATAAATAGGTTCAGTTGTTAGCAGTACTATCAAAACGATTCATATTGAGGTATCAGTGTAAACTTTAGACATTTAACAGACAACAGTAATTGATGTCTACCGCTAATGTGTATACTTTGTATTTCTGAAAGTAGAAGACTAAGACTGGAACCACCATGTCATCCCAGATAGGTGAATTTATATTTTGTAACTCAAATATTTACAAAATGGTTATTTTTGTCACCTAAATTACAACACTCACAAGTTCAAACAGATCACAGTGATCAGAACGATTCTGGCTATTACTAGTAATGCATATCAAAGTAGCTATGGTTTGTTCACAAACGGAGTATGTATGCTTAAAATTAGTGGCAAGATCTGAGAAAAAATATACGTGACTTCATACCTATAGTTTATGCAGTCTTAAAATTTGTCCGTATAGTCCTTTAAGAAATAATGGAGTGTTTAAGGGTTTTTTGACTTTTGAGGGTTCTGACTTTTTAGAAAGGTGTAAGTTAGAATGACTGTTGTGTGTATAAGAGCTATTGATTAGTCAGTGATTTATAAAAACAAATCCATGTAGTTCTGTGCTGATAGCGAAATACTGAAAATTGTGTATCCCATTGGACTACATAGGTGTGAAGTAGTTTTCCTCTACAAACCGGGCACTGTCTAAGAGAAATTAAGATTAAGTTAGCTGGATATTTGTTTCTATTCCATGCGAAAGCAGCAGATGTCAAAAGACTGAAATTAGAATTATCCACTGTGATGAGCACCATACTTCTAAGGGATTTATTAGAAAAAATTATTATTTTTAACGCCTATATGTATCTGTATGCCAACATGTATTGTAAAACAGTAAGTAAACTCCCTCGTATTTTGGGAGGAATTTTGATGTTTACAATTTGCTAAGGGTTTTGTATGAGAGATTTAGAGTCCCCTTTTTAATGAAATTTTGTGCAACTTGAATTGTATATCTTATCTTCCCCCAATTGTTTCATTACAGTTCACCATTTGAACACTTTATTTTATTATGTATGCTATTAGTTAGTCCTCGAACTTGTATTTAGCGTGCTCCTTTTGTTTGTTTATATTTTTGCAGTATTCATATTTCACTCACGACAGCGAATATAATTCACCCCCCTCCTGAAACGTTTTTGATTTGGAGTATGATACTTCATTGTCTATTCACATTTTATCCGATTTTCTTAATGACTGTACATTTCTATATGCATTCAATTAGCAATCTTAACTAACGGCCTGTTATTCTGTCTTATACTTTTACCTCACAACAATTTCTAGTGTAAATCTGATTTGCCTTCACTGGCTATTCGTATTCTTATATTGATTGGATTTATAACTGTAGAGCCTGAAGTTATTGAGAACAAATGTTCGTTCACAAAATTTTACTTGTTATGACTATTACCATTACATTAGTCATTCTTGCATTCTGAGGAGGACATTGGGCTTCAGGAACTTTGAATGTCTCTAAAGTTTATTCCGAGCAAGAATAATTAGAGCGAATAGTTGTTTTCAATAACGTCAACTATAAACCCACTAATATAAACACAATATGCAGTTTGGCAAATTGGAATTGACCACAAAGTATATTATGGCACGAGTACAAGATGGAATAATATTTGCGAATGTCGTTTAAATCCATGCAAAATGCAGCAGAACATGAGATAAAATTAGATTCAACAAGTGAACGAAATTCTCATCGGCAGCGCCCATCCACTGGGGTTCGAAGTCAGAACTTCTGGTTACAAGGCAAGCTCGTAAACGAATCATTCACTGGGAACCCGACTTAATGCCGCATGAATTCTAACTTTTAACAACTGGCAATTTTAGCGCGACCACCATCCATTTTCATAAGCAAGTATCTGTTTTCATTTGTTCCAACTCTGACCGAACAAATTAAAACCCTACAAAAAAACTCTTACAAATCGGTCTGATGCATACTAGTGACCAGGTTCAGGACAAAGTTGTCTGGCGTTCTACTGAGAAGTCATAACTAGTGAACGCCACTACGTTGGGAGTGAGGGAGACACTTGCCTATGACATTGACTGGTAGTCGCATCCCAGTGACTGAATCTTTTACAGTGTAACCGGAAGGCCCTGCGTTCGAACCCCTGTGGTAAGCGCGTACTGCCGATGATTCCCAAACTAGGATGAAACAGCTGTCCAGTTCTCCCTAGTTTCCAATGGTTCTCCAACTGATATCAATCTGTCGTCATACTTGAAGATGTATTTCTCAAAATCCCGAAAACAAATTTGTCTATAATACAGAATGTTCTGAATGTGAGGTTAGCTATACATAGAGGAAAGAGGTAGACAAGTGAAGGTCAGAGTGAATGAACGTAAACTGTGCACAAAACGTCCGCCTAGAGATGAGTTAGAGTTTGAGTCTTGAAAAAAGATCAGCCATAGAAATGCATGCTATAGAAAGCTGACGTAAGAGCTATTTCGACATTGTCGAAATACTAAGAAAACGCTTTCATCCACATATCGAAAGGCTGAACACTGAAGTTTTTGGTATGACCTATGTAAGAAATATTATCATATTTTTCACGTAATAAATAACGTGTTTTTTATAAGACAGACAAAACGCACAAACATACACAGGCAAACAAATTTGGACATATGACAGTTTGACATCAGTCAGTACAAATATACAATAACTTTTTACATTTTCCGTTGGTAAAAATATCTACCGACAACTGACCTTCAAAGGGGTTCGGTTTATTTTATTTTTGGTTATATACTTTGATATTCAGCTAAATCCGAGTAGTCTTGCTAAAGAAGCTGTGGCCTACACAGAGGAACGTTCGGAAAAATTTTGGTTTGATTTTTTTTTCTTAAAAACGCTGGGATTATTTTATGTAGTTTATAATGATTCAACTTACTTCAGGATATTCGTAACATCAGCGTCCTGGAGATTTATAATCTGTGGTTAAATGTCCATACTAGTTAAGGCATAACTGTTATTGAAAACATAAATGGGTAAACATAAGCACGTCTATTTTCAAATAAGTTTTAACCGACCGCCTTGCATTTTTCTAGGGAACTAGGGAAAAATCTTAGCAGATTATTAAAGTGCTTTGGAAAGAACAGTTTTACTGATTATTAGCTTATTTGGAGAATCTGTAATAGAAGTATGTACTTTGAGGCAGAACGTGTTGAGAATTCTGCACTCCTTTTTCAGAATATTATTATTATATTATGACCCAAATGAAAAAAGGCCAATTACCTTGCACAACCAATCATACTGTTCCTCACTCAACATCCGTTCTATTCACTATATTCACAAGCTAATATGGGATTTCATCCTGTTTTCTTTTCCTTATGTTTAGGATTTGGGTTAAGAATCAGGTTAGGGTTTGGTTTAGTATCAGGCTTATAATCAAGGTTATTACTAGCATTTAGGTTAAAGTGAAGGTGGTTAAATTTATTTCCATACGTATATTCGTCATAAATATACATATCTAAATATTCATGTATTATTGTCGTGTGGCTAATCTGATTGGTTAAACAAGGTGACTTGGTAGGCCGTTCGCTGGAGTTGTGGTACTATACGTTTGTCACGTTTTACCACGTATTGATGGCAGTTAGAGAACCACTGATAACCAGGGAGTGTTGGTTAGCTGTTTAGTGCTAGTTGGGACTCATCGAGGACCTTCCGACTACAAGGCGAGCTTGTAGGCTATTCAGCCAATGGACCCAGACACAACGGCTCTTGAATTTTAACTTCTATCAATTGGTGATTTTGGCACGACCACCAACCAATGTCATCGGCGAGTATCTTCCTCACTCCCGACCTAGTGGCACTGAATCGTCATGACTTCTCAGTAGAACTCCAGACAACCTTGTGCTGAACCTGGTAACTAGCAGACAACAGATTAATCTCTAAGAGTTTGTTGGTGAGGATTTGATTAGTTTTTCAAGTTTGAACGTCGAAGGATATCAGTTAAAGAACTATTGAAAAACTACTGGACATCTGTTTGGGACTCATCGACAATACGCACTCGCCGGGTTTCGGACCCAGAACCTTCCGATTACAATGCATGCTCGTAGACCCATCAATTCCTAGTGAATCTCGAAACAAATCAACCTTTGAAATAGCTATAATTACCCAAATATTTTAGTCATAAACCATTACTACCGAAAATTTCAAAGTTAGAAGTGGGTAAATTGTTGAATGGGTATATAACTAATCCCTTTCATTTCCGGCCGCATGATAGGTTAGGTAAGAGGCTTTCCTCAGGTAGTTGATGGTGTACAGGTTTCTATGTGTCTTTGTATAACATGTTTAAGTGTGAATACTGTAATCATTCGATATGTTATATTTAGCTGTTCTAAAGTTATTTTATTGAGTTTTACACAGCTGAAATATCTCTTGCGTTGTTTGCCATACTATGCGCTAAAAAATTTTGAAATTTCATTTATCCTCACCCAGATTCTTACTTCATTGCAATTCTAAACATACGTGTGTGATGAAATGCATAAATACAGAAGTCAAATATCCAAGTGACCATGAATGACAGTTAATATATTGTAATACATACTAATGATTAATGCTTAGATTAATTTTTATTTGATCTAATTATAAATGGATGATAGTATCAAAAACATGGAAAGAAAATGGGATAGAAAGTTGTGTGTGTATGTCAGTGTATAGGTGGGAAAATTAAGAAAAAGTCTGTTTTAACAAGCGTAGGAATACAAAGACAAATAAATCACATAAATCATATTGAACAAGTAATAAATAATGAATAAGACAAAATGTCACGCCTAGTAGATGTGTGACATAATAGTGCATGTGTGATTTCATACGTTCAACAGGGCAGAAGTAGTGATTACAAGCGTCCTAACCGCTATGCCACCGACGCACTATTACAAGTGTTACTTCTGAAAAATTCAATTCGAACCATAACAATTATAAGCATTCATTACTACATATTCATCGTCATTCATGATCATTTACTATCAAAACTGACATCCAACTTATTGCTATATTTATGCATATTATCCCACATGCAAATTTTTTAATTATGACGTTGTAATACTTTGATCATCACTTAAACCTCCCAGATTTTTGTACCATTAAAGATCCTCATGAAGTTACTGAAAACAGTTGCCTGTTCTAAATCCTGAAATCTTACAAACATAGTTATAAAGGGAAATAACGTTGATGCGATGTCATTCATTGTGATGACCTTATAAACCTGTAATTTCACTAAAGGTATGATATTATAAAGGTTATCACTTGTCACAAATTGTTTCACCAACCGTGAATGCTCTCGTATTAAGGCATTTGGATATAACGACATTTTGTTTTATCAATTTAACCATCTTTTCTGTTTGTTCAGAACGCGTTTTAGTAAACCACTCAAGCGAATATAGAATCTCTCACTAAATTTAAATATAATGTTCCAGTTTATTTACTCTTTAAATAAAAGTATAGTGGTTTGCTGAAGTATATCAGCATATGTATATATATATATATCTGTATATCAATATATATATCCACATTTTTCACCTGTGTATAGAAAACTCACCTTGTAATTTTAAATATTCTCAAAAGACGAATACTACGTAAAGCAGAAAATCCAAATGAATCTGATGGATAGAAAATTTGCCATACAATTTCGAACAAACTGGCAAAAACAACCTTTTGGTGAAAAAAGAAAAGAAATAACCCCAAGTCAGGATGAGTATTTCATAAGAAAAAGATTAAAATGTCAGAAAACCAAAAATATTCAAGTTAATTTCCACTGTGTCAAAATTTTATTATATTTCTGATGTAACAAGATGATATGGGCCTAAAACCACGTGTGTTTTTAAGCATCTCTCTTTCTAGTAGGAATGGGGCAAATGAGTGGAGCACACATGTGAGATTACTCTGTAGTTTCACTGAAAAACTGCAAATTTTAATCTAACCAACAGTTTAAAGGACATCAGATACAGTAAGCAAGCAGACTTTACGGCAATACAACCAGTTGGATCGAGTGATCGGAAATCGCTCACACTAATTATCAGTGCACGTTAATCACGTTGACATCATATTAGCAGAATAGCTACTTCAGTGAGCTTACTGACTAAAATGAGTGAGACAGAGTTTAATTTCTAATTAAATGACAAAAGGTGATAACTTCTCCTGTAACAAGTAATAACTGGATTAAAGATGTTTTCTTTTGGATAGTATTTTTATCACTCCATAAAATTTCATAGGCTCATCTTGACCTTATAGAGTATTGCGTAGCTTATAGAATGATTAATGGACTAAGCGTAGCATGGTTTGCTTATTCATTTTTAACTAACACAGGTTTTGTATCGTGGGAAATGAACAAAATCAGAAAATATCTCAGATTTATAAACCGGAAGAAATCGGACTCCCAATTTCATTTCAGATAAATCTGAATAGCGTTTCTATGATTGCCACTGTCACTCTTCATTTCTGGTACCTATTTTAAGAGCGTAAGTATGTCAGATATTGCTTAACAACAAAGCTGTTCATACATGATGCAGATATGTTGATGAAAATAAACTTTTGGGGGGAGGCAAAGCGAATTTTATTTATAGCTTTTCTATTTAACACTGTACAATGAGAACAAAGTGATACTTTAAAGACCATAAGACGTATGATTTAAGTTGAAATGAAAAATATTATCATTTTACTTACATTTATTCATCTTATTGATTTTGAATAAAATGATGCCATCATTTATTTCGTTGGCTTCACATCATAATGACGTTGGCCTGTAAGCAGCTGATGAGAAACGAACGAAATAAATGATGTCACCATTTTATTCTTCCGAAACGGTTTTTCTTGCTTTATTCAAATATCATTTTTCTTTTTATCAAGAAAAATACTGATATAAGCATCAGTGGATCTAGGGTGCACAAACCTCTCCACTTACTTTGAACAATGTCAGTCCAGTAGTATCATAAATCTACATAGAAGAGGTGTCGCTCATGACCTCATTAACATAGATTTTATGATTCTCAGTGGTTAACAGATTGAGTGTACAAATTGTTTCGGCTAGTAGCTTCAAGTATAGCTAATATTACCGATATATTCTAATGTTAATTAGTAATAACTGTTATGTTTACCGCACTCAATATCAAAACTCAGGGCATGCTTTTAAGAACTTATAAGTATGTCAAACTGACGAGTTATGGCTAGAAAAATCTTATAACCAATAGAATTATATATTCAGCTGATAGGTTTTCGGAAGTTAATTAACTTAGGATAAGCATTTTTAGCCACAGCGTAACACTAACTGCAGAACCAGTCAGAATTCTTCCACTTTGAATTTAGTCTCTTCAAAAATGAGTAGTTCATTTGTAAATTTATCTCCACAAGAACTCAAAGGCGCAGTCTCATAGATCTTTATTTACTTTTTTAACACAGAAAGCATCAAAAGTGTATCATGTGTTCAGCCCTCAAAACTTTCCCATTTTTAAATCCGTTCTTGATTCTCAGTTATATTTTACAAATGAATAGGATTATAAAGCCAGTATAAAGCATCTTGTTTTCTTAATAATTAAGTGAAGAGTTTCGCATATCCATCGGCAATTTGACTGTTTTTACTGGTTTTGACAATGATGATGAATGTCACGACGATATATCTTAGTGTCATTACAAACTGATCATCATTAACAGACCGATGGACCTAATTCAGTTTAGAGAAGATGATGGCAGCACTAAAATTCGTTGCAATGTCACAAGACAGAAAATGAAATTGAAAAACAAAACGCAATATAAATGTCCTCCTTTTAAAATAGTTTGTCTAAGTTACTCAGCTAAAATGCTTTAAAAGTTGATGGAACGAATAGAATGCTTGAAACTTAAGGAAAAATAGAGATCTTATTATAACTGAAGTATGTAAAATGTTTTAAAAAACGTCTAATGGTTTACTGTAAGAGATAAAAGATACATATAGCTCAACTGTTTCTCAACCATTTTATGACCTTCCCATCAGAATATAGATTTCGCACATTCCCATACGTGTATCTTATCAAATGTTGCCCTTACTCCATTTATATTCATAAAAAATAATATATTTACTTTAAATTCACTTCAATAACGCGACCGTATTCACTTATCTTTTCAGGAGTGATATAACCAAAAGATTGAATGTTTTATGTGACACAGAAAGCAACTCAGTACACTGTAGTGTGACTATTCAACTTACCGCAAAATCAAAAATATTGAATGTTGAACGGAAGTAGATCAAACAACCTAATCCATAAATTTTAACAATCATTTCAAACAGAAAAAGACCGAGAAAAATAAATTCCGAGAAATCTATTAAAAAGAGAAAATAATAACGTATAGAATGTTCGGTATTTGAAAAACAATAATGATAACAAATAAAATACCAAAATAAGCGTTAAATAAGAGTTCAATCTTTGAATTGCTGAATAACGTTATTTTCAGCTTATCAGAGTGTGACACTGCACTGAAGCTCTTGAAGTTTTTATTGAATAGTGAAGAGATTGTAACTGCTTTGTCTGTTTCGCATGATTATTCATGAAGAAAATTCTTTCTTCCATTTTGTAAATTTCATAAGTGAATACTGCTATATAATAATTTACAAATTCGCTGCAATTACAACACTTTAACGTGAACAGATTTTACATTTTCACCTAAAATGTTCTGTCATTAATTCTACAGTCTCATTTACTTTCACTCCCTAGTTGATATAATCTGTGATAAGATAAATATGTTTTGAAAGATTACCGGTTGAATAAAGATTGAAGAATTCCATGAAATCTTTCTAGGTTAAAAGTTACTGAACTGTGACAGATTACTTTACTTCCTAAAAGTCTCTTACTCCTTATAATATATGTGTTATTACTTTCGGAAACAGACTTAACTGTGTTTGTTCTATGCACTGAATGCATACACATATATATACATATGTCTTGTTGAACTTTCCAGTAGTTTGTGTTTCCTTTTGAAGTTAGGACTTTATAAAAGCTGTAATCAGTGATATGTAATGTGCTGAACCTCTTTACACTCCACATGAACTTTACCAGATTTCATTTGCTGTAGTTATTGAGTCAGTTTGGCCTAAATGCATCTCTCTGAAAGTAATTTTGCTTTCATGTTGATATTATGAGTACTCATATATTCCAGAAAATAAGTTATAAACTAATATACTAGAACAATATTCCATTGATAAAGTTCTTACATCAATGTATTTTTAGTCTTTTGTGATTGCTTAAATACTATTTAACATTGCAGTGTGTGGAAGTTCTATATAGATTCTGCGGTAAACTGTTCTTTGTGTGCATCTAAAATGACTACAAATCCAAAAGGGATGCTCTGAACACTCATTAAGTTTGTATATATAACTTAAAAATACTATTTATACTGAATACAAAAATCAGATCTCACCTTAAACTACTAGCCGATTTATTTGTATGTAAACCCTAGTTAGTAAGCATCAAAGGAAGTTGGAAGATTCCCTATCTTTTGGACGAATGTTCACTGCGAGTGATTAAGCATAAGGACAACTAATGAAAGACACTTTTCGAGGTCATGATTTTTAGTATTTCAGTATGAGCTGACATTGATCAGAGAACTATTGGAAAACCTGGGAGTATTGGATAACTGTTTCGTCATAATTTAAGTACTCTTCATCACTACGCACCCATCACCAGGGTTCGAAATCTGGACCTTCTGGTTATAAGGCGAGCCTGAAGACCATTCAGCTAATGAGACCCAATCCAGCAGTCCATGAATTTCACGATATGGCGCGACCACTAGCAAATGTCATCAGAGAGTATTTGTTCTCTCACATTTTACCGCGGTACCCGAATGGTCATGGCTTCTGCTGAGGAGTCCCAAACTAGGCTAAAACAAATCTCCAGTACTATCAGCTCATGATGAGGTCCTGTAACCAATCAAATCCCTACAAACCGACACTTGAATATCATGATTCTTGAATAAAGTTAGTACATATATTTCATAATATACATATTAAAATATTCAGTTGAGCATCACGAAATACATCTATTAACTGTGTGTAAAAAACAGGAGTATACATAAGATTTTCTACCATAATTTTAAGGACATTTTTAAAAATACCATAGTGTTTCATCCATATATTACGGATGAAACAAAACTCGCTGTCACAATGAACTTCAGTCATGCGATAACCATAAGAATGAAGAACATTAAAACTACCATTGATTAAATACAAGTTGTTTTCACAGCGTTTAATGTGTTCTCAGGGATTACAAGGTTACATTTAGAGTATTAAACATGATTTACCGGTCGTCTGTATCACATGAATAGATCAGTATTATATTTTTTTGTTCACTCAAAAAATAGTTCTTTTGAAGTTTTTTTGAAGTGAATTTGGAGAAAATGAGAATAGTGGATTACTTCTAGTACATCTGAAAATCGTCCTAATAATAGTTAAATTATTGGGTTCCTCTCCGGCTACTTTTCAAAACTTTCTTTCGAATGACTGAATTTCGCCATACAACTGTGTCCATTTAATCAATAACTATTCTAGTAGTATTAACTCTGTATCCCAGGGGATATTATCTCATACGTTACATTAAACAATAAAACATAGATCATTGCTATGTCATGATATTTTTCGCTAAGGAAGGCTTTTAAATTTGCTAATTTAGTTGCATGTATAGCATCTATAATAACTTATTTCCAATTAAACTTTAATCACTGAGAAATCACTAAAATCAAAACGGCAGTTTATTCAGCTATTTTACGTTTTGTTCATTTTCTGTTCTAAATGGTTTCGTCAAGTATTTGTAATTAGTCTTTTGTATTGTATCATTTGCAGGTAAACCTGTGCGGGTTTTACGTTAGAAATAAAATCAAAAAGAGTGTTTCAAACATCACAATCCAGGAAACCAGTAACTCAAAGGTGCAAAAGTCATGAGAGAAATGATCGGTTGTCTCTTTAAGTTAAAATGAATGTTGTACATTGAATTTCACTTTTCGTTTAGCAGCAAAAGTGTTTTCGTTTTTAGTACATAAAAATACTCATGTTGTGCATTTTCTAATTGATCTATACAACTATAAGTTAGATAGTTCAAAGAAAAGAGAGTCTTGACTTACTAATTATTACATTAACAAGCCTAATGGACAGATTAGATAATTAAATAAAGCCAAAATATATGTTCAGTCGATGTTTACCAAGCTTGATCACTTACCATTTACTAAGATACCGACTGGTTATACAATCCTTTCATTGTACTAAACAAAAACATTTATGGATAAAATCAAAAGTATAATTACTTATAAAAGAAAATACTCAACTTACATAAAAAATCTGTAAGCCAAGCTGGTTGCCCATAGAATTCTATAGAGACACAGAGTGCATTCAGCAACACTAGCACAATTACAAACATATAGAATTTTTGTGATTTAATGAGACGTCGGACTGCATATCTACATTAAAAGTGCAAAAATAAAACAATGAAGAAATGACTATGACCCAGTGTGTTTAAATTATTCCAGTGCGGAAAATGTGAAAGTTATTTAGAAAGTTAATGCCAACTAAACAAATCATGCATCAAACATTTCATCGCTGTTTACAACTTCAGCCCGTCATATTATTAAAGATTAACCCAGTCTATTCAATAGAGTACGTTCTCAGGTTTAAAAAAGATAATGTTTTAAACTGTGAACTAAACTCAGAATTTCAACATAAATTCAACCATTACGCCATCTACTTACTAACCCTGTAGGTCAGTATATTGTTTATCAAGGATGCCACTGAATGCCTTTTTCCGTAATATAAATATGACTGTACACCTTGAAAATGAAGTCGTTGAAACGAAATACTTCTTACCTGAACAAAAACTGTATTTTTCCTTATGGACTAATGGGTATATTTCGCGATATCAAGGAAGTGTTTATATTTTTCAACTGTAAGGTGTTAAGTGAAATCGAAAAACAATTCCAACAGTGGTGTGAACACGGGTAGTAATTTTGCTCGAAATGTTACCAATAACAAAACTTATCATTGCGTGGAAACTACCGAAATATAATTATACTTTATGTGAAATCCACTTCTCTTCCTGCTAATTAGAGCGATTTCTAAAAATTATGTATAAAATACATGTAATGTAAAATTTCCAGTGAGTTGTCGTCTGAATTCAAATCTAAGATGAGGTATATGTAGTTTCTATTGTCCCTGAACCTTTTGGAGTGGATCTACTTATTCAAAAATAGTTTTTATGCATCACATTGGTTTCGGAAGTCAACCAGCTGATTATTCGAATAAAATAATTCATCACAAACTACCACCACTACTGAAGTGTTTTGAATATTTTTCTTTGTTTAAACTGCCTCTTAAACATTCCTGTGCTCTTTACCACCGATCGTTATCTCAGTTTATCTGTAGGTATATGAATACCGTAAAAATCGACGAATATGAAACGCAATATAAATACATGTTGTGTAATACAACGACAGTTGAGATATTTATTTTGTACAAGGTTCCCAAGTCAGCGGTAAGAGTTAGACTGTGTGATTTCGCTCTCTATGGAGGTTAACAATAAAAATCAAAGTGAATGCTAGTGATTAAGTTTGAGACTATTCATCAAACAGTGAAGGTAACAGTTCGGTTTTTAAACAGATTTCGTGAGATAACAGAGGAGTTTCGCGTTTTCAGTTTAACTTTCTGTTTTACACAAGATGGATAGCTTATTCAAACTAGAAAGACTCAGAAGGACTGAAGAATGACCTTAACTTTGAGAATCTAAAATTAAAACCTTTTCACTGTAAAACCTATCACACTCTGGAATGTTATAAGTTACTCATTTTCCTCACTTAGAATACGATCAAAATAGTAGCACATTACAGAAAGTAACCTTTAAAAATGCATACTGACTTACCGAAATCTTTTATGATATTGAAATAAAGCTTCAGTCCCAGGTATCATAAATTTCCGCTTCGCTTTTAATTCTGTATTTTTTGAAACATTAGAGACGAAGAGTTGATTTAAGTACAGAAAGCATAAATATCAATGCGACTATTAATATGTTCATCTCTAGATGATCAGTTATATTTCATTTTATTTTTGTAAACTTGACAGCGATAAAGTACTTAGAAAATCAGAAAGAAGACTTACCTAACAATCACATTTCATCTCCTGTCTTTTACAATGTAGGTTTAGCTATCTGGAAACGCCTTTTTTTCTCTGAATGAATGTATTGAACGTCTTAGCTTCTAGTTCAATAATTTTATCAGATGTACTTCCCCTAATTTCATACATTTATAAATCCTACTGTAATTCTTCTATAATCACACGTATGATTCATCACAATGTTGCTTTTTAAAACAGATCAATACAGTTATATCATTACAGTTATAAGTATATTTTCACTTTCGAATGACTTTATATTCATATACTAACACGCTCTTACGTTAAAAAGCACCTATCTCTATGGAAATTTTATCATGATTATTATTCTATAAAACCAAATCTAATCTTTTTTGTTACTCCTGTTCCAGGTTGTATATTATATTGCATACTACTATGGTGTAGCATTCAAAGATGTTAAAAAGACAAAGATTTCTGACATCATGGCTGAAAACCGGATAAAGTGTCATTGACAATTAAATTTCTATCAAGTTCATGAATCAGAACATTCATACTATTTTAATTATTCCTTATGAAACAAATGACATTATTTTAGACCTTCAACCATGACATATCTCCGGAATCGGAAATGTACGATAAAAAATTTCAATCAACTATGAACTTGAATTTTTATGATGTTAAATTCAGTATGATATGCGCAGGAATTGAAAACTAGAAGCTTCAAGTTATTTATGCAGAAAATAATTTCAGTGTACACTAGTTATACATCTGAAGTATTATTTTATTCCTTTTGCATTCCGAGTAGAACTTAGGACTTCTAACTTGAGCAGCTAAGTTTCAGTAGTGGTAGTTTTTATTTTTGCATGGTGGAGTTGTTAGCCTCACGCCCAACTTCCCTTCTTGACCGGCCTTACTAACAGCTCAGCAAGGTTTAGGAGTGTGTTAGCCAAGGATCAATCCCCGGACCACGTATGGCATGGTTGGTGAGCATTCTAGTGCTGAACCACTGAAGTAAAGAGAGTGATCACTAATGCATTCACTTAAAAATCATCTAAACTAGTTCGGTTATTACAACATACGAGTTATAAATACAAATAAGTATTTTCCAAACCTAAAAGTACCCAGTATATTGATAGGTCATTCAAACGCATTGTAAAAATTGTATCTTAGTTCCAGCATATTTCTGGTCATGACTAACTAAATAGTCTAGAAATCAGTTAGATGTCTTTATTCACAAGTGGAAAACTAACGTCATTTTACGAATTTATTTTGATACTGTTAGTGCTTTCGAAAGTATGATTACTGGAGAATGAAATAATTAGGAAGGTAAAAGAGGTCAATCGTTAATCTAATGTCTACGCAGTTTATAGAGTAATTTCTCGTATACTATTTTCTCTTCGTTCATGATCTTTAAGTAAAACGGAAGTCAATAGTATATCATCTGACACAGTGCTATTCTATTTGAAGCATAGAATAATCCTTCATGACACTGTTTCTTCATCTCCGAGAAATGCGCACCAGTAGTTTGGAAAGCTAACTAAAAGTGTGCACGAGTACATTTTGCGACTAAAGAAAGCATAAATGAATGGTTAAAACAATAAGAATCAGAGAAAATATTATGCACTGTATGGGACAGAATTTCAGACAGCCCAGTGGTTTAAGGAGTCAGTAAATACTTCATAAATGAGTGATGCACATTTCTCGCCTATTCAATTTTTTCAGTACAAAGTATTACCTGTATGATTAATAATCTCCATAAATAGTAAATCTGAACAGCTTATTACATCCTTATTCATTTACTTGAGAATTTCCATTGAAGAGACTAATCCCACCACAAGTTTAAAAATATGCCTTACGTAGTGTGGGCGAACCAGAAATGTAGAAATGATCCACATATTTGATGGAATAAATTTATGTGAGTGTCTTGATATGATCATGAGCAATAAATTGTACTCGAAACGTCAGTGAATAGTACTGTATCATTATATGCTTCTGTCAAATAAATTTATTCTAGGACTGAATACGAATATATTAATGTATCCTTTATATCTACAGCAAGTAATAAATAGAAGCAATACACTCAAAATACTGATAACGCGTGTTTAATTTAAACTAACGAGTGATAAGGTGCGTCGGTGACTCAGAGGTAAAATGCTCATCAACCACGCATGTGGTCCGGGGTTCGATTCCCAGCCAACGCACTCCTTCGCCTCGCTAAGCAAATAATAGAACTCGTGAAGAGGGAAGGTCGTGCTTGAGGCTAGTGACCCCATCCCATAAAAACAAACACCACTGCCACTGAAACTTCAAAGCTTCAGCTTGAAGCTCTGTGTTCCACTGGGGAGGCAAAGGAATAAAAAGAAACGAGTAATATTACGCGCTATCTTAGAAATTAAATGTTACGCTGCTAGGTATGAACATTTTCAGCAAATTGCCTATCGATGAAGGTAGTAACAGGTTATTTTAGGTTGTTGACATACGGAGACTACTAGCAAGCCATTCTGGTTGATATGAACAGTATATAACTAATTAACCCAGTCAATCAGTGGTATTTACATTTATGCATACACGCTTGCTTTCTTGATTACTATTTATGGTATCGAGTAGAGGATGGAAACTACTGGGATTTCCCCATTTTGAACTGTGTAAATTGTGAATTAACTTGCAAACTGAAAATAGCTAGCCAGAAATCAGGTGGTTTGGACTGATTTGGCTGTCTAAGCCAAGTCAAACTGAGTAAACTACTGATAAGGTCGGCTCCAAAGAAGCAAAATGGCTGTCTAGTGATCAGATCACCTAGATCTGGTCAAGAAGCACTACTGATTGATATGAGCGGTATACAACTACTTATTTCGATCAATCAGCAGTTTATGATTTTTTTCAATTATAGCTTGATTCCAAATCGTAGTTTTGGTACAAGTGTGGAATTTTCAGCATGTGATATCGGTAGCCCAAATTCTGCTGGCCGACCATAGATATCAGTTGTGCGTTGGCAGGGGATCGAACCTCGGACTATGTGCATGGTTGGCGAGAGTCCTAACCACTGTGCCATCGACGCATCTCAACGCATATTTCACAATCCTACTGAAATTGTATCTCTAAGATGTCCTGACAGGGAAGTGAATATTGATCTAGTGTCTTGTATTTTTCAGTGACTATTTAGTCTTACATTACAGTTAAAGGTTACCTTGAAAATGGTTAACTCTCAAGAAAATTATTTTGTTAAATGATCAGTTACTTCATTTATTCGGTGCAGTATTTTCACATTCTGCGTCCACTTACAGAAGAATTCTTCAATATATAGAATAATATTTCCAAGCTAAATAGCTTAATCTTAGGAATCGAATACAAACGAATCAAGGTTAACGCATAATTTATCCAGAGTGAGGCTTATTTATGATGCTTAAATAAAATTTTAGGAGAATTAGTTAGGGATATAAAGTAATCCCTGATGGAATTTTATTGAATTATTTACTTAACTAGTATTTGTTGTACGTAGTATTTTAAAAGAAAGGAAATATATTCATAAAAATGCAAATTAGCTGACTGCATGTCTAATGTGTAATTCTGACAAGATAATGTTCACAGAAGCTAGGGGCATTTTTCTATTTACAGAGATTGGTAATTTAATCAAATGTTGTACATCACAGTATTATTCACCATAGGACGTTAGTTTGACAATATTCTTTGCTTCGATATACGCTAATTTTAGAGCATGTCAAATTTTAGAGCAACCGGTGGACATAGGCCTACAAACAGCAAAACTGAATCTTGGGTGAAGTGAGTAATAAACAAAAATACATTAGTGATTTGTTCTCAAGTATTGTTTTTGTAGGGATTTTGTTTGATTGCATGGAGGATTTCACCATGAGCTGACATCAGCTAGAGAAACACTGGAAAACCTGGGAGTAATGAACAGCTGTTTCATCCTAGTTCGGAAATCATCGGCAGTACGCACCCACCGGGGTTTGGACCCATGATCTTCTGGTTACAAGGCGAGCTCGTAGAACACTGAGCCACTGGGACCCGATCCTATGGCCCAGACTAGGACAAAACAGCTGTCCAGTACTCCCAGGTTTTCTAGTGGTTCTCTAACTGATGTCAGCTCATGATGAAATCCTCAATCCGATTAGATATTTGTTTTGAAGAGTTGATTACGGATGGATATCAGGTGGAGAACCACTGAGAACCAGGAAGTATTGGACAGCTGTTTCATCCTAGTTTGGGAATCATTAGCAGTACGCACCCACAGGATGGAGTCTCCTGGAGTTCTAGTAAGAAGTCATGACCTATGAGGTCCATCCAGTCAAGTGTGAGGATGAATGTCCCACGGATGACTTTGGCTGGTGGTCACGCTAAAAACCACGAATTGGTAGAAGTTAGAATGTATGGATTGATCAATGAATCGGGTCCCATTGACTGAATGGTATACGACCTTGCCTTGTAACCAGAAGGCCCTCGGTTTGAACCTCAGGTTGTGTGTACAGCCGATGATTCGCAAACTAGAATGAAACAGATATCCAGTACTGCAGTGATGGTTTTCAATGGTCCTCTAACTGATATCAATCCTTGATGAACTCGTCAAAACAAAACCAATCCTTACAAATAAACTGTTGCACATTAGATATTTGAAATATTTTTACAGAATAATCAAAGAATGATCAAAATGAACCTAAAAACAAATTTTCTAATTTATTTTGAATGAAATTTGAATACCAATGAAGTGAATAGTGTCCAGTGGAATCGATTGATATTTTACTTTCTATCTGTCTTATATTTAGAATTGCGGATATTTATATGTTCAAGAAAGTACTTGTTTATCTAAAAACTTTCATCTTAAAAAATAGATATTATAAACTTAATCAAGAAATTATTATTATTCTATTGTGGGGTGGTCCTGTGTGTTTTGGTGAGTGTTCCAAATAACAGTTACGAATAATACATTATGTAAATGAATAATTAATCCATGAGAAGATGATCCAATCATTCAACCATGCTTCTCAATAATTTTATTATCTGTTCAAGGTTTTTATTTAGTCAAGAGGTAAAGATATGGTATTTACTCAAGATCAACACGATTGTATTTTTAACATGTACATAAAACAGGCCACAGTTATTTACTTTATGGCACCGAGAAAGCATACAGTAGAATGTTATCCAAATATTCCTTTATGTATTTATTCCCGTTTAAGAATTTGAAGGGAGCAAGAACAACAGTTTGGCCGAATAAGATGGTACAATCATTTACTCCGTTGCCATGTCATCAGGTCCGTACAGCATAAATAAATTATTAACTTTATTTACAGAGACGTTTTAACGTACATGCAAATTTTACATTTTGTCATTTGATAGGGGGCTCCAAACTTAATGAACAGTGCTCATAAAATTACACACGTAGTTTCTATACAGGGAGTTCAAGTTTAAACAAAATCAATGTATGCATATAATGACAAAGGAGTCACGTAATAAAGGCGAGGGTTGAGTATGACGATGAGCAACCAATAAATTGGGTAACTATGTGCTGAATCCATCTCAAATCATAGAAACAAGACACAAGCGAAATTGCATTTTATTCAAGGGAAGGTGAAGTTAAAGACAAAGATTGAGCAATAAAATGAAAGGGAGAGTTAAGACGACATCCAGTTATCAAAACAAGGAAAGACTGATAACCGTCTCTTTCTGAACACATCAATAGGGTTTCAGTCGTTTGATAGAGATCGCTTCGGCAAACTGGAGGAGAATTAAGCTCGTCTGTCTATTGGTAATTTTAAAAGATTTCGCGATTTCCACCTCATGATCCGTATCACAGAGATGTTTGGTAATGGCACTATTGTAAGCGTTTGTTCCCTTCAGACGTAGGCTTTTCGGTACATGTTCAGAAAATCGGAGGTGTGCCCTTCTTCTTTCAGTTTTCCAAATGTAAATGCTCCTGCAGATACACGTAAATTTGTATGCACAGTTAGAGTTAACTTGAGGAGGGTATCTGTCGACTTTTGATTGTACCAAAGAGAGCATGTTGTCCGATAGACGGGAACCAACTTAGCTGCAGGATAGGCTATGGCTAGTAAAGTACTCAATCTTCTGTTGACTATTCCTGCAATGTTTTCACCTTTAGAATAGAGTTGAATGAAGACAGGCTTTTTCTCCACTATGATTTGTTTGACATTTGAGCCTTAAAATCTTCCATTCTTCTTCATGAATCTCTGAGGGTAACCGTTGTACTTCAACATCTTTTTGAGAATCATAAATTCTTTCTCCAACTTCTCAGTAGAGCATATTCTCCTAGCTCTATAGTACAGGGTCTTTACTAGGCCTCGTCTATAGCTATTTGGACAAAAAATATTAAAATGTAAGTATTGTCCATTCCATGTAGACTTTGGGTAAATTGACTTCTGGGGAATACCATCTGGTACCATGATGGTACCACTTTTTTCTGCACAGACTGTTGTTCTTTTTGTCTCAAAATATTCCCGAGAAAAGTAGTGGGCTACAGAAATAAAATGGGACATTTCCTTAATTCGCTATATTCAAATAGTGAGGCAATTAAATATATACATAATATACATGAAGGAAGATTCGCACATTTGTAGGGTTAAATATATGATGACGTATGAATTAAAAAATTACCTGCTTCATAATTTTCCAACTCAGCAGCTATAGCGCGTTTCTCAGCATCATTCGATCTTCTTCGAACTTTTTCTGCTCGTTTCCTAGCTGTCAAAGCAAGTAAAATGAAATCCATTGTATGTGATTATTCTCACTCTAAGAAACTTCTTCTCAGTGCCGCTTTTCTTTAGAGTGAATAAACTGAAATTCCTCTACTTCTGTTCATTATGTGAAGCTAGTTTGTCAATTATTGTGCGTAATTCAAAAAGTTATGCATATTAAATAATCAACTGTTTTATTAACACCATGCTGAATATTTCTCTTATATTTTAGTTTATTTTAGGAATGAAAGTAAGATATGTTTTTCATGAGGAGGAAATTGACTTTCAAAGACTATCAGTGTTGTTCTTTATCTTAGTGTAAATTTTTGCTAGAGGTTTCTTTTGGGATAGGCAGCAAACATGTTAAAAGTGATTAATCATATGTCTGGCTGAAAGAAGGATGGTCAAAATACATGGTTTTTGTTAAACAAATAATAACAGGTAGTTAAGCCTCGACTTATAAATTCAGCTTTGTTGAATAAATAAAAAATACCTCTAAAAACCTACAACTCTGTTATTGGTAGTTTGGCTTATCATAGAGAAATCATTATATATGCATATATGAGTTTGTTCAGACTAACTGTTAGAAGTATTTCTAGCTAACTGATCTGTCACGCTTTTACATATGAAACAGTGGCTATTTGATGCAGCAGCCTAATAAAAAGTCGCTTTAAATATGATAGAAAGTGGGCTTCAGGGTGACTGAAGTTACTGATTTAACTGGTCAATATGAGATATAGTAAACTCCAGAATAGGTTCACGTTTTTAGATATCATTTCTTACCTAGCATGTAAATATATTGTCCCGTGACAGCTGACTTTTTGATTTGATTATGAATATTTGCTAAACACTGATAACCAGTGTTCAATTAGATCTGCTAACAGCGATGATGCACACTCACAAACAGCTAGCAGCATTGCTTTTACATACAAAATAATAGTCTCTCGATTGACGGTGAATACTGTAGTATAACTATAAAAACTTTGACCCTCTAGGTTTTAATGACTTTAGATTTTATGAACAGTTTTTACGAAAAAACCTTTATCAGTGACAGATTTGATATACATAAAACTAATAACTTAAACTCCAAGATACTCATTTCTAAAATTATAGTAAAAGTGGTTAATATTAAGTCACAGAACCTGTTTCTCCTGCAAAGGTGAGAAGTTAAAATCCAAAAACGTTGTTATTCCATCAGTAAGAAGACGATAAAGAATTAGATAGAAATCTCTATTTCATGTGAAGAAGAAGAAGCATCAAAGATAGGACTTCACGTGAACATAGATAAAACAGAGGTGATGAAGATTCCTGGCCAACATCAACAGCAACAACAACAGACAACAATCAGCCAGCATAAATGGGAAGCACATGAAAGAAACAACATCCTTTACCTACCTACCTACCTACCTACCTACCTACCTACCTACCTACCTACCTACCTGGGAAGCATCCTTTCAACTACAGGCGGAACTGACGAGGATATCAAATCCAGAATCGGAAAAGCAAGACAAGCTTTCATTACTCTTAAGTCTGTGTGGAAGTCAACAGCACTCAGCATCAAAAATAAGATCCGGATTTTCTACTCCAGTGTGAAGTCAGTGCTAATATACGGATCAGAGACTTGGCGAGTCATAAAGAGCATCTCCAACAAACTTCTGACCTTCATTAACAGTTGTCTTCGCTCAATACTAAAGATCAGATGGCCAGAAAAAATCAGCAACAAGGATCTCTGGGAGCGAACCAACCAGGAACCGATTGTGAAATAAATAGGCAGGAAGAAATAGAGATGGATTGGCCATACTCTGAGGAAACCATCGAGTGACATCACTAGACAAGCCATTGCTCGAGTAGGACCCAAAAGGGAAGCGGCGAGTTGGTCGTCAGCGTGAGGGTTATTGGAGGAGGTCATGTGAGGAGGAGATGAAAGCATGTGGTCAAACTTGGAGCGGGGTGAAAAACTTTGCAGAAAACCGAAGTCAATGGAGGTGTGCAGCTGAAGCCCTATGTTCCTCTAGGAATTAAAGGATATAATAATAATAAATAATAGTAATAATTTCATGTGAGAGCTGATGAAAACTTTGACAGACTGAACTGGCACCAGAAGGAGCTTAGCTATGTGGCTCATTCAATCAATGGTGTAAAAAGATGATACCTATAAGGTCAACAGTTCTAATAATTTCGCTATCAAGGTGCTGGTTTCAATTTACACAACACTAGTCTTAACAATAAATTCAGAGACTGATCCTCAAAGTAAAACAAGATCACTAAGGATATCTAAAATGATTCTGATAGTTAGAATGGATTTCTTCTTTTGTTATATTGATGGTGATGATTGCAGATACATATTCGATAAAAGATAAAATGTACAAGTTAGACTAATTTTCGACAACAGGCGATGGCCCTTTATACACCTGAAGCGATCGACTTGTTTCATAATTCTAGTGTGGATATCTTTTATTGTTTTCTTTGTTTCTTTGCGTTTCCAGTGGAACATAGGGCTTCGAACTAGAGCTTTGTAGTCTCTGTAGCAGTGGTTTTATTTTTACGGGGTGGGGATGTTAGCTTCATGCTTAACCTTCCCTCTTTACCAGTCTTATTGCCGGCTTCAAGAGTCTTAGGAGTGAGCCGGCCGGGGATCGAACCCTGGACCACTTGCATGGTTGACCATTGTTCCATCACTGTACCACTGACGTATATTTCTAATTTTACTCATTTTTAAAAAGTAAAAGGTGAAGTTGAGAAACTATTCATTCGGTGGATGCTTGTTTAAGTTCCATACAGATAAAATGCAAACTTCTATGAACATACCTTTAATAATTTTTAATCTCTGCATAAAAGAAGTCTGTTCTTCTGCCAAAATAACTTCCTCTAAATAAAAAAACAATGGAGTATCTAAATTCTTTGAGTTATAACAAGATTAACTACAAAACTCAAAATATACCAAACTTAATCTGGAAGATATTGTATATTCTTTTCGCTTCAGGAAAAACAGAGATTATCATCTCATTCACAACATGTGTAACCGCTTCGAAATGCATCTCAATTCCAAAGAAAACCCAAAATGAATTGTAATAGTTTAACCAATCTGAAATCCTAAAACTTCCATACTCTACTTGTGTGGTGAGAGCAGGCTGCTAGCCGATTGGTTGGCACTAATCTACGTTAAGGTCTAGGTCACTAATATGGGCCGTGAGAAAATATGAACAAGGCTGAGTCAACAACCAATCACAGCAAAGTTAACGTGGCAAAATATGATTCGCAGATAGAGAACTCTATTTGTCAAGGAATCCCGAAACAACCAATCAGAAGCCTGCGTTTGTCTACCTAACTTCTGATAAACAACCAATCAGATGACTGCGCTTGTCTATAATAATGTAGTTGAAATATGTATAAATACGTGTTGATTTTCATAATAAAACGATCTGTTGCTTCGCCCTTGTCTTCTGTTGTTACATTTGGTGTCGCTGCCTCCAGAAAATGAAGATCCCGTGGCCAGCTGCGTTTGAAGAAGGAGACATAAGGAGCTTCTTACGTGACTTCGAGGCTGTTGCTGAGCTGGTGGGTGTCAAGGAGCAGGCAGCGAAGGCAGTTGTCCTGGGGACGCTGTTGAGAGGCCGAGCGAAGGCTGCATATGACAGCGTAGACAGGTCAAATGGCACAGCGTCTTGGAAGAAATTGGTTGAACGACTAGTGTCCGAGTTTGACAGCGAAACAGACAGACAGCTAGCAATGCAGCAGTTCCGGTCAATGAAGCTTGGACCTGATGGAGACCCGCTAGTGTTGGCGGTGAAACTGACTAATCTACTTCGACGCGCGCTTCCCACTTTAGATGAAGAATCAGAAGCGCAGTTACTGTCTTCCCAATTCATCGAGAGTGTCCCAGACCACATTTCTCAGCGATTACAACTGGTTAACGCAACGCAGCCGATGGATATTAGCGAGCTGGCGAAGGTGACCAGACAGCTGCTGAGCACAACGGTAGCCGCTATAGACCATACACAATCACAAAAAGACGGGGTCAAGTATATACCATCCGAAGAGGTGATAAACAGAAACGAGTTAACGCCAGTCAGCTCCAAAGATGGGTAGAGTGGGACAAGCCGGTCAGTAACAATCCTCAACTAGAGGATGTAGCACCCAGAAGGTCGGAACGTCTGCGCACGAAGCTATTTGACGGGGGGACGACTGTGGTGAGAGCAGGCTGCTAGCCGATTGGTTGGCACTAATCTACGTTAAGGTCTAGGTCACTAATATGGGCCGTGAGAAAATATGAACAAGGCTGAGTCAACAACCAATCACAGCAAAGTTAACGTGGCAAAATATGATTCGCAGATAGAGAACTCTATTTGTCAAGGAATCCCGAAACAACCAATCAGAAGCCTGCGTTTGTCTACCTAACTTCTGATAAACAACCAATCAGATGACTGCGCTTGTCTATAATAATGTAGTTGAAATATGTATAAATACGTGTTGATTTTCATAATAAAACGATCTGTTGCTTCGCCCTTGTCTTCTGTTGTTACATTTGGTGTCGCTGCCTCCAGAAAATGAAGATCCCGTGGCCAGCTGCGTTTGAAGAAGGAGACATAAGGAGCTTCTTACGTGACTTCGAGGCTGTTGCTGAGCTGGTGGGTGTCAAGGAGCAGGCAGCGAAGGCAGTTGTCCTGGGGACGCTGTTGAGAGGCCGAGCGAAGGCTGCATATGACAGCGTAGACAGGTCAAATGGCACAGCGTCTTGGAAGAAATTGGTTGAACGACTAGTGTCCGAGTTTGACAGCGAAACAGACAGACAGCTAGCAATGCAGCAGTTCCGGTCAATGAAGCTTGGACCTGATGGAGACCCGCTAGTGTTGGCGGTGAAACTGACTAATCTACTTCGACGCGCGCTTCCCACTTTAGATGAAGAATCAGAAGCGCAGTTACTGTCTTCCCGATTCATCGAGAGTGTCCCAGACCACATTTCTCAGCGATTACAACTGGTTAACGCAACGCAGCCGATGGATATTAGCGAGCTGGCGAAGGTGACCAGACAGCTGCTGAGCACAACGGTAGCCGCTATAGACCATACACAATCACAAAAAGACGGGGTCAAGTATATACCATCCGAAGAGGTGATAAACAGAAACGAGTTAACGCCAGTCAGCTCCAAAGATGGGTAGAGTGGGACAAGCCGGTCAGTAACAATCCTCAACTAGAGGATGTAGCACCCAGAAGGTCGGAACGTCTGCGCACGAAGCTATTTGACGGGGGACGACTGTGGTGAGAGCAGGCTGCTAGCCGATTGGTTGGCACTAATCTACGTTAAGGTCTAGGTCACTAATATGGGCCGTGAGAAAATATGAACAAGGCTGAGTCAACAACCAATCACAGCAAAGTTAACGTGGCAAAATATGATTCGCAGATAGAGAACTCTATTTGTCAAGGAATCCCGAAACAACCAATCAGAAGCCTGCGTTTGTCTACCTAACTTCTGATAAACAACCAATCAGATGACTGCGCTTGTCTATAATAATGTAGTTGAAATATGTATAAATACGTGTTGATTTTCATAATAAAACGATCTGTTGCTTCGCCCTTGTCTTCTGTTGTTACATTTGGTGTCGCTGCCTCCAGAAAATGAAGATCCCGTGGCCAGCTGCGTTTGAAGAAGGAGACATAAGGAGCTTCTTACGTGACTTCGAGGCTGTTGCTGAGCTGGTGGGTGTCAAGGAGCAGGCAGCGAAGGCAGTTGTCCTGGGGACGCTGTTGAGAGGCCGAGCGAAGGCTGCATATGACAGCGTAGACAGGTCAAATGGCACAGCGTCTTGGAAGAAATTGGTTGAACGACTAGTGTCCGAGTTTGACAGCGAAACAGACAGACAGCTAGCAATGCAGCAGTTCCGGTCAATGAAGCTTGGACCTGATGGAGACCCGCTAGTGTTGGCGGTGAAACTGACTAATCTACTTCGACGCGCGCTTCCCACTTTAGATGAAGAATCAGAAGAGCAGTTACTGTCTTCCCAATTCATCGAGAGTGTCCCAGACCACATTTCTCAGCGATTACAACTGGTTAACGCAACGCAGCCGATGGATATTAGCGAGCTGGCGAAGGTGACCAGACAGCTGCTGAGCACAACGGTAGCCGCTATAGACCATACACAATCACAAAAAGACGGGGTCAAGTATATACCATCCGAAGAGGTGATAAACAGAAACGAGTTAACGCCAGTCAGCTCCAAAGATGGGTAGAGTGGGACAAGCCGGTCAGTAACAATCCTCAACTAGAGGATGTAGCACCCAGAAGGTCGGAACGTCTGCGCACGAAGCTATTTGACGGGGGGACGACTGTGGTGAGAGCAGGCTGCTAGCCGATTGGTTGGCACTAATCTACGTTAAGGTCTAGGTCACTAATATGGGCCGTGAGAAAATATGAACAAGGCTGAGTCAACAACCAATCACAGCAAAGTTAACGTGGCAAAATATGATTCGCAGATAGAGAACTCTATTTGTCAAGGAATCCCGAAACAACCAATCAGAAGCCTGCGTTTGTCTATAATAATGTAGTTGAAATATGTATAAATACGTGTTGATTTTCATAATAAAACGATCTGTTGCTTCGCCTTTGTCTTCTGTTGTTACACTTGTACAATAGATTTATGAATTTCGAGGTGCTTTCTACATCTAATCATGAACATCTACTACTTAGATATTATAGAGAAGATTTGTAGCTCAGGTGGATGATTTTGATGTGGTTTTGTTCTCTGAGCTGGATGGTTAGTTTGCGAAGCTTTCATCACCTTACTGGGTGACATCTTCAGCGCATACTTCAATTTGAAGTGAGCTTTTAGATTTCTCCACGAGTTTATTAATCATCTCTCCTGGTGACCTTGGACGTGATTGGTTGTTTGTGTGTGTTTTCACACCTTCTAGGTTACTTGTATTGGAACCGGTTGTTTCTTTGACTTGAATTTTGACCCTTTGTCTGTGAAGTTTCTTTCTTATTGGTTGATAAATTTTGTCTATGTCGATGTGTCTATTGATTGATGATCCACTGGAATGCCAAGCTTCTAAAAATTCTCTAGCATTCTTGTTATTTCCTTTGTCTAATATTTGAATGTTTTCCCAGTCGAATTGATGTCCGTAGTTGTCTGTGTGTAGTGAAATGAGGGAGTGGATATCATGTCTTTTGACGGCTAGCTTATGTTCGTGGATACGAAGACGAAGGGGACGTCCACTTTGGCCGATGTAGTGTTTTTCGCAGTTGTTACAGTTTATTTTGTAGATGATGTTGGTTTTATCTTCTTTCGCTGTTGAGTCTTTTGGTTGACATAGAATTGAGTGAAGCGACTTTGTTGGTTTGTGTACGACGTCAACTCCTAAAGGTTTGAAGAGTCTTGTAGTGATTTCTGAGATATCTTTTATATATGGTAAGGCAATTTTCTTTGTGTTCTCCTTGGTGGCTTTTGCTTTGGTAGGTTGGCTTGGGGGTATATGTCTCTTGATGAAATTCCGTGGATATCCATTCTTTTGGAAGACGTCCATGAGATACTTTTCTTCAATTTTTCTTAAGGTGGGAGTGTGGCACACACACAAAAGGAATTGCATACAAACACTGTTCAAGAGGGCAAGGACTCACTGCAGCACTCCCACCTTAAGAAAAATTGAAGAAAAGTATCTCATGGACGTCTTCCAAAAGAATGGATATCCACGGAATTTCATCAAGAGACATATACCCCCAAGCCAACCTACCAAAGCAAAAGCCACCAAGGAGAACACAAAGAAAATTGCCTTACCATATATAAAAGATATCTCAGAAATCACTACAAGACTCTTCAAACCTTTAGGAGTTGACGTCGTACACAAACCAACAAAGTCGCTTCACTCAATTCTATGTCAACCAAAAGACTCAACAGCGAAAGAAGATAAAACCAACATCATCTACAAAATAAACTGTAACAACTGCGAAAAACACTACATCGGCCAAAGTGGACGTCCCCTTCGTCTTCGTATCCACGAACATAAGCTAGCCGTCAAAAGACATGATATCCACTCCCTCATTTCACTACACACAGACAACTACGGACATCAATTCGACTGGGAAAACATTCAAATATTAGACAAAGGAAATAACAAGAATGCTAGAGAATTTTTAGAAGCTTGGCATTCCAGTGGATCATCAATCAATAGACACATCGACATAGACAAAATTTATCAACCAATAAGAAAGAAACTTCACAGACAAAGGGTCAAAATTCAAGTCAAAGAAACAACCGGTTCCAATACAAGTAACCTAGAAGGTGTGAAAACACACACAAACAACCAATCACGTCCAAGGTCACCAGGAGAGATGATTAATAAACTCGTGGAGAAATCTAAAAGCTCACTTCAAATTGAAGTATGCGCTGAAGATGTCACCCAGTAAGGTGATGAAAGCTTCGCAAACTAACCATCCAGCTCAGAGAACAAAACCACATCAAAATCATCCACCTGAGCTACAAATCTTCTCTATAATATCTAAATCTTACGAGCGGGATACGCTTCTCTCTGTTCGAAAGTGGGAAGACTTCGCCAAAAGACAAGGATCCACCAGAGAACAATTATTCTTTCTCCATGAGTGTCTTCGTCATTCAATCCTACCAAACAGTGTAAGATACAAACCACCAGTCAACTGCCCAATGGGATGGAAATTGGCCGAACAATGTGGAAGACGAATGGTCAAATTAATGATTACAGATGCACATTATCGGATCAAAAAATATCAACAAATTATAGATATCCAAAAAGCAAAATTAGAGAAAACCCTCAACCAGGAACACCTGTCAACGCTGATCACCGCAATTACACTGTCAAGTGAAAAACACAGAGAACAAAGACGAAGAGTCCTCAAAACCAAGCTAGCCAAGATTAGAAAACAACAACCAGACAATACGCCCATAGACTGCGTAGTCAACCTATCAAAACAACCACTATCAAAAATGGAACAACAACTACTACAAAAAGGATTAAACTACAACACCGGAGATGCTTCAAAAACTGATTTCTTCGCTGCCTTTGAATCATTACTCAAATCATCAAACTTGAACGAGGAAACACAGGAAGAGATACGCCAAACAATTGTACCAATGGTCAAACAGAAAAGACAACACACACAACTCAGCGCTCAAGAACTAAAGGCCCTCAAAAAGCTGAAAAATAGGAAGGACATCGTCATTTTACCAGCCGACAAAGGAAGAACAACAGTAGTCATGGACAGAGAAGAATATACCAAGAAAGCTGAAGAACTACTCAAAGATGAAGATGTATATCAACAACTCCCAACAAATCCCATACAAACATTGGATAACCGCATCCAAAGGACCTTAAACAAGCTCACCAAAACTGGACAGATCACAAAACAAGACCAATGGCGAATGAAATCCAATGGACCAGTCCTACCCCGATTCTACGGCAGACCAAAAATACACAAGGCAAATATCCCATTACGACCAATTGTATCACTCCCAGGAACTCCAACATATAATTTATCCAAAGAATTATACAGAAAACTAAAACACCTAACGGAATCTTGCGATCACTCCATCAACTCTGCTATCCAATTCCTAGAGAAAATCAGAGGCATCCAAATAGATGAACAAGAAATAATGGTATCATTCGACGTGACAGCATTATATACATCCATCGGACAAAACCTAGCAAAAGAAACCATGGAGCAACTACTTAGCAACGACGAACAACTGCCACAACAATCAAAAATGCAACACACAAGCTGGATGGAATGCATAAATCTATGCCTAACAACATACTTCCAATTCAACGGCCAAATATAGGAACAAGTCAAAGGAACACCCATGGGATCACCAATATCAGGTTTGATTGCAGAAGCAGTGATGCAAAGACTCGAAAATATAATTCTACCAAAGATCAAACCCAAGATTTGGATACGCTACGTCGACGACACATTTGTAATCATCAAAAGAAACGAATTAGATAAAACTCACAACTTAATAAACAACGTCTTCAACGACATCAAATTCACAAGAGAAGAGGAATCCGAGAACAAAATACCATTTTTGGACGTCTTAGTCAGGCGAACAACTACAGGAGAATTAGAAACTCAAGTTTATAGGAAATCAACTCACACAGACCAAATACTGAATTACAACAGCAACAACCCAATAACACACAAAAGGAATTGCATACAAACACTATTCAAGAGGGCAAGGACTCACTGCAGCACTCCCACCTTAAGAAAAATTGAAGAAAAGTATCTCATGGACGTCTTCCAAAAGAATGGATATCCACGGAATTTCATCAAGAGACATATACCCCCAAGCCAACCTACCAAAGCAAAAGCCACCAAGGAGAACACAAAGAAAATTGCCTTACCATATATAAAAGATATCTCAGAAATCACTACAAGACTCTTCAAACCTTTAGGAGTTGACGTCGTACACAAACCAACAAAGTCGCTTCACTCAATTCTATGTCAACCAAAAGACTCAACAGCGAAAGAAGATAAAACCAACATCATCTACAAAATAAACTGTAACAACTGCGAAAAACACTACATCGGCCAAAGTGGACGTCCCCTTCGTCTTCGTATCCACGAACATAAGCTAGCCGTCAAAAGACATGATATCCACTCCCTCATTTCACTACACACAGACAACTACGGACATCAATTCGACTGGGACAACATTCAAATATTAGACAAAGGAAATAACAAGAATGCTAGAGAATTTTTAGAAGCTTGGCATTCCAGTGGATCATCAATCAATAGACACATCGACATAGACAAAATTTATCAACCAATAAGAAAGAAACTTCACAGACAAAGGGTCAAAATTCAAGTCAAAGAAACAACCGGTTCCAATACAAGTAACCTAGAAGGTGTGAAAACACACACAAACAACCAATCACGTCCAAGGTCACCAGGAGAGATGATTAATAAACTCGTGGAGAAATCTAAAAGCTCACTTCAAATTGAAGTATGCGCTGAAGATGTCACCCAGTAAGGTGATGAAAGCTTCGCAAACTAACCATCCAGCTCAGAGAACAAAACCACATCAAAATCATCCACCTGAGCTACAAATCTTCTCTATAATATCTAAATCTTACGAGCGGGATACGCTTCTCTCTGTTCGAAAGTGGGAAGACTTCGCCAAAAGGCAAGGATCCACCAGAGAACAATTATTCTTTCTCCATGAGTGCCTTCGTCATTCAATCCTACCAAACAGTGTAAGATACAAACCACCAGTCAACTGCCCAATGGGATGGAAATTGGCCGAACAATGTGGAAGACGAATGGTCAAATTAATGATTACAGATGCACATTATCGGATCAAAAAATATCAACAAATTATAGATATCCAAAAAGCAAAATTAGAGAAAACCCTCAACCAGGAACACCTGTCAACGCTGATCACCGCAATTACACTGTCAAGTGAAAAACACAGAGAACAAAGACGAAGAGTCCTCAAAACCAAGCTAGCCAAGATTAGAAAACAACAACCAGACAATACGCCCATAGACTGCGTAGTCAACCTATCAAAACAACCACTATCAAAAATGGAACAACAACTACTACAAAAAGGATTAAACTACAACACCGGAGATGCTTCAAAAACTGATTTCTTCTCTGCCTTTGAATCATTACTCAAATCATCAAACTTGAACGAGGAAACACAGGAAGAGATACGCCAAACAATTGTACCAATGGTCAAACAGAAAAGACAACACACACAACTCAACGCTCAAGAACTAAAGGCCCTCAAAAAGCTGAAAAATAGGAAGGACATCGTCATTTTACCAGCCGACAAAGGAAGAACAACAGTAGTCATGGACAGAGAAGAATATACCAAGAAAGCTGAAGAACTACTCAAAGATGAAGATGTATATCAACAACTCCCAACAAATCCCATACAAACATTGGATAACCGCATCCAAAGGACCTTAAACAAGCTCACCAAAACTGGACAGATCACAAAACAAGACCAATGGCGAATGAAATCCAATGGACCAGTCCTACCCGATTCTACGGCAGACCCAAAATACACAAGGCAAATATCCCATTACGACCAATTGTATCACTCCCAGGAACTCCAACATATAATTTATCCAAAGAATTATACAGAAAACTAAAACACCTAACGGAATCTTGCGATCACTCCATCAACTCTGCTATCCAATTCCTAGAGAAAATCAGAGGCATCCAAATAGATGAACAAGAAATAATGGTATCATTCGACGTGACAGCATTATATACATCCATCGGACAAAACCTAGCAAAAGAAACCATGGAACAACTACTTAGCAGCGACGAACAACTGTCACAACAATCAAAAATGCAACACACAAGCTGGATGGAATGCATAAATCTATGCCTAACAACATACTTCCAATTCAACGGCCAAATATAGGAACAAGTCAAAGGAACACCCATGGGATCACCAATATCAGGTTTGATTGCAGAAGCAGTGATGCAAAGACTCGAAAATATAATTCTACCAAAGATCAAACCCAAGATTTGGATACGCTACGTCGACGACACATTTGTAATCATCAAAAGAAACGAATTAGATAAAACTCACAACTTAATAAACAACGTCTTCAACGACATCAAATTCACAAGAGAAGAGGAATCCGAGAACAAAATACCATTTTTGGACGTCTTAGTCAGGCGAACAACTACAGGAGAATTAGAAACTCAAGTTTATAGGAAATCAACTCACACAGACCAAATACTGAATTACAACAGCAACAACCCAATAACACACAAAAGGAATTGCATACAAACACTATTCAAGAGGGCAAGGACTCACTGCAGCACTCCCACCTTAAGAAAAATTGAAGAAAAGTATCTCATGGACGTCTTCCAAAAGAATGGATATCCACGGAATTTCATCAAGAGACATATACCCCCAAGCCAACCTACCAAAGCAAAAGCCACCAAGGAGAACACAAAGAAAATTGCCTTACCATATATAAAAGATATCTCAGAAATCACTACAAGACTCTTCAAACCTTTAGGAGTTGACGTCGTACACAAACCAACAAAGTCGCTTCACTCAATTCTATGTCAACCAAAAGACTCAACAGCGAAAGAAGATAAAACCAACATCATCTACAAAATAAACTGTAACAACTGCGAAAAACACTACATCGGCCAAAGTGGACGTCCCCTTCGTCTTCGTATCCACGAACATAAGCTAGCCGTCAAAAGACATGATATCCACTCCCTCATTTCACTACACACAGACAACTACGGACATCAATTCGACTGGGAAAACATTCAAATATTAGACAAAGGAAATAACAAGAATGCTAGAGAATTTTTAGAAGCTTGGCATTCCAGTGGATCATCAATCAATAGACACATCGACATAGACAAAATTTATCAACCAATAAGAAAGAAACTTCACAGACAAAGGGTCAAAATTCAAGTCAAAGAAACAACCGGTTCCAATACAAGTAACCTAGAAGGTGTGAAAACACACACAAACAACCAATCACGTCCAAGGTCACCAGGAGAGATGATTAATAAACTCGTGGAGAAATCTAAAAGCTCACTTCAAATTGAAGTATGCGCTGAAGATGTCACCCAGTAAGGTGATGAAAGCTTCGCAAACTAACCATCCAGCTCAGAGAACAAAACCACATCAAAAACATCTACTACTTCACTGAGTAAACTGCTAATGTTGTTTTTTAGATGTATAATCTTGGAAAAATAGTAATTCAGTCACTAAAATTCAATAAATTGAAATATTCCATAATGACATGTAGCAGTTTTCAAAACGAAATAAAAAGGCATTTTTGTTTAAACTGTTATCCAGAAAAGTCAATGGATTTGAAAGTAGATTCAATAATGAAATGAACAAAATAACCAGTGAAATCTGTACAGTAAAAATGAATACAATTTTTAAATCTGAAAGCATATCGTCTCAGAAGTAGAAGATCAATAGTCAACGCGAAGCACAAATATTACTAATCTTCAACCTTCCATTACTTTTAACCATCTCATGACTATCAGTCAGTGAATAATAACAATCACGAAATGAAATTATTATGATATGACTTGGTCGTCCAAAAAAAACACAATGTCAAGAACTTTTTGAGCAATGATTGTAGAAAACGAGGCTGAAATCAAATTTTGATTTGAAATGACTGAAAATACGGATCACTGGATTCCACCCTACAAGCTGAATCAGATCGGACTCACTGTGTAATTACTAGCTAACCACTATGGAACAATAAAAAGTAGTACAAGACGAAATTAATGATGTCAGAAGAGGAATCACCTTAATCCCGAATAAATGACTATCGCATCAATGCATCAAAATCAATGATTACTGTTATAAAATATAAAGTCGTCTGTTATTATCATCAGTTAGCTGTTGCTTAAGTTGTTATATCACTTGTATAAGTGTCCTCTCAAAAATAAAAGATTGTCAAACGTTTCTTCGTTTTAGATTAATGGTTTTTCTAGGCAGTTAATTCGTGAATGATATCCGAACAGCTATATTTTTTTACAGTATTTTCATCATGAGCTGACATTAGTTAGAGAACCATTGGAAAACCTGGGACTACTGGACAGCTGTTTCGTCCTAGTTTGGGACTCTTCATGAGTGCGCACCCGCCGGTATTCGTTTGAAAAGAGAAAACAACTATGAATCTACAGGAATGACTTCAACTTTTATACTACACAGTCAGTACTATGAACAGACGAGAGAATCAGATCTGTTTGGGGCAATGTTCTAATGCACGCAGTAGTTCTCTTTGTCTTGAAAAGCTTAAACTACCTCATGATTATCAGTTTATTTATTTTTTTATAACAGTAATAAGATAGACTGTCGTTACTTTGCCGATAGCCTATTTCTTGCCGAATTAATTTAATTGACTTTTCACTTGAGAAGAAATGTTTTCGAAGCATGATTATTGTTCTTGTACTACCTTAGAGGTAGCCTTTCACAGCTCCATTTTGATAACAGGAGTAAGTCATAACTTTTAGTGTAGACCACATCATGAACGGATGTCAGTCAGAAAATTAGTTTAAGGAAACGAATATCGAGTAGCTGTTTCGTTCTAATTCCAGAAAATTCAGTACCGGACATCCATGAAACTGTAAGATATCCCCATCAACGCCACTAGTACCCTGCTCCGATAGCGAAATCAAATTACCCTCGACGGCAATATTTTGTTGCGCAACATGCTCCACCACCATGCAACATAATCTTTTAGTACCTGTCTTTATATAGGATCGGGCAGTCTATAAGCCACTGCATTTTAATCCAGTGAATGAATGATGGATAAGTAGATGATTACAAGTTCCAAACCTCATTCAGATAAGTACATACTTTCGATGGAGCTAAGTTAAGACAGAGCGGCAGTTTAGTTGTCTTCCGTTGTCGTTTTCTATATCACTTCACTTTAACATAAAGTCTACCTTAAAAACCTGTCTAACCTTAATAGGCCAAAAAATTTAGTGATTTCTAAGACTGAAAACAAGACTTTAACCATACTAATTTGTTTTTATCACACAGTGAAACAGTATTATTTACTGTATTTAAAGTATTATTTATTCAGTAAATAATACTGTTTTACTGTGTGATATATCTAATGAACAAACTAATATGGAATTACTTACTACCACAGTGCCCAAGTTTTACACATATATTAATAAGAGATTAACCAATTACAGTGGGCATAGTATCAACTGAAATTCTGTCACAATATGTCATATTCACCAGAGATACATAATATCTACACTTTTAACAGGGATGCACGAACACTTTTCACTAATCAAGCGATTGAGTGAATATGTATAAAGTTGTGATGTTGAAACATTTTTCTGCAGCCGATTTCTATAAAGCGTCACTTGTTTCATCTATTCTTCATTTTTACTCCAATATTTGGTTTATTTTTAGCTCACTGCCTTTAGAAGTGAAACTAAATTTAGTGGCGACGCTGGAAAAATAAACAAGAGAATAATCAATTTACCGATAGCGGTTGGTCTAAGATTGTTTACGTGCAACCCATTTGTTAGAAAATATATTCGATCTATATATATATATATATATATATATATATATAGAATCAATAAAGTTAACAGCAGAGATAAATTCAAGCAGTAGATCTCGTGTCTCAATAAAGGAATATTGAAAGGAATTTCGCTTCTTTTATGCGGAAGAAACAATACCATATAAACAATAAGTTAATGTGTATACACACAGAGATAATTGTCCATTTTGTAAGCAGTAATCCGAAATTTCTACTGCTACGCCGATAATAAATGCATAAATATATACACAACAAAATAAAAAGGAAACAGTTTTGTGATCATTCACACAAGACATTTCACTTGTGAATTTATTCTGATTTCTGGATAATGACTTTCTTTATGGTCCTCATAGAAATGAAGTATTCTAAGCATTCTTGACAAATAAAGTGATTTAAAGTCAAAAAAGGAAGAGTATTCAACAACTTCATCTGCTTCCTATTGGTTCTTTTAAGCACAACAGACTAGTGACTAACTCAAATTTGATTTATCCACTTTTATCCAGAATGTCTTGGATGAAAAAATTCAAAACATCAATAATAAAATACAAATCATTGAATGAAAAATCTAAAAAAAAATAATTTACGAGGCATATTCTGCCGAAAACTAACCAGCTCTTTGTATCCAATCCAGGTAGCCATTTAATTCACGATCAGTTTGCTGCTGTCGACGTAGTTTTAAGAATGCACGTCGTTTTTCAACACGCTCACGTTCTTTAGCAAATTCACTGAAAAGGTAAAAGAAAGAGATAGTATTCACAATGAATCATTCATCTTATGTTTATATATGTTTTTCCTCAGGTGTAATTCTCTTCAAAAACCTCCAGTTTCGTTCTAGACACCATTCACTATGGAACTCAGTGGGCCAGCTGATAACATTTACTGTTCCCCAGAGGTTAAATAATATCAGGAGGTTGGAAAGAGTTTGAGAAAGGGGTGATTGCTTAACAATCACCCTTTAAATAGTCCATATAATCGAATATTTAGGTTTCGTAATTTTAGAAGACAGGCATAAGTACAAAATTTACCATTTCATACTACTATGATAATTAATACATGAACTGACAGACATAAAAGACAGTTAGAACAACAGAAAATATACAGGGGAAGTGATCAAGTTACAAATCCGAATATTATCACTCCTAAACAGTAATTACGTGCACATAGTAACAGGTAACATGCTGCACATGTTACTTTATTCCGTTAAACCAAGAATAACTGAGGACAGGTCTATCTTGTTTTACCACCAGCGGGACAAAATACAGATAATTATCTTATTAAGTAATATACTCATGTTACTTAGTATTCGACATACAGCTGTGTCATGACAGGCTGAAATAGTCGTCGCACTTACAAATCTGAATTCAGTTAGAATACAAAAACATAGAACTGAACAAAAGCGTGCTGGCTATCAGATTGAGTATGTTAAATAGCCAACGAAATGAAAGTGATTCACCCTGGGTATATTCACTAAAAAGTCTTTAGAGAGATTTAAAAAGAAAATGATTTCAATGTCTTCCAAAATTTAAGCATTCCTAAGTTATAATTGACCAAGTACGAAACTTCGACTAACAAACTGGACTATGAGAATATTTTTTTAACATGTTCAACAGAAGGCATTCGGGCTTGGTGCAAACTGACAAATTTTCGGGAGTTACTCTTTCTCAATCATCTATTCCATTCGATGTTAAAAATTAGTGCCAAAATATGGTATATATATATATATAATCAAAATGCTTTATTGATGGGTGATTTTTTACAGTTTTAAAGTTGACTGATACTAGCTTGCTAGGCTACTAGCTTACTAGTTTTCTCGCCGGTCCCAAGCCTAGGTAAAGAGGGAGGGTTGGGGCGTGGTGCTAGCAACTCCACCCCTGTAAAACAACCAAATCGCTACAGAAACTTCAACGCGCAAATATATTAAAAATTCTAAAAACATAAACAATAGCCTTACTTTTCGCTGGAATCGGGGAAGTGAAATGACGCAGGCTGGTGAAAGCCTTCGGGAAGCCAGTCAGCCGATGTGCCTTCTTTCGATGAAAGCAAAAGTAAGGATGGGTACCTGGAATGTTCGCACAATGTACGAAACTGGAAAGGCTGCCCAGATAGCCGCTGAAATGAGAAGGTACAGAATAGAAGTGTTGGGAATCTGCGAGAGCAGATGGAACGGAACTGGAAGGTGCCAACTACCTACTGGAGAGACAGTAATCTATTCCGGCCACCTAGAGGACAACCACGAGCACACCGAGGGAGTGGCCATCATGATGTCACCAACAGCAGCCAAAGCTCTCATGCAGTGGGAACCAATCTCCTCCAGGATAATGACAGCCAGGTTCAACTCAAAAGGAAGGAAAGTTACAGTCATTCAATGTTATGCGCCTACAAACGTCTCAGAACAAGAGAAGAAGGAGGCGTTCTACAGACAACTACAAGCAATAATGGACAACGTCCCAAATGGCGATATCAAAATCCTGATGGGCGACATGAATGCGAAGCTGGGAGGAGACAACACAGGAAGAGAACTCACCATGGGTCGTGAGGCCCTCGGTGAAATGAACGACAATGGTGAACTCTTCTCAGACTTCTGCGCCTTCAATGATTTGGTGATTGGTGGTAGTGTGTTCAAACACAAGGATATACACAAGACGACATGGATTTCACCAGATGGAAACACCAAAAACCAAATAGACTTCATCTCAATTTCAAGAAAGTGGAGACGGAGCCTACTGGACACAAGGTCAAGGAGAGGAGCAGATGTGGGTTCAGACCACTATCTAGTAGAAGGGACTTTCAAGGTGAAACTAAAAGCCTCGAGGATAGCTGGGGATAGGCCACAATGCAAGTTCAACACTCAATTACTGAAGGACACAACCACAAAAGACACTTTCACTGCAACTGTCAGAGCAAAGCAGGAAACACTACGCGACATCACTGAAGAATCATGCGTGGAAGAACATTGGAAGTCTCTGAAGGCGATTCTCAACGAAACGTGTTCAACGGTTCTAGGAAGAAAGAAGAGACAAGACAAGGAATGGCTCTCAACGGACACTTGGAAATTAATAGAAGAGAGGAGAATGGTGAAAGAGAAAATGATTCAATGCAAGGACGGACAGGAGAAGGAGACGATGAGCTCAACTTACAAAGCATTGGACAAAGAAGTGAAGAAAAGTGCTAGGAAGGACAAAAGACGATTCTACGACAACCTCGCCACTGAAGCTGAAAAGGCAGCAGGCAAAAGGGACCTGAGGACACTATATCAGATAACCAAATCTCTATCCGGGAAGAGACCAACACAAGCGAAACCTATAAAAGACAGCCAAGGGAAGCCCATTACCAAGGAAGAAAAACAGATTAAACAATGGGCGGATCACTTCAAAGGACTCTTGAACCGACCATCACCTGCAACCCGTCCAGAAATACCAACAACAGCGCGCACACAACTGCAAGTTGACACCAATCCTCCAACGAGAGCTGAAGTCTTGAACGCAATCAAGCTTCTGAAAGCTGGAAAAACAGCCGGACCAGATGGAATACCCCCTGAAGCACTGAAAGCAGACCCAGAGACTACAGCAGACATGCTGACTCCATTATTGCAAAAGGTCTGGAAGGAGGGAAAGGTGCCTACTGACTGGAGGAAAGGTTACCTCGTGAAACTACCAAAGAAGGGCGACTTAGGCCTCACTCTGCAAGAACTGGCGAGGAATCATGCTCCTGTCGACGCCAAGTAAAATCCTGAGTCGCATCATCCTGGAGAGATTAAAGGACGCACTGGAGACAGAACTCCGACCAGAACAAGCTGGATTCAGGAAAGGCAAATCATGTACTGACCAAATTGCAACTCTACGCATCATCATCACAGAACAAAGCATGGAATGGCAATCAAACCTCTACCTCAACTTTATAGACTTTGAGAAGGCCTTCGACAGCGTTGATCGTGAAGTAATTTGGAAATTACTCGAGTACTATGGCGTACCCCAAATATTCATCAACCTTATTCAACAGCTGTACGACAACGGCACCTGCCAAGTGATCCACAACGGAAGACTCAGCGAGGCGTTTGGAGTAAACACAGGAGTCAGACAAGGGTGCTTATTATCACCAATGATATTCCTAATTGTGGTGGACTGGATTATGCGTCAGACAGTGGGAAACGAGAAGACAGGAATATCCTGGACCGACGTGAAGAACCTAGAAGACCTGGATTTCGCCCAGATGACTTATGTTTGATGTCACACACAATCGAAGACTTACAAGCGAAAACCGACAAACTGGTCGAAGAAGCAGCCGGCGAAGACAGGACTCCAGGTAAACATAGACAAGACGGAGGTTATGAAAATAACCAACCAACAACAGCAACAGCATCCAGCGTCAATCACCATCAACGGGAGGGATTTGAAAGAGGTTACTTCATTCACTTATCTAGGGAGCATTGTCTCAACTACAGGAGGAGAAAGTGGAGATGAGTCGGACACTCGCTGAGGAGACCGCTGGGTGACATCGCGCGCCGAGCCCTCGAGTGGAACCCGAAAGGGAAGCGGTATGTGGGACGTCCAATGGTGACATGGAGGAGATCGTGTGAAGAGGAGTTGAAAGAAGATGGATTAACATGGATGCAGGCGAAAAGTATAGCAGAAGACAGAAGAAAATGGAGTCGTGCAGTTGAAGCTTTATGTTCCACTAGGAACCCAAGGGAGCAATAACAATAATAAAGTTGACTGGCTGTCAGCAGATCATACATTTTTCTTTGATTAAAATTCGGATATCCATTTGATAATAACTTTATTAGGCTAGTGACTAATAATTTGTTAACCTAGCATAACGTTACCTTACATACAACCAGTTCAGGTGTAATTATGTTAATTAAAGTATGCAGTAAATTTAATTGATCCTGAAAAGTTGAAAAATTATTAGGCTGAAATTCTCCGATTAACAGATAAATGTGTATTCTGTTAATATAAAGCAGTCGTGTGGAAAATTTTCTATGAGGTCAGGCAAATCACAAAGTCCCTGAAAAAAGTAAATCTGACTAAGAAGAAAAGTTTTTGTGAACATATAAACAAACTGTTTAATCCTTGTAAAAGTCTCATAAATAAGAAGACAGAGAACTAATTGAGACAGAATTTTGTTAAAGTTCAAAAGGATTCATGTTTTAAATGTGATATTTTCATAGAATTACGTAAATAACATACAGGCTGCAGTTAAAATAACCAGGTGAACAAAGTTTAAATGTTCAAAGAAAGTTTATCGTTAAATAGTGCAGTAATCATAAGTCGTAGAAGGAAACATAAAATTAGAAAACAACAAAAAATAGGTGATTAATGAGTGAGATGTTTAGCCTCAGAGTGGAGGTACGTTCATAGGGAATTTTTCAATCTATTTAACTTAATACCTGTGTTTCATTTTATATAGAAATCGCAACACTACGTATCATCATTGAACAGAGCTTGGAACGGCAGTCAGATCTCTACTCCAACTTCATTGACTTTGAAGAGGCCTTCAACAGACAGTGTCGATCGAGAGGTGTTTTGGTAACCACCTCGCTACTACGGGTTGCCGCTGACAATTATACACATCATCCAACAGTTGTACGAAATGCTGCATGCCACTTAATCCACGATAGGAAACTCACGGAAACCTTCGAAGTGAAAACGGGAAAAAGACAAGCTGGCTGCCTACTATCTCTAATGACTTTCCTGATTGTGGTAGACTGGATAATGCGACAGACAGT